TGCAGACCAAGATGCTGAGCTCGAGGGTGACGCTGTTGCTGGACCGACGGTGATAGCTCATGTAGACTTGGCGAAGAAATCTGGTGAGTGGAGTAGTACATTTACCTGGCGTGCTTTTTACTTACAACAAATTTTTAGCAAAACGGATCTACGCAGACCTACTTGCAGATCAAATTGGTGAACCGGAACTCACCACTCACATTCAGCGATTTTTACATGACCAGCTCCATTGTTCTGACTCCAACTCAGAAGCCTCCGAGTCTGGCGCTGGCTCGTCCAGTGCCCTTCCCGAACTACATGAAAAAATAACTCTGTATACATCTGCCATTGCCACCTTCTTCGCTCCCAGTGATGTCTCAGGCATCGGCGGTATGCGCTACGAGCGAATTCGTGCTGTGGATACCTGGAGGAACGGCCCTGGTCGATATGACTGTGTTTTCATTAGTACTGATCCCACTGTCGAGGGTATGCGTGGCTTCGATATCGCTCAAGTAAGGCTTTTCTTTTCATTTAAACACAATGGTGTACATTACCCTTGTGCATTTGTGCATTGGTTCAAACACGTGCACGACTCACCAGATGAGAACACAGGAATGTGGGTAGTAGAGCCTGAAACCCGCGAGGATGGGACACGATTTGCCTCCGTCATTCACCTTGACTGCATTTTTCGTGCGGCACACCTTATGCCTGTATTTGGGCATGAATTTGTACCTACTTATCTCTCTTACACACAGACCCTTGATGCTTTCCGCACTTACTATGTAAATAAATACATTGACCATCAGGCATTTGAGATTGCCTGGTGACTTGATACTGACTTATTCTTATTGGCTGGATAATGCTACCATTAGGACTACATATTATATACTTTGTCGGCTTAGGAAGTACTTCGCATAGCGCCTATTGACTTAGTTACATCGCAGCATGGTGTTGATTACTTATAAATAAACTTCTTACTTGAACACGCTTTTCTGCAGCCTCCGTGCTGAATTTTGGCCATTCATTACTTACTATTATTGTGTTTCCTTTGTGAACAATCCTCCAAGCAGAAATTAAGTTGAAATGATTTGCTTTGACAACTTAGTGAACTTAACGTCGAATTAAGTCTCTGTAAGTGAGGTAAGATGGCTAAGACTTTTTCCCTTTTTCCTGATGGCCAGTGAGGGTGCAAGTATCATTTCAACAAAGTAACTGCTAGTTATACGATTAACTAGGTTGCTCGCTATTACTATTTTATTGAGCTAAGCTCCACGTATACTTAACGATTACCTCTCTCTTTTACGGCTAGAGAGACACGAAACAGGAGAACACGACAAAGTTGAAACAGACTTTCATAGGTTGAAACACGACCTACTAGGGTGAAACATACCTATCATATTTCTATTCACGACAAATCCACAGTTGCATTTCTATATAGTTTCTTCAAACAAATAGAGGTAACTTGTTTACTCTTTGACCACCCACAAACATCACGTTATCAACCGAGAAGTAAAAAAAATCCGTTGACCGTGAACTTGAGGAGCTGGCAACTTCAAGTCTTATCAAAGTGTAGTTGTGATTGTCACTGCATTTTACACTGATTTTATATAAGACCCTCAAGTAACAAGACACCGCGTTACAGCTTGCACTTACTACTCACGCTATGGCAGCCCGCAACGCAATCAAGCTAGAGCTGCCCGTGGAGGTGAAAGCATTTAAATTCACGTTTGAGTGCAGAACACCAGGTCCCATAGTAAGTCCCTTGTGCAACTAAACTCATGTCAACTAATTTTCTTTGCAGACCATTGAAATATCTATCGGAAAGCCTCTCCAGCAGCTAAGCTCACAAGCTGGTATTGTAGAGGGTCCCGACACCAGCGACACTCACACCGAGACGCCGGGAGTGCTTGATGATTGGTTAAAGGCCCAGAAAACTGTAAGCGTTTGCATAGTAGTTATATTGATTTATCTTACTAAATACATTTCAAGCAATATCAATCATTTTTATCAGACGTTGTCAAGGGAGGTCCTCCGATAGTGGATGATAGTGTGACAGAACCTTAATCGGAGCCGACTGCTGAAGATATTGTGAGTTTTTCTCAGTTGTATTCGTTTGTGTCGCTGAATAGCACCTATTTAAGAAGTGTGCTGCTCAAGTGCTCGTTAGCAGTACTGAGCAACTGGTCAACATCGTTGACGAGAGTGTGACTGAACCCGAATCAGATTATGATGTGGATCCAGAGCAGGAGGTGCAGACTCCCGTAGCCTTCACCCGCTTCTACGAGGCCATGAATGTGGTACTCTTTCTTTTATTTATCCATACTATTAGTACTTACAAATTTCCAGCGCACCAGCAAAGCTCAACCATGACTCATTCCTATCTATGTAGTACCTGCTCATAAATCTGTGTAAAGTAGAATGCAAAGCTCACGTGACACATCAAAACGCATCCGATTCCCTAAGTCAAACACATACGCCTCCGAACCCTGTACCGAAGATTGACCAACATGCCACCCCTTGTACGCTGCTACTGCAAAGTTGCAAACTGCAACGGCGTTCTTGTTCCACCTCACGTATTTCGCTCACATGAGCGCTCTGATTTACGTCAACAAACTCTTGCTGATCAGGCCAACTTTACCCGGTGTGTTGGGCAACACATCATATCACAGGATGTTGGGCGAGTTCCTCAAGGATTTTCGGTTCCATTACACGAACCTCTCCCTCCCTTGTCTCCGGAGTTTCACGATCCTTTGGAGGATGCCGTCTTGGATTATGGGGTTCTTACTGATGCAGATCTAGGTATCCCAACACCAGGCAGTTATCGCAGCTGTCGAGCACTTTGACGCATATAACAATGCGACAGCTGCTGGCTCCCGGCGCCTGACGGCTCATGACGTGCACCAACTTCCTCTTGACCCCGCGCAACACACTTTTGAACAGCAACTTGAGAAGACCGTGGAGGAAATGCAAAGAGAACAAGCTAATCTTGATGACGAAGAGGAGATACAGGATTTCGATGGAGATGGATGCTTTGATGTACCCGATGAAGAAGATGACCGTGCGCCTATACAGGCAGAACCAGGGGAGGACGACCCTGATCCCTTCTTTCCTGACGAAGACTACTTTTCAGAAGACCACACGGATCTTTCGCACCTCCCTCACCATCTGCTAGTGATATATGCACTCGTCTCATGGCTTCACCTCCAGTTTCACCTTCCACGAGTTGCGTTGTCATGCATGGTATACGCTTCATACCATGACATACATAAATGGAGATGAATAGGAGAGTGTACAAGAATATACTTCTCACTATCATAAGCTAAGTTTCATATTGTTTAGTTGTATTTATAGGTTTCTATTTGTTTCTGCCTCTTTCCATTTTTTTAAGCTTATTCAGCCACTCAGATATGTTTGTAAGCATGTCATGTGACTGGTAAAAATCTGATTTGTAAGGATTCAGCTTGACTCATCATTTTTTGTCATTGATTCATCATGCTTTGTAATTCTTCCCCATGCTTTGTAATATTTTATTCATGTACTTTAGTAAGCAGCTGATTCAGCACACCAAAAGGCTTGGTTTGTAAGCATATTCTTACCAATCCAGTGATGAGTCATGCTTAGTAAGGAGGGTTTCCAAAATGTATTTAAGGACACCAATCTTACCAAATAAATAAGTTTTTCCCTTTCCATTCTTGTTCCCAACCATGAGGAACGTAAGAATCTGAAGTGTGGAGCTTTCCCGCTTTCTGTCTCCAACGTGTGATGGATAGAAGAAAGTGAAGGTCTACGAGTTACCTTTGAAAACCATCGTATTTTGTCAATCAAGTTGTATACTATCTTACAGGGATAACCTATACAACCATCTATTTGTTTTATTTGAGTATTACATATTCTAGTCAGCAATCTTGCTTTTACAGGAAGTGAGACACGTAACAGGAGAACATGACAAAGTTGAAACAGACTTTCATAGGTTGAAACACGACCTACTAGGGTGAAACATACCTAACAGATTTATATTCACAGCAGAACACCAGGGTTATTCTGTTCAGATACAGAAATCAAGCAAAGGAGAGGTAACTTGTTTACTCTTTGACCACCCACGAACAACACGTTATCAACCGAGAAGTAGAAAATCTGTTGACTGTGAACTTGAGGAGCTGGCAACTTTTGTCTTATGAAAGTGTAGTTGTGTTGTCACTGCATTTTTACACGCTTCTATATAAGACCCTCAAGTAACAAGACAACGTGTGGCCACCATCGAGAAGCTCGAAGCAGAGAAGACAGTCGAAGCTGCCCGTAATGCTGACAATAGAAAGGCTCTAGCTGATGCGAAGAAACGCAGGAAGGATGCTTACGAGGCAGAGAAGGCACACATTGCCGGTCTGAAACTGCAGGAAGCAGAGGCCAGGAACCAAGAGAAGCTTCATGCTGCTGCTGCTAAGCAGGCAGAGAAAGCTAGAATCGCTGCAGAGAAAAAGGCACGAGCAGCTGTGCTCAAGGTACATTTATCATTCTCTGCATTTTGAAGTCATAAAGTTGATTATATTCAAGGCAACCCGTAAGCGCAAAGCTACGACACAGACGGTTGATGATCTCACCGAAGGAGAAATTTGCCCTGCTCCTGCCCCTCCGCCAGCTCCTACTGCTCCAGCAAACGAAGGGTTTGACATTACTGACGACAGTACTAACACTAAGTTCTGCCTACATCCAGACGACCCTGAAAACTTCCTCAAGCTTAGCGCTGCACTTCGCATCATTGTCCGACATCAATTATCTGACCAAGATATCAACGACGTTGATAGGCTCCTCTGTGAATATACTTCCGCGCTCATTCGTGTGAGTAAAATTCACACATTTGGAGAGTTTCTGATTCGTTACGACTTGCCAGCTGTACGGATCAAGTTCCATCAAGCCTAATCATCACTACGCAACTCATGTCAGTGAATGCGCGCGTAATTTTGGCCCTTTGCACAACTTTTGGACCTTCCTCTTTGAACACCTCAACAAAGTACTCAAATCCTACAAAACGAATAACCATGGAAACGGCGAACTCGAGACGACATTTTTCCGCGAGTTCCAGCGTACTTGCCAAACTAACCGTATGGTATGTTGTGTAGCGCTGCACTAGTGTTCGCTTGCTTATGATTACTGCAGACTTACACTCTTGTCCAACGTCCAAAGGACTCACTCCCAAGCGCGGTTGCCGACATTATGATCAAAGCATCCAACGAAGAATGAGGCACGGTAGCCAGGTTAGTGGCGCTATCAAAAGACCTTGACGATGTCGTCACCGACAGTTAGTTTTAAATTATCCTCTTTTCACTGTCTGACATACATGTGCATTAGCGGATCAAGTGTATATGCTCAGCCCTCGCCACCACCTAAAAGACCTGTCTACCGATACCTACCGACTTCTTGCTGAGACTCTTTGTCTTCAATTCCCTCTCACGCCAGTTCACTGCCGCATGGATCGCCCGCTTCTATCTCATAGCCTTCCTCTCAACCGGCAAGCCATTTTTTTCGACTATGTTGTCCTTCGTGGGAAGCGCTATTACGCCTCTCGAACAACAGGATCTAATCGTTTGTTGTTCGTTCATGTCATCATTCCAAACAATGGTTCACCCCATCATGCTTATGGTGAGATCTTGGAGATTTTTCAGTTTGAGCAGAATTTGCGTGGGCAAGGCAATCGGATGTGGTTCGCACGAATGCGCTGGCTCAAAGCTTGGCGTGCAGAGCCATCTCCATGGGACAAGTTGTATGTTACAAGTTTGACTTACAGCCTGCGTTATTCACTGACCATTCAACAGTTCACTCGTGGATGTACGCCTTTGGGAGTTGGGCAAATATTTGGACCGCGACACTCAACTACTGCATCTCATTGACCCAGACTGGGTGATGGGCCAGCTTGCTATGATGACTGTGTCCGTTGGCGAGAGCAAGATAAAGGTGTGGGTGACAATTGATATTTCAAAGGTACGTGATACGCATCTACAGAAGTTGACTCGCTGCTAACAAAATACAGTAATAACGACAAAATTAAGACTAACTAACCGGTGGACGGGCCTGCGACAGGGAGATCCTCTTCGTCACTGCTCGACTCATCCTTCTTGTGCCACTCGTCGAGCTCCTTCAGAAACCTCGTGTCATCCTTGTGGATCTCACCTTCCTTCAACTGACCATAGAAACCGGACAGCCATTCTCCACCGTCTAGCAGTGCAATATCAGCCCTTTTCTTCAGCCACTTCTTGGAAACCATAGTGCGGAAGGGAACGATCTTTTTGCTCGAGACTGGCGGTGGTCCACTGTGCAGCTTACTCGGCGCAAGATCAAAAGTGGATTTGACAGCTTTCTTTTCTACAACTTTGTGGTGTTTGGGTGCCGGCGCCTCCTCATTCTATTCATCGGGCCCTTGATTTGCCTTCGATTTTTTGAACGACAACCAACGCAAGAACGCCACGTACTTTTTTTAAAAAAAAGGTCAGTAATATATTCAAATAATAATTTCAAAGCTCACATTGATGCTTCTCCATTGCGCACCCTCTACCATGAAAGCGCCCTTTCCCACATCAGCATCCCTTCGTCTTTCGAGGGTGTCTTCTGTAAGGTCAGATCTGAGCCATAGGACAGCACATCTGACGTGTAATATGTGTCGATCATTGCCAGGATACCAGGATGACCAGAGTCCTTCTCAAAAGCCTCTGCTGCTTTTCGGCGATTTTTTGCAGCCTGGGGGTAAGTCAAATATCATATCGAGTTTGATATTTCAGAAAGACTGACTGTTTGACGTCGTGAACACCTCCTTCCTTGGTTCTTATGTTCCATAGCCTTTCTAGCCTTGTCGTCATTGTGGTGTTCAAGAAACTGCTTGTGGATGTTGCGGAAATATGTCTTCGTGCATTCAAAAATCAATTGGCGGTCATAGTCAGCATCTTGTATCTCGAATTTCGAGTTTGGATCTTCGCACAATCGCTATGTTGACTAGTAAGTCCACAGCTTGTGTTCTTCAATTGTTCGCTCTCACCTTTTCGTTATCCCAGACAAGATCGACAACCTCTTGAATGAACACTGCATTCACCCCTTCTTCTATTTTACCCTTCCAATTTGGGTACCATATCTTTTTCATGTCGACTTCTTTGTACGCCTCACCAGATTCCAATGGCTTCACGGTATTCAACAGCTTGGCTCGTGCTGATTTACTCAAGGACCGAGAGATGTTGCACAGGTCAGCAAACATCGGATGAATGATGCTCTGTGAGAACGGTCAGTTTTTACATCTCCCAAGGAATGCACACATAACTGACTTTTAACTTGGGATGGTCGTTTGAAATGTTCCTTGCCGCCACTTTCTTGTTGCCGGTGGTCTTACCCGAATCAAAGTCTTCCCTCAACTGCGCTATCTCTGCCTTAAGACCTTGTATCTCCCCTTGAAATGATTGGACTTGAGCTGTAAGTGCATTATTTGAATTCATAACGTCCCCGCAAAACTGTTGCATGCTTTCAGACAGACGCACAAATTCACTGGGACTGGCAACTCCACCCTGCCGACTAGTTATGTCACAGCTCGGCTCGTCTCGGCTAGGGTTCGGCTTTTGCCGGCTACACCTGTAGTTTGGCTATCCTCGTGAGTTGAACCAAATTTTCCAGCTTGGTTCGACTTATTAGCTGTGTGAATCGGCTACGAGCCATGACTCCAACAGCATCGACTCGAGCTGGTCCAAGCTGGTTACAGTCGGCTTCAGTCACGTGGAAGTTGAACAATCTTCTTTCTGCGCGCCGTAGTGTGCACTGTGCACTGTACTGTAATCCCTCGCTGCAAAATTTCGTCCTGTCGTAAAGCATGAAGGCCCTGGATCGTATTGATGGTAGATTTAGGCTGGAAGATATTTTGGGGTCCGGTTCATATGGTATGTTCATATGATGTTGATTCATATTCAAATTTTCAGCATACTAATATTACTAGCTGTTGTGTACCGCGCACAGAACTTCCTCAATGATGATGTTGTTGCTATCAAACTCGAACCGGTCACCAATAACCCATCTTCTGTGGAGCACGAACACAACATTCTCAAGCAACTTGAAGGTGGAGTTGGGATCCCCCGCGCCCTTTGGTTTGGCAGGGAGCCAACATATTATGCCTTGGCTCTCGACCTCCTTGGGCCGTCACTGTATGATCTCTTCCTTGCATGCGACTATAAATTTAGCCTTCAAACTGTTGTGAACTTGGGGGACCAGCTGGTACTGTGGTTCATATTTATTGTGGGCTACAGCAGATACTAACCTATTTTCCAGCTGTCGCGTCTTGAGTTCATTCACTCACATGCCTTTGTTCATGGGGATATCAAACCACATAACGTTTTGGTGGACAATTCGATGCAAACTACCTATATCATCGATTTCGGTATCGCGAAGAAGTACTGGAATTTTGCAACCAAATCACACATCCCGTTTCGCCGAGGTCGACATCTCACAGGCACCCCTGCCTTTGCTTCAATCAACAATCACCTGGGATTGGAGCCGGGTCATCGTGACGATCTCGAATCACTTTCTTACATGTTGATATATTTTTTGCGCAGCTCCCTTCCATGGCTAAATAGTGACCATGAGAGGCTTCCCAGCTCCGTGATACTCGAGCGCAAAGTGGATACCACCATTGCTGATTTATGTGATGGAATTCCTGCTGTATTCGCCAATATTCTTGTCTACTCGCATTCTCTCTCATTCTCAGAGGATCCCGATTATGACCATCTTCGTTCTTTGCTTCACACTCTTCGCACTGCAGGGCCCGCACCAGCTACACACTCCCTGAATTTTGATTGTCACATCGCACCTTCCCCTCAATGTCCTCAAGTCACTGAATTGGTGCCCCTATGCCTGCCGAAGGCAATGCCTCTTCATAGATCAACTCGTGTGTAAGTAGTTTCCTTCTTATGCATCACACTCATAATTTATGAACTCATCGTTTGCAAGGTTACGTCTGCGCAATGGCACCCTAACGCCCGCAACTACTCCCACTTCGCGTCGAATGAAGCGAAGAGTTGTATAACCTACTACTATTCTTATTCTTCTTTTTTTCATAGCTACCATCTGCGCAGTGTGCATGTTTGTGATGTGTTATAGTATCTCCAGATGTATATATTGAGCATGGTCTGTGCGCACATGCTGTGTAATGAGTCTGATATATCTTTTAATATCACACGCTCAATTGCGCTGTGCGAACAACAATCCTGCTGAGCTGCAGGGAAATGTTGGGTCTTGCTGGCCTAGGCTAGTTCGACCCTAAAGGGTCTCTGCTCTAGGCTCAGTGCTCAAGGAGAGAGAAACAGACAGGAAACAAGACAAAAGGACAGGGGACTTTCAGACTGATACTGGTACTAGGTCAAAACTTCATTGGATTATGTCAGCAGTAAGAGTACCAACATAAAGTAAGTAAATCATCAATTGTGAGGCCAGAGAAAGAATGTTTGGTACAGCGCTCAAACTTTACCTTTGATCATTCCCTCTAGATTCAAGAATCGCAACCACGAGTCCACGACTGCATGTTCCATTCAATCAGCCGATCTCTCCCACTCCTGAGCAGGGCTCAACCAGATCAACCCTAATATTGTCTTAATGCTTCTACTCACGTTCTCCACATGGAGATCTCTACCTAATCCACCACGATTTCATGCCATCGTGCACATCGGTATTTTCCTGATCTCCCCAGAACGAAGATATATATAGCCAGTTGAGTCTCTTGTTGGATCTCCAGCCTCCAGCACTACTAACATGAATCGTTGTGGCCGTCCTCGAAAAAACGCCAATATCCCCCGGGTTGAGAACACACCTGCTCTCATACCTGTCGCTCCTGGCCCTTCCGTACCTGTCACTCCTGGCCCTTCCGTACCTGTTGCACCTGCTGCACCCGTACCTGTTGCTCCTGCCCTTGCCATACCTGCCCCTGCTGCAACTACCACTGCAGCAGCTGCAATTGCGACTACCCTTCACCACCCTAAGAGACAACGACAACTTCCTCAGAGATTCAGGAAGGACAACGCAGCTGCCCATCCAGACGATGGGGAGTATATCAATATCAATAACGTCAGCAGCAGTGAAGACGATATAAACCCACCTGAAGTCATCGCCGACGCCAATGCAAACCCAAGTCCACTACACACAGCGACTAGCACTCTCCCTACCGATCCCTTTGCCACGAGAAAACAAGGCCTTAAGACTACTTCTGATATCCAGTATTTTTATAGGAAGAACTCAGATACTGGCGAGCGCGTTTGCATACCGTGCGAGTGAGTAACATACCTAAGAATCTTCTCTGCGCTTTCTCACCCCCTTAACCAGGGATCTCAATAAGGTTGACGCCTCCTGTCCCCTTACCGTTTACGGTTCTTCCACGAGCAATAGTCTTCTTCGTTCGCACATATACAAATTTCATATCGACCTTTATCTCCAGGAGTCCGAGAAGCAGCAATGGCCAATCGGCATACATCCTGTAGGGAACCGCCTTAGTGAAGGCTGGACCTTCGCTGAGATGCTGGAACGACTCAAAGATCCCACTTGCACAATTGAGACGCTCGGTCCTCCCCCCAGTCGCGGTGATGGTAGTTTGCAGCCCGCTGTCGGGAAGTCAGCCTTTTCGGGGCATGACTTACCAAACTTTTCCATTGAGGAGATGCATAGACACATAGTTAAATTCATCATCGCTGATGATCAAGTGAGTACTGTCTACCGTTTGTATACTCTTGTTAACAATTATCTCTAGCCAATTAGCGTTGTTGAGTGTCCCAAGTTCCGCCGGCTGCTCCGCCTCTTGTGGCAAGACCTAAAGGAGTCCAATATCCCCCGTCGTACAAAGTTCCGGCAACTAATCATCGAAGCCTGGCATGAATACTTTACAGCCATCAAACTTGACCTTGCTGTAAGTGTATAGTTACCGATCACGTATAGTTTTTCATATCTTGCAGACCACCCAAGGACGAATTTCTTTCACATCTGATATCTGGTCCGATGCTAAGCTTCGTCCCTTCCTTGCATTAACCGCACATTGGATTGCGAGAGAAACCGGGAACGCAACACTTGTTTTGAAGGCTGCTCTAATCGCCTTTCATCATATCCCTGGTAGTCATACCGGGAAGGCACTCGGTTCAACAATATTGAAGCTGATTCGTCGCGCTGAAGTAGAACATAAGGTCAGTTTCTTGTATGTACTTCATCACATGCTCTGACTTCATCTAGATCGGACACTTTACCTTGGACAATGCGAGCAACAATAGGACCGCAATGGACGAACTCCAGTATTTGTTGTTCAAAGAAAAGATCACATTCGACGCAATCAATCACCGAATCCCATGCTTTCCTCATATAGTGAATATATGCGTCCAACACATCCTCGACGAATATGATACTGTAGACCTTTCGCATTTGGCTGACACGTTCGTAGCTGGCCCTTACACTTTCAAGAAGGTGGATTACGTCAAGACTCTGCAAAGTAAAGTGATCGACCGGGCTAGAACCATTATCCGTGCAATCCGCGCATCAGGCCAGCGCCGTGATAGTTTCCAAGCTGCCATTACTTCTGGCAATGCAGAAGGATGGTTCGTAGACGACACGAACGAGCGTATCGCCCTTCCAATCGTTGAATTGTTATGTGACGAGCCTACTCGTTGGGATTCAACATACGTCATGTTCAATCGTTTGAGAATCCTACGACAGGTAATATTTCATTTCATTAAATTTATTACATAGCTTAACAGATGCCTAGGCTATCGACCATTGGATTGATCTTCCTGCTCAACGCAGCATAGTCCATCATAAATTGAGTCCCATGGATTGGCAAGTCTTGCAGGATCTCGAGATTATTCTCGAGGTATGTTTTAATATATCTGAAATCTATATCGTATTAACTGTTCTACATTAGGCACCGCACCATGCTCAACAATGCATGTCCGGCGAGACAAGTCCTGTACTGGGCAGCGCAATTCCGGCCTTTGAAGGGTTGACTGAAAGATGGAAGCTCGTGGCGGACCTTGTCCCGCACTGTGCGCCCTTGATTGCCATAGGTTTAACTTGGGCGGCTAAGTATGATGACCGAATGCTCCTCACAGGAGCATATGCTGTCGCAATGTGTCAGTCCCATGTGTTTTTGCAGGGGCGAATTCTCATTATTGTGCACAGTTGTGGATCCAACAAGGCGTATGTCGTGGATGAATGAACATTGGTCAGCCCCACGAATTACAAAGGCTGAGGACTATATTCTCCAACTGGTACGTCTGCGCTACGGTAACAACAGCAAACTGTGGGCTGATACGTCCCACAGATGCAGAATCAGAGGGGGACAAATGTTTCTGCACCGTCTAATCAGTTGATTCGTTGGCCACGCCCTGCAACGTTAGGCTCGACGATATATGGACTTCCTGAGATAGACACACAGCCCCGTCGCCAGGGTGGCCCCCAATCAGTTGAAGACGAATTCAATGCTTATAGTACGGGGGTTCTTAGCCCCATGGGCACAGATATGCTATCATTTTGGACGGTAAGATCCCTGTATCTCTGTCACAGGTTTTATTGATGACGAGGCATCGATGGTGGGCTAGGTTTCGAGACCCATGTTTCCAACGCTCTACAAAATCGCAATGGACTTTCTGCCCATCCAAGCCTCTTCCGTTCCGTGCGAGCGCGTATTCTCCTCCGGCAGTGACACGTTTACCAAGAAGCGCAATCGTCTCAGCCCATACTTGATGGAAGTCCTTCAGGTTGTCAAATTCTCGCTGAAAAAGGTCCGACTTCACTTTACAAAGGGTTGGGCAGCATCCCAGAAGGACATGGAGTATCACTTGATGTGTGTCATGGGCTCTGCGGGTCGTGAAGATCTCTTGACATCTGGCTCTGGTGATCTACTGATATCTGCCGCCAGTGGGACTACTTCTGACAGTCGCGACTATGAGGCCCTGCTCAGATTCATCGCGGAGGATGAATGTGATGATGTTCCAGATGATGTTCCAGACATATCTCTTTTCATCTCTTAATTCTTGCCTGTTTGCTGCTACTTTTACTATTCCCGTCATCTTACTCATGCCGCTGCTGCTTTTGTCGTTAAACCGACCTTTGACTATCGATTTGTTCATCCTCTCAGCCTTCTCACCCTGACTGACTGCACAGCGACTTCATCACTTCTTTGCAGCTTGACGGATGTATTTGTCATGAAGCTCGTGTCCTTCGCGTGCTCACTCTAAACGGCTGATGTCCCGTGATGATGATCGAGCGTGTACCATTATTCGTGTCTCCATTAACTTACTTCCATTCTGTTCATTAGGTGTTCCTGCTCCTCTCCATATAGGCATCAGCTTGAGAGAATGGAGGCCTGTCAGAAGATATCAGATACCGCACACCTGGCACCCACGAACATGCCCTTGTGTATATTTGGATGACAGAGAAAGCTTTTCAGCTAAACTCTGGCCCAACGGTGAGCTAGCTGAAATTGACAACAACAATGACGCTGCAGTGAACCCAGCTGTGGGTGCCCTGGTTCACCAGGGTCGCAATCCTCACAGCGGTGAACCCCTGACTCTACACGAATCTGTCCTGGAACTGCTCCAAGCCGGTTTTCATCTACTTAAGCTTGGCCGGCTTTTTTTATAAACTCGAGTACGTCGTGACCCTCGTCCTTGATGAGTACATCGAGAATTTCTATATTAGACCTCAAGACCATTCTCCAGCAGCTCACGCGCACAATCTAGCTTTGCATTCGAACTATCTGAAAGTGATTCCACCATGGCTTCGTTTGCTGCACCACAGGCTCCTCCCAAGTGGAATCACACCCCGGAAGAAATGCTGAGTATCACCAAGCGGGCACTTGCGCAGAATAAGGCGGTCAGTGACAAAGTCGCGGCTCTCCCTGAGGCTGAATGCAACTTCGAGACAGTAAGTGGCCTGTCTTGCATGCATCATCAGACTGATCATCTCTAATCCAATTCGCAGGTTTTTGTGAGTGATGTTGCGATCAATTGTCATCGCATTCTCAGACAAGCTTCCGACGTTAGGTGCTGCTTGCTGACGCAGAGGCAGAAGCCCTTATCATCTGCGAGCCCCTCGGATTCTACCAGAACGTCTCCACTCCAAAGAACTTCGAGATGCTTTGAACCAAGCAAAAGTCCTCCAGCGCAAGTTCAATGTTGAGGAGTCCATGCGTCTTGACGTGTTCAAAGCCAAGGCTGCTGCAGAGAAGAATCTGCGTGAATCAGGTGCATGGGAGAAGCTGAGTGACAAGTGGCGGGGGCTCATGGAGAAGATGGTGTTGGATGGTAAGAGAGCTGGTGGGAGACATTGGTTCGCGATCCCGGCTTTGATCTGAGCTCGAGCATTGCTGATCGAAGTTTTTGCCCACCGTTCGCAGGTTGTGAGTGTATCGATCGTCCTTCAAGCTTGAGCAATGTCGCTGATCGACATTTTAATGGTATGTTGCATCCGCATAAACAATCATTCAATTGTATACACGCTAATCTTGACATCCTACTCTACAGGGCCCTCACTCTAATTCCGCCCTTTCTGATCAACTGATCAAACGCCTCCACCCACTTCTACTCCCACCTTCCACGACCAAACATCTTCAACATCCAACGCCGCCACCTCGATCTCCGCGGTACCCGGACTCTTTCCCCTCCCACTGCCCTTTCAGCTCTTTGTCCCAATGTGCGGTGTTTCTTAGCCACGTTTTCCTCGTGTAGTTCTCGTGGGCGAGAAGCGCCGCACATTTGCTGCTTTCATTTAGTCTTGGAACAAACACTAACAAGTGAATCACTTACTTTATCTTGGGGAGACATCAGCGCTAATTTGATTGTAGATCAGACTGATCAGTGTGTTGGGAGTTGACGCGTTGACGAGGTGGCTTCCTTTTCGGTTTCACGCACTTAATCTTTGATTAGTCTAAATTTATTTATAATTTATTTTTAACTTCAATTTAAAAATATATTTGAATTTTGAACTGGTTTTAACCCCTTAAATCAGCTTAACTACAGTTTATCGAGTCGAGTCGGACCGTGAATTATATAAACCGAAGTCACATGTTAGCTCGGTTATTTACAGGTCCGGCTATGGCTAAAACCGGCATTAAGCCAAACTTGCGGCAACACTACTGCCGACCCGAGTACTGCATGTCTCCAGTTTGGTCCTGGAAAAGCAACCCACTGCGTTGGTACGGGTATGTTCCCGCATGTGTTTGATGAGGTCGCGGAAACTGATTATAGTCAGGGTCATGGCCTCCACCTGGTACCAAGGAATGCGAGCGAGAGCGTGGCTCGCTGCCTGACGAAAAAGGAGTGTGCGAGTTTCCGTGACCAAGGTATGGTGTTCCGGCTGGCTGGGCATTCATATAATTATTGACACCGTGCATAGAAAGGGAAGGTGTGCACTGCTCGTTGTGCCTGGGGATGAATGGGGTTTCTGGTAGGTTGTTATTGCCCAACAGTCTTCCCATATTACACCATCTTCCTCTGGCTGATAACATGTGAGTTTTCTATGTTCGCATTGAATTAATTCTGACAAAGTTTACCATTGCAGGATTGGGCAGCCATGGTCCACTGAAGTACTTGTCGTGCTGCGGCAAGTCGTCGTTGGGCAAGTGGAGTGGGGATGGCATAGGATGAGGCTGGCTAAATTGGTGTGGACCATTCATTTGAGACTGACGGTCTTGACTAACACGGTGTTGGTTAGGATACACGGGGGCACCGCTAGGGCATCTCTGCGAGGCTTGAGACCCATACATCGTGGATGCGGGGTCAAGAGAACGAAGGGAAGAGCAAGCGAGAAGCTACGAGCAAGCGCATGGCGAATCCTAGGAAGCATATGGGCCTGATGTATATTCTTTGCAGAGTCTAATTAGATCTATTTTGTATATGTATGCAGACATAATTCAGACGTGCAAATCATGTATTCCGATATGATCCCGTTGTCAGATTAGATACACAGATAACTAAACTACCTCTGCAAAACTCACGTATCCACCGTCGGATTAGACGCATCACTATGTACCTCTCGCTAGTCTAGCGCTTCGGGATTTGCGTTGTATGCTATATCTGTTTATACTCCGCATATATGGTCTATCCTTACCCTAATCCGGCCTGGCTACTTTTTCGTTTCCGCAGTGACTGGAGTGCAGTGTCACTAGAAAAAAATGTCCTAGCATCCAGAATCCAGGTTTCACCCAAACTACTGTGACAAACCTAGCCAGAAATATCTGAGCAACAGTTAATATTATGGCTCAGTGACTCGTGATATTTTCATGTTTACATATGGTCAATGACTTGATCTGGATTCTGAATTTTTGGGGGGTCAGGACCGCTGAGCAGTGAAACTTGCCCGTCACGTCATATGAACTCGCCCATACAGTCTTTCATCGCATGTCAAAAATACAAGGCTCGAGCTGCAGTGATGATGGCAGGTTTAAGAAACAAGCAATCGAGTGCACAACAAAATCGTTTTCTCGGGTATTTCTATGTAAAGGAACATGATATTGATTGCCCTAACTGAAGCAAACAAGCGACTACTTACAACGATGTTGAATATGGGTTGACATTGAATTCACCGTTTCGATAGTGTCAACCCGCTCAGAGAAAGGGTATACTGTATCCAACCTATCCAAGTATCAAGTACTTATAGCTATAACATACTCTTGTAATTTATCGCACACATGGGGTTTATAAGAACACAAATCGAGTAATAGTAATGTGGATGAAAAAGAAATCGAACAAACGAGTGACGGAGGCTGATGATAGCCATAGGGTGAAGGCTGGTAATAGCTAGAGGGGTGAAGAGGCTCACAACAGCCAGGGGGAAAGACTGATACCAGCCCAGTGATAAAAATGTCCATACACGCCTCCTTACCACCGCAAACAAACTACTGCCGCGCCGCATAACCAGGCAGAGGCGGCGAACTTGATCCCGCAAAACTATGCCCCGGCGCACTGAACGCATATCCAGCACCAGGCGGAGGACCAGGCGGCGGCGCATATGCAGCAATACCACCACCAGACGGCGGTGGCAGTCCAGCAGGAGGCGGGGGTGGATACGACGGAACAATTGACTCGGAATTCATCTCACCATCACCCCCGTACGGATTCCGTAACGGCTCAGGAGCGATCGCGCTCAACCTGTAACTCTGGCCCTGCGCCGCGTTAGCCTGTAGCTCCCATCCAACGGTATCCGTGCTTTCTTGGCGAAGGGGTTTGGTTCCCAGCGTGGGCGTCATATCACCGGGGAATGGGTTCTCAGGTTTCTTGGGTTGAGGCGCGTGTATGCGTGGGTCTGGGGCATATCCTACGGCGCGGCCTTCGCTGTCCCATTGCTGATAGGGAGGATCGTATGGTGTGTTTGAGAATGAATTGAGTGGGAGAGTGGTATCTGAGGTGTTGAACACGGTAGAAGTGTTCGCGCCGCCGTTTTGATACAATGATTCGCTCTCGGCGTCCAATTTCGCTTGGCTGAGTATATCATCAGAATTTGATGAGTGAGGGTAGGGATGATACTGACCGGGCTTTGCGGCGCTCGTATACGATCTGTGGTTTGACACGGTTTATTTGTCTGGTGATGTACCACATGGCAGCGATGGTGACCAGTACGGTGACAACACCGACGACATCACTGATGATCTTGTTCTTCGAAGTGGCGGTGGCTGAAGGCAAAGTGAGGATCGGGTCGTAGATTCGGGTAAGAACTTACAGGTGGCACTACTTTCCAACAAAGTTCCGATGTACACAGTTATGAACTGCTTTGGCATAGAGAGGGCCGCAGCCAACATGAAAACAAAGATATTCATGCCACATACTGCGAATATTGCAGTGGTAACTAGAAAAAGGTAAGGCAAAGATTGGATGAGAGAATGGAAGAAACACACAGTGAGGCGGGATAGCGCTGTAACGCGCGATCAATGCAATCTTGAAACCACCCTCACGGACGACTCTTCCCAAAGAGGAGTAAATGACATTGCCTTTCTCTATCTTCTGACCCCGAGCTGAACAGAGGTATCTGAAAGCGCTAGGGAAGAGGGTAAGGAATGACCAGAACGCCACAATAATTACGTACTAGAAGTTTCCAACTTCACCGATGAAAGTGCCAGCTGCTACTATGCCAAAACCAACCCACACGCCCCATACGAGACCACATACGATAGCCAGTATCTCGTGTCCGAAGAGCTAATGAAAAGCATGTTAGGGTGATATGAAATGAAGGGTTTATGTGCATACTGGAGGGAATGATATGACAAAGAATACGGCTATGGGGATTATCCATCCAAACTTGAAGCTGAGAGAGTGAGTAAGTGCGGGGCGAGGTTGAAAGTAACGTACTTGTGCATCCAATTGGCAGCGGGTTGAATGGCATGTACAATTTGGTCATGATAGAATATGAAGAGGGCACCGCCAACGGCGGCGAGAGTAAGAGCAATATAAATAACTGCCCGCCATGAATTCAACGATTGAAAGGATAGGGAGATGAAGACGCACTGATCCGTTTCTTTGACCACATCTTCTTTCTATCGAACATGGACTTCCAATTGAAGAACCCCTTCTGATTGAGGGCCTGGATCTCGCTGGGAGTTGGGCTAGGAGTACGGGATATTCGGCGAGCGCTTTGATGAACATCGTTGGAATACGGTGAAGAATAAGGAGAACTTGGAACATATTTTGGATAGTTGTCCATGACTGTCGTGAAGTAGGAAAAGTGAGCGTGAAAATGGTATGGCGGGTTTGTCCTTTTGTTGTTGTAGGAGTTGTGTCACCGTGACGGTCAAAAGTCAAGGTGAGAAACACAGCCGCAAATTCTATATACTGCAGTTGATAGCAGTGCTCGTTGACGACCAATCTACCACACCTGTGCTAGGACGGCCCGCGTCAACATGTCGTTTTGATCACAAGTACTGAGGTTGTGAAAGTCCTACTAGCTGTGAGCATTACCTCTGGTCAACGTGTCTGCTATACCTCCCATCATTGAGCTGGCCACAGGTAATACTCGGAGATTGTTCGTACTACCTGAGGGCCTACCTGAGCACTTCACTGGAGGAGTAGTGTCATACTCATGCTATCACTCAATCACAAAGCAGCCAGTTTTAGCATCTTCGACCAAGTCTCCAGAAATCTAGCCAGCATAGGCTGCATACCCTTGTCAGACTATCTATACGGTCCCCCTTCCATACCTGCAGCAGCAGCATCGCAGCAACCGCCCCTAGATGTTTCCATTCAACAACTTCAGCCCTCAGTGCCAGCCATAACCAAGACATCAGTAGACACAGTCTCAGCAAACGCCATCAGCCGTTTACATCAGACATCTCAACGCACATTCGGATCCATTGAACCACTCAAATTTGAATTCATCGAGGAAGCCGGCCAACGCAGTGCGTATTCACTCTCACGTCAGCTCAACATTCTCATACATGCACAGGCAAGAAATGCATATTGACAATATCCCGTCCCAACGGAAGCACTCGTTCTTATGCAACCGACCCCATCTATTCTCGCAAATCAGAAGCAAAATCTGCTGCTGCCACTCTTGCGATCGAAATGGGCGCATTGGATTTCATCACCCACGGAGATCCTGAAGAGCTCAAAGTCAAACGCGGACTCGTCCTCGCATCCATCAATAGCTCAGCAAATCAGGAGAGTACACGAGAATCTGAAAATGCCCAGGAACCAAACTTTAATAATGCGGTGGAGCAAATCGAAACCTGCTGCGTAGAATGGCGAGGCGGTTCCATCGCACCGCATTGGGTGGCATTGTTGGAGCCCAAATTCGGTCACAGTAAGCATCAAAATGATGATGATATCCCCTTTAACTTACCGCACCACAGCCCAAGGATGTGCCCTCAGAATCAAGCTTTCCCCACACGTGGTCAAGGTCTACGCATCTGATACCATCTACGACACCTATAACGAAGCAAAGGCTGCGTGTGCCGACGCCGCTCTTCGTGAGGGCGTGCTCGACTTTATCAAATACGGCAACGGCCAACTACGCCCTGCATCCCCCCAACTTTACCCACACTCCAGTTCCTCCGACATCAATGGCGTCTCAGCCAACAAACAACCTCCTCTGACTCTGCAAGGATTCTACGAGTCCCTCCCCCGCCCATTCCCCGAATCATTCGAAAGCAAAGATGCCAACGAAATCGGTGCGCCTGGATATATGAATTCCCTCGTACAGAACGCAAGAGGCGGCAAGTTGACTACCACTTTCATTTTCACTTCAGATGGCACCCCCGGACGTACGTATTCCTCTTTATCATTATACTCACTCGCGATACTGATTTGCTGTAGTTCACGGCTGTTTCCTCCGCTTGGACAGACCCACAGAATACCGAGCATACCTCGTTGATCCAAGATTCCCAAAACGTGCAGACGCAAAAGCGGCTGTATGCCTCCAAGCTTTGTCCCAAGGCGCTGGAGATCACATGCGCGCGATTGGAAAGGCTGTGGAAGCGAGAGTCACGCCTTTGATGAAGTCGTGGGTGAACGATCAAGTATATCCAGTGCTTTTATCCGAGTATAATAAGATCAGGAGTCGACATCCTGGTTTTACATATGAGAAAGAGAAAGACGGTTGGTCCTTCACATCTTCACCATTTTGACTCGCATGCTCACTGCACATTGTTTCTAGCTTTCGGATGCACGATGACGCTCCACCTCGCTGCCGATCCCACCCCCGACCAAACACGAAGTTGGACAGTAGCGAATGACTACCGTAACAAAGCAGATGCAAAAGTAGCCGTCATATGCACTGCGATCGAACAGGGCGCCATCGAGTTCATCCGGTTTCGAGGTCAGCCTGCTCCTCTTGGATATACCATCCCGTATTCTCTGCAGACTTTCGACCCGGAATCGTCTCAGAAATCTAATGGGAAGCGAAAGATGGTGGAGGACGCGCAGCCTCAGGGTGAACCTGAGAAACCTACAAAACGACAGAAGAAAACAAAACTTGATGGTGCCAACACCTCAGACGCCCGTCCAAAAAAACACGGTAACAGGAAAGAGAAAGAGAAAGAGAAAGGGAGTAGTACCGTCCCTCCGCATCAACATTTCATGCCTCACTCGTTTTATTCCGGGCAAGGTGGTTATGGGTATCCGCTTTCGGTACAGCCTTTTGCTGGTGCTTCGAGCTCGCATATTGGTTTTGGAGGTGGTGGCTTTGAGGTTGGGGTTGGGGGTGCGGAGGCGCCAAGTAATTCATCTGAGCCGGAACCCGGCGAGGTTGTTTGATGTCGTTGGATTGAGCGGTGTTTTGGATACTAGTGCGCGTTTTGATGATGTCTTTGGGCAATTTATACTGACTGTTCTGCTTGAACAGTGTACGATTCAGCGGCATATCAGCCAGTACTTCGGGATTGTTCTGGGACTATATCGCAGGGTCTTTTTCACGCGTCCTTGAATCTTGCTTCGTTCCCGTCCCGACGACGAATGTGCCTAACCAACGTTTTAGGCCCCCCCCCCCACCCGGTCGTATCATTCTGCGCGAGGTGGTTATTTGCTTTTGGGGCATCGTTATGCTGTAGCTTCAGGCTCGCGTGAGATTACTTACATGCTGGCTTACGAGGTGGCTGGTTTGGGGGTGCAGAGGCATTATGTGATTCATCCGAGCTGGAATCTGCAGATAGGGGCTGCTTTTGATTTTGTTGGGATCGAGTGGTGTTTATGGTTCGTAGTGCTACTGCTGCTGGATTCCTCTTCGCGAATAGCGAGGTGTAGAGTTACGTAATATTTATTTACGTTTCACTGACACGGATGGATTCATCAAGCAAAGTGGTCAGATTTCAAACGACTCAATTGACGATTCTCACGTGCGCAATTCGTTGTCGAAGGAAGACCTCACGTGGACTGGTTTGTCCTCGAGTTCTCTGAGTCTTTGCTCAACCGTGACTGAATCATCATAAAGGAGATGATCAGAATTTACAACCGCGCCACCAAACCGCCAGCGTGTTCGGTTAGGTTCGGTTTTTTGCATTGTCAGGGATACTAGCAGCAACTTGAACATGGGAGTCGGACTGATCAGCCGCACAGGCCATCAAATCTCGATATACTTGTCAGTACTTCCCGGGACTAGCATGGCACTGTATGGCTGCCCGGGCCACTCTGGCGGGCTGTGCCAATGCGGGACACAAGGCGCTAAGGAATCAAGATTCCTTCACCTGCAGTAAAGTGAACATACAAGCAAGGCCGCGTCAACCACACCTCGGTTACAGCAGGGTGCACGACACAACGACCTTCGTGGCCTCCTTCAGCTTTACCGTCCCGTGTCCTTGGCAGGTTTAATCTAATATCTCAGTGTTCAGATTTCTATGTACGTGCAAATTGATATTCTTATCTACTTCGACTTTGTCCTGATCATGAGGCACATAACATGACAGTTGTGATATCGCCGTCCTCACCCAGTTCGGTTCTTCGGCTTCAAGATGCTTCCTGCCAGTGTGCTCTCGGCAGACAAAATGGAAGAATGTGGGGCGGTCTTCGCAGACAAAGTGGAGGAATTTCGAGCGGTCTCGCAGAGCTTTCCCTCTGGTCATTATCTTCGTGTTGTCTTTCTCTCTGCACTTGCCGTCAGCCTTGGAGAAAGATCCAAGCGGCGGGGCATCCCGTCTGACCTCGATGAGGCCATCGAACTCCATCGGGCTCTACTTCTCCTCCGTCCCACCGGTCATCCTGAACGACGGATGTATCTCTGCAATCTTGCCATAAGCCTTGGAGACAGATTCAAGCAGGGGGGCGTCCCGTCTGACCTCGATGAGGCCATCGAGCTCGATCGAGCTGCACTTCTCCTCTCCCCTCCCGGCCATTTTTTACGATCCGGTTATATCAGCAATCTTGCCATCAAGCTTGGAGTCAGATTCAGGCAGCAGGGCATGCTGCCTGACCTTGATGAAGCCATTGAGCTCCACCGGGCTGCGCTTCTCCTCCCTCTACCCAGTGATTCTTATCTACCTGGGCATCTTGGCACGCTTGCCACCAACCTTCAACTTAGATTTCAGCGCCAGGGTATCCTGTCTGACATTGATGAGGCCATCGAGCTACATAAAGCTGCTTTACTCCTCCACCCCCCCGGGGATTCTCACCGATTCGCGTCCCTCAACAATCTTGGCATCAGCATTAGAGAGAGATTCGAGCAGCGGGGCGTCGTATCTGATATTGATGAATCTATTGAACTCCATCGGGCTGCACTACTCCTCAATCCCCCCGGTCATTTTAATCGATCCTCATCTCTCAACCATCTTGCCAACAGCCTTACAGAGAGATTCCAACAGCGGAGTATCCTATCTGACTTCGATGAAAGCATTGAACTCCATCAGGCTGCACTACTCCTCCGCCCCCCCGGTCATTCTGACCGATACGAGTCTCTCTGCAATGTTGCCGCCAGCCTTTTGTTCAGATTCAAGCAACGAGGCATCCAGTCTGACCTTGATGAGGCCATCAAGCTGAATCGGGCTGCGCTTCTACTCTGCCCACCTGGTCATTCTGATCATTCCATGGTTATCAACAATCTTGCCATCAGCCTTAAGAGCAGATTCATGCAGCAGGGTGTCCTGTCTGACCTTCATGAGGCCATCGAGCTTCATCGGACTGCACTTCTCCTCTGTCTCCCCGGTCATCCTGACCGATCTACATTTCTCGACTATCTTGCCACCAGCCTTCATGTCAGATTCATACAGCAGGGTGTCCTGTCTGACCTTGATGAGGCCGCCGAGTTTTGTCGGGCCGCACTGCTCCTCAATCCCCCAGGTCATCATGGACGGCCATCATCCCTCAACGGCCTTGCCAACATCCTTAGCAACAGATTCGAGCAGCGGGGCGTCCAGTCTGACTTTGATGAGGCCATCGAGCTCCTTTGGGCTGTGCTTCTCCTCTGCCCCCCCGGTCATTCTAATCGCCCCATGTATCTCGGCAATCTAGCCAGAACCCTCAATTACCGATTCAAGCAGCGGGGCATGCCAGCTGACCATGATGAAGCCTTTAAGCTGTATTTACAGCTCTCCCACATATCTCATGCACCCTCTTTGAGCGACCTTGGAGTTGCCGACTCGTGGATCATCTCTGCCGAGGAAGCGAACCATAGTTCTGCATTGGTTGCATATCAGACCAGATTAAAATTCCAAGATCAGCATGTCGCTCTTTTGTCGCCTTCTCTACAGCATTTTGATGCCGTCAAGAAGGTCACTTCTTTGTTTGCCACAGGCGCCTTCTCGTGCGGTCTTCGTCGTGGTTCGTTGAAGACTGCTGTAGAACTGATGGAGCAGGGCCGTGCTGTATTCTGGACCCAGTTGGCACGCTTCCGCACACCGCTCGATGAACTTTCCCAGTCTAATGACACAGGCGCAGCTTTGGCGGAAAAGTTCAAGCGGCTGAGCTTGCGCCTTCGCAATGCATTCGATCAGTCTACTGAAGACAAGTCCCCGCAAATTCGGCAACTGACCATGCAATGGAATGACGTTGTCTCACGCATCCGCATGCTCCCCGACTTTTCTCGATTTCTCCTGCCTCCACTGTTTTCTGAGCTTCAGAAAGCGGCTGAAGAAGGTCCAGTCATCATCGTCAATTGTAGTCTGTTCTACAGCTGTGACGCCTTGATTATCTTCAGTGCCAAAGATCCCGTCCACGTTCCACTCGATATCGAGTGGATCGAAGTCTTCGAGTTGTCCCGCGAGTTTCAGTCCCTCACAGAGCAATTTGGTTCATCTGATTATCAACAAAAGCTTGTCAAAATTCTCCGCAAGCTTTGGGATTGTATCGTTGAACCCGTGGTCCAAGCCCTTAGGGTGTCAAATGTTCACCCTGGCTCGCGTATCTGGTGGTGTCCTACCGGTGAACTCACTCTGTTTCCTCTACATGCAGCAGGACCCTACGAGGCGAAGAGAGACAATTTGTCTCACATTTACATTTCCTCTTACACCCCCACGTTGACGACGCTCATTCGTGCGAGACAGCAAGTTTCTCGGGATGCATCCCCACAACATTTCGTTGCCATTGGTCAAGGAAAGCCGGACAGAGGGAAGGCACTCCAATGTGTTGCTCCCGAGCTAGCTGTCGTTGCTCAGCACGTTGCGCCTGTTGCGGCCTTCACATCGCTTTCAGACAGCCATGCGACAGTACAGGCAGCATGTGATGCATTAAGCCAGAATCAATGGCTTCACCTGGCCTGCCACGGAACGCCGAATCGAAAACAACCATTCGAGTCTTTCTTTGCAATGCGCGACGGGCCTTTAATGATCAAGGACATCATCCGAACTCACTGCAAGAATCCGGAGTTTGCATTCTTATCTGCCTGCCACACTACTGTGGGCGATGAATACAGTCCGGATGAGTTGATCCATCTCGCAGCGGGTATCCAATTCTGCGGATTTCGCAGTGTGATAGGTTCTATGTGGTCGGTCGACGACGACGTTGCACGTCAGGTCGTATCGGCTTTTTACCGCAACCTGGTCGATGGTTCAGGGAGATTGGATTGCACACGCGCTGCGGTAGCGTTGCACAAGGCTGTCAAATCGTTGCGCAAGAAGATTCCACTAGAACAACAGATCGTATTTGTTCACATAGGTGTGTAGATTGAACGTTGAGGCTCGATTGGTGGTATTGTCGCATTTTCTGTATAACCCTGTCTAGTTGCTTTCGTTCCCTTGCTGTCCCACCGCATAGTTTCTTTATATTAACTGCATCAAGTTTTTGCTTGTCGATAGTTTTGTTGTTGTATAATTCGTACGTTGCACAATTGAATGACTCCCCCAATCCACTCACGCTGTCGGAAGAACTGTAAGTGCACGATCGGAGAGCAATGTTGGGATCGTGAAGGCAGGATCATTGTCTAAGTTCGATACCATTTCGTTGAGGACTCATCGACGCTGACGGCGGCAGAAAGCTGATCTTCTCGGCACAAATATTCATAAGGCCCGGCAGGACCGCTCCGTATGAGCCGCAACTTGGTCTTCATGTGAACACCTCTTTCGAGAATACTTATCTTGTCGCTCTCTGCATCCACATATAACATGGGCGAACGCCAGTTCCCATCCAGCCTTTCCTCGTCCCGGCCATGACTGTCACCGTCAACAAAGCATTATACGATGAACAAGGGTACATCATTGTCCCAAATCTCATTCCTCCAGAGACATTCGAGGCTCTCAAAGAGGCTTGTGATCATGCTATAGCCAAGACCAGGACCGGATCATGGCCCCACCGGCGCACCGTCGGAAGACAGTTCCCTCCTTTCGACGATAGCAATCCAGATTCATGGGGCGTTCAACATGTCATGCATCCCGACCTTGGGGAGCCCGTGTTCGCGGAGTGGTACACCTCGGATGCGTTCATTAATGTTTCGAAGGAGTTGATGCAGTGCGATGAGAATGAGCTGCAGATGGGTGCGTTCCACGGCTGACGGTTTGGTAGTCGTGCTGACGTATTTCGCAGAACTCTTTAACTTGTTGATTAACCCACTGGAACACGATTTTGCTCTTCGGTGGCATCGTGATGATGTGCGAGAAAATGCCACTACTGAGGAAGAAGTTGTTGCTCTTGCGCTCTGGACGCATGGAGTGAGTATTCGTGGACGATGATATGTGTGTTTGCTCTGAATGATTTCTAGGTCCAATGGAATACGTGAGTACTCTCCAGGGTCGTCTTGTCGATGATCTATCTGAATCATGAACAGCGCTTTGTACGAGGACTCTTGTCTCTACCTCGTCCCAAAGACCCATAAACTGCCAAGAACGGAGGTTCAGCGAGCTCAGTCAATGACACAAGCACCACCTGCGAATCCTTTAGACATGCCGGGAGCGATTCAAGTCACCTTGCAACGTCAGTCCATGGAAGTTTATTTCCTCACTGAGTATTTCTTACCGAGCCTGAATGTTTTAGCCGGCGAAACTGTGTTCTACAACAACAATATATTACACTGCGGAGCATACAACTCGAAACAGCGCCGCGCGACGCTTCATGGGTGCATGGGCGACACACGCGGTGGGTCGACAAGAGCTCAGAATGTCCTCCAGCATGGACTTTTATGGATGACTGAGAACCGCTTTCGTGATCGGCTGAATGAGAGAGGGAAGAGGATGCTCCAGGCTCTCATTGATATGAAGGAGGGTGTTAAGGGCGACCTTGGATATTCTCAAGTCAACTAGGTGTTTAACAGATTGAAGTTACCTAGTGCTTGAAGCTTGGAGGGGATCTGTCGAGCGCTAGCTGTGTTGAGATTCAAGCGGCTGTACTAGTCTACTGGTAGAAGTTTTCCAATGATGGTTCTGTTCCCACGCATTTCTTCCTTTCACCCGTGCTGGATGTCAGTTCACGGTGGTCGCTCTCCACTTGCTAAAGTAACAGTCAAGCATATATACATATACCAGCCGTGCATACCCAACATATACGAATAAATGTGCGTCTCGTTTCTTTTAGAGGTCCACTGCAAATCTGATGCGGTTGGTAGAATAACGCGGTCCACGTATCACGAATTTTAACCATCCTTCTACGAACTATACCATGCCACCTGGAATACATCTTGCAGGCCCCTTGCGCACTGCAGTCAATGCACTCATCACTGCAGTAAACAGACTGGACAAGTCCTTCTCTCCCTCGGACACACTCGCCAAGTTCCATGCCCACAAATTCACCCTCAAAGACTCGATATACATCCTGCATATACTCTCCGCCCTCTTTTGGCTTACCCTCATGGAAGTCCCTCCATTTCCTTATAAACTGGCGATACCTGTTCTATATGCGATTGCCTTGCTCATCCCATTCACCTCCCAATTCTTCGTTCCCGCAACTCCCGTCTTTTCATGGGTCCTCATGTTCTACTCCAACCAGTTCCTACCAGCAGACCATCGACCCGCAGTTCACGTCGTCCTTTTGCCCACCCTCGAGTCCGTACTCTACGGCGCGAACATCAGCGACATCCTCACGCGCTTCACCCACCCCATTCTTGACATCATCGCTTGGCTCCCCTACGGAGTCATCCACTACACCTTCCCCCTAGTTCTAGCTGCCCTCCTCTGGCTCTTCCGCCCACCCGCTCTACGCATTTTCGCAAAGGCATTCGGATACCAGAACTGCATCGGCGTATTCGCCCAGATCGTCCTCCCCTGCGCAGCGCCCTGGTACGAGATCATATACGGCCTCACACCCGCAGCATACGGTACACCAGGGTCTGCAGGCGGCTTAGGAAGGATCGACGAGTTATTCGGCGGTGAAGGCTACAAACGCACATTTGCAAGCTCGCCACTCGTATTTGGCGCGTTCCCAAGCTTGCACGCAGCATGGGCAACGCTCGAAGCGCTCTTCATCAGCGCTTTATGGCCAGAATGCGCAAAGTGGGCTTGGGGATACGCAGCGGTGCTGTACTGGAGCACCATGTATCTCAGTCATCATTATCTCATCGATGTCGTGGGTGGTGCATGTCTTGCGACTGCGTGTTTCTACTTTTTTGTGCCTGAGGAGCTGCGCAATGGGAGTGTCAATGGTGCAGGGGATAAGTATGAGAGGTATGATCTTGAGTCGAGAAGGGATGGCGGGTTTGGGGTGGGCATGGAGGAGTTTGCGAGCGATTGGACTGTTAGCGATGAAGAGGAGACCCCGATTGCTTACCGTTCGCCGAATCCTGCGAATGTTCAGGGAAAGGGAAAGGGGAGAGGGCATAGGCATACTGCTAGTATCGCAAGTCTGATCAGGGCTGATGAAAGAGCTGGGGAGGAGGGCTGGAGTCCGATCGCGGGAGCAGGGTTCGTGTTTCCGCCTGAAAGCAGAAGGTAGTGCATCGAGATGGATACTTTTATTGCATATACCCTGATTTCACTGGGCTCGTGGTTGCTAGACTCTTCTCTCTCCAGCCTGGTTGCTGCCGCTCTACATCTGCATTACAGCGGTACCTACGTACTTACTACTATCATAGTTGATCTCATGGCTCTTCGTGGTCGCTGGGGACAGCGTAGAGCACATGATCATAAACACCATTCAAGTCCTCTCCATAGGCCGCGTCAAGCTAATTGTGCCGTCAACTCGTCGATGCCGTACCAGTGACGTCATGGCAGCCGCGTATCACAAGCCTCCACCTGCGCTTCACTTGTCTGCCTTTCTCAGTCTATTATTCCAATTGATTTTCTAACAATCTCTGCTTCCAGATGACATACACTGTAGTCGACTTCAGGCAGTAATCAAAGGTCGGTGATCTCAAAAAACGCGCGGAAACTCGGAACGAGGGATGGAACGATATTGAACGAGTTTTTGGATATGATAAGTTATCCCGCCAACGGCGGTGGAACGTGTATATTGACATTCCTAATGAATGGGTTCATCTGTTTACCTGAAGTGAGTAAAAATTTACCCGTTCCGTGCTTAGCATGTAATTGATAACATGGTCCCTTGTTCAGCGATAAGTCTGATATCACGTCTTCATACGAGATATCCGAAGTTGTAACTCCCTTCGCTGCCGGTTGAAGAAGAAACGGCGCCCGAGAAAGTCGGTGCGACCGTCGTGTGTAGCTCTTAGGATGAATAAAGGCACAAGAGTAGTGCCTGGGGCTGTAGAAAGATGTACAATGGGAGTCGGACTGAACTGTCTCAACTAACCTTTGCGGGCTCTCACTACTTAGCAGTGCCGCGTCAGGCGGCCAGTGGCCGCGCGTCAAGGCATGTCACTGCCGCGTCAAAATAGCTACGCCCGCGGCGTATGCTCGGCTATGTAAGTATTGTCAACTCTTGTCACTTGAGCACCATTTGATTGGCGTAGTGCAGTATCGCATATGGCCCCCGTCTGTCTTATATAAACAGATTTTCGGTTTATTCGGTAAAGTTGTGCGTTCCTGGCAGCCTGGCATCCCGGTGACTTTCCAGACTCCAGCGCACACCCACGGTGATTGTCACCCAGAGGCTGTGGTCATCAGAAAGAATGCATACTTAATGTGCGTCCGTGATGTGTTGGCCATCTAGAGACCATGCCCCCCACCATCCTCACGGTACTGAGACGAAAATGGCAGCCAGTGACCGTGACATCCTATGGTCCCCTCCCGAATCGCCAGGATGACTTGGACCCGGTACTGTCTACCGCAACGCCCACTGCTAGGGCTGGAGTCGAATTCTACGATCGCAGTCTAACAACTCGCAGATATGCCTTTGTTGGATTGGCATTCTCTAGTATCATCAGCTGCTGTTGCGTCGCTACAGGGGCCGTTATTATAGCAACTCATGGAGTTTCTGGGGTGATTCCGTTGATGAAACTCGGAGGCGCCATGCAACATAGTACCCTACCATCTGAGTTGTTGACACTGATACTAAATTTACTCGTCACAATATGCACCGAGGCCACAGGCTTTATCCACAGCATCTCGTTGCGCTTTGCGCTAGTCTCAGAGTCTCGACTTCGTTTCAACACGAATCTGCGCCTTCTGACCGCGGCTCGTGGATGGAGAAACCCTAATGGTGCCCTGCTTAATGGAATCATGGCTGTCCTCCTCATTATATCCTACACCTTGACCTCGCTTGTCGTATTTGACAACTCCACATCAAACGGCTCATATGCGTCCGTTGCCATTGCAGGGTTTCCTATCCTTTTGTTAGGTGTCGCACTTCTTCTGCAGGCGGTCATCGCAGTATTAGGATTGCGGGCTGTCGAAATATTGACGTGGAGTTCCTCACCTTTCGACCTCACTGCCGCTATGATCCATCACAGGCAATTCGCCCCGGTTCCTCACCAGTGCATGCAGGGTGTGTCCGAGTCCGGCTATCGTGAATCAGGTCCAACGGAGCCGTCAAAGTCACAGCTTTCGGCATGGCATGCTCACTTTAGCATCCGGACAGTCGTCATTGCTCTCTGGGTGATCGTATATGCATGTGTCATGTGGGTAGCTATCTTGGGGTCCGTCTATGGCATGTCGCACCATTTCCAGTGGTCACTCTTCCCCAATAACAACCCTATCCTCCAATACCTGGCCTACCCGACTGTCAATATCCAGTGGTGGATTATAGCCATTGTCAACCTTGCGGTTTTTCAAGCCCCGATGACGCTTGGGCTGCATTGCTCTGAGCTCATTGCTAATGTCATCCAAAATGAAAGCCAATGGAGATGTGCTACTGGAGAGAAGGGGCTTCATACAGCCACGAACGCACTGAAGGCGCCTTTCGCTAGTCCGCTGGGGATTGTCCTCCTCATCCTAAAGCCTGCATTACGTGAGCTGTTTACGTCCAGTTCTGATGATTTTTTCTTGAAAATGATATAGACTGGATGTTTGGCCTTGGATTCAACGCCCACGGATCCGGTGATGGCACTGCGCTTCACCAGGTTGAGTTAAAGATGAATTTCATCCAGGTTTGCATTTACTCTTCAAGTGTAGCCGCGACAACATCCTCACACTCTCTTGCAGATCTTGAACTTATGTATCGTGCTGATTATATTTACTGGTTTTGTGAATTTTGTTACACGGCGCCGACCACGCGGCCCTCAGCCGGCCACATACGGGCACATCCAGACGCTTGCTAACCTCGTGGACGCATGGTCGCCTGTGATGTGGTGGGGCCACAAGGAGGACGGACTATATTGTCACGCTGGTAGGGTAATTATGTGGTGGTCGCGAGGACGATGTATTAAATGTTTTAAACAGGGACGAGCGATCATCCACTGCCAGATGTGAAGATGGACTGTCTTTACGCTGGTTCCGGTGTCGGGTCCCCTCATCTGTCTCGTGAGAAGTCCCCGCTTTTTACAAGACGGTTTTTAATGTATCTTTGTCGACAGATCTACATAGGAGCTGAATTCATGTGCGTTGAGTCACGGCGCGCACGGCCAGCCACGCTGTACAAAGAGACATTTGTAATTTTCATGCTGTCTGCGCGATGCACTCATTACACTGGCAGGCAGCTTGGTAGGTCGCCACACATGATATCACATTGCCACCACGGTTTCGAAGGACTAGGATTTAGATCATCAATGTTTCCCGATACTATCATACTATCATATACAGGCCTTCCTCGCATCGTCATCTTCACATAGGACAATTTCTCTCGCTGCACAACTCAGTACGGATCTGTAGCATAGCGTTTGGATTGTTTGGTTTCACCAGCATGGTCGCTGCAAAATTCAAATTCATTTGCCCTTCTCTTCAGAATTTGAAACGCAGCCTCCTCAAAAACCACATAGTGCCTCCTCCAGCAGGACACATGGGAGGCTTCACTCGATTTGAATGCAAACAGTCACGAAATTCCTTCTTCGATCGTCACATGCGACCAAGTGGCTTATCGGAATTCTTTGAATCAAACTAACTTTGAAATTCGAACTTGCAGTCTTGCGCGCAACTTAGTACGTCTTCAAGTTTCCCTTGTTCGATGCCTCCAATGGGAGACATGGGACTGGAGATCTCGTCGTGTTGAAAGACCGCGTGAACAGTACACGCCGGCGAGCCGCACGTTACGGCAGACGCCATACGTATACCACGCCCACTTGCATCTTCTCATCACTGATCATCACGATACCGAACAAGTTTCATGCTGATTCTGATTCTCAACCAGCGCTTAAAACCGCCATGTAATATAAATACCTACGCTAACCGTGCACATCCATCGATTTCCCTTCCGTTAACTGCATTACCAACTTACCAAGCACCAATACTTGTGGGCGACAGCTGAGATGCGCCTCGATGCAGCCTTCGGATTGGTCACAGAACTACGTCTTGGCCTTGTCGGCGGCCTCTGGCCCACCATCCTAGCAATATGGCATGCTCCCTCGCTACTCTTCCAACCTCTTGAAATCTCCCGCATTTTCATGGCCCAGGTATGGGACATCTATGGTAACAGCGTCGACGAAGCTGGAAGGGACGTCAAAAATGGGCTCATCACCCCGCACGCTTATGGCATTGTGCTAGACCTCGGTGCTGGTGAGTCGCTTCCTCAACGAACATGATCATGTTTTCATGCGATAGACAGGTCACGGCCACACCGTCAACTACCTCGACCATTCACGTGTTACGAAATACGTCGCTGTGGAGCCTAACGTGCATATGCATGCGGAGCTTCGCCGTACAGCATCTGCTGCTGGGTACAGCGAAGATGCTGGAACGCTCCTCATCCTCCCCTGCGGTGCCGAAGACCTCTCTACTATCCTTTCCCATCTTCCTGCACCACACCCGCCTGTAGACACCCTCATCTCTGTCCTCACTATATGTTCCATCCCCTCGCCACAATCCACTATATCCGCATTAGTCACGGAGGTGCTGAAACCTGGGGGACAGATACTGTTCTATGAACATGTACTTAGCGAGAGGCAAGATGTTGTGTGGTGGCAGCGATTTTGGACGCCGTTATGGGGTATCGTATTTAATGGGTGTCAGCTGGATCGCCCGTCTCATCGGTGGATTGAGGATGTGGGGGGATGGGTGCAAGGAGAAGGAGGCGTTTGGGGGAAGGAAGGGGAGACTGAAGAACATCTGTTTTGGCATCGAGTGGGGAGATTTGTCAAGGCGTGAGTAGATGGGTGTCAGCTATCTCCATAGGCCTGGTCCTTCACAATCAGTTCTTTAGCTCTAGTTGGCACCTACCAACAACTTTTGTCACTAACTGGTTTGGTCCAACTAGAGTTACTAGGTTATGGTTCGGTTATTCACAGTATTCACTCGCTATGCGGATCTCGACTGTTTTGATGAACCAAGCAACTGAATGCCACGTATGTGCTCCAACGTCCAACGTTCAGGTATTTCCAATACACCTTGCATGATTTCATTGACTAGAATACCGACTTGACATGTGGGGTAAAATTGTTGTCCCCATTACGAATGTGAGAGCAAAGCATACTAGCTAGGGGGCTGGCGGTTGCAATATTTGAGGTCTTAACTTTTCGTCTTTCATTGGTAACCACCCGCGGATTCCGGGCAACCTTACCGTGTCCGGACACACCTGCGTCCTCTTCCTGGACAAACGTACGTCGCCAATCTAGCAGGTTGTGAGTCAACGAGTGCGATAGCTGAGATAGTTATCGAGCATGGACGTCCTGAACAAATGGTGTAAAGGGATGCTGTCCCGAGCTTAATCCAGTGTCATGATGTAGAGAAAGATACAACTGAAGCTCACAAATCATATGCATCATGACAGTCTTCAATCTCGATGTAGTTGTTCGATCTGTGGCAGCTGCGAAATGACCGGTTCTGTACCGCAAGCACGGAAGTCTAACCCAAGTTGTAAAACAGCATCATGATATTGTTCAAAGTCCTCTTCTATGACGGTCATGATCTAATAGACTCGGACGTATCATGACACGTCTCGCGCTGCACATAAAAATCATGGTCAGTCCCACGCTCAGCCCACCGGGATCCAGCCATGATGGGCGTCGAGGATGAAAGGCAGGGAAAGGTTGGAAATGCATCTCACTCACCACTTTCCATGTGTCTGCCGCAGCGATGGCTGGCATCGTTACCGCGTACAACCCAATCGGTCGGTCCTGCGACCGTGACACTGGTACTAAGTACTATAGTACTCTCGCAGCCTAGCAGAGTCTAGCGCGTTCTGGAACGTGCGGACCTTTCGTTGCATACTTACAGTTGCTTGCAGGTGTTGTGAGTACTAGTGTGTCAGGTTAACCGCGAAGACACGTCAACAGAAAAATTAAGTTCACGAGCGCTAGCTCGGGGCCCGGGCCGTTCCATCAAAAACAAACAAAAACACAGGAAGTTCACATATAAGATTGCGAGAGAGGAGCCGGATGCATGTGTTGGTTCCAGCCTTCAAACTTGTAAACCACACCATCTCTGGAACGGATTCAGAGCCGGTCTGTTTCTACAGGTCCGACGGAACCTCCAAGGCGATCATTAGAAGGGCGCTAGGATTCGATGATGCCGAACTGGGAGACCGACCGTGTCCTATACATCATCTTGTTCTTTATCATCTACTCACTACTTAGACAGGCCATCGCGCCCTCTGGAAGACTCGGAGGGGTGTGTATCACCGTGATGTCAACCCCAGCAATCTCATGGGGTACCGCTCAAATGGTCTATTTATCAGCGTCCTCAATGATTTCCATCGATCATACAATTGTTATCATCGATAAAACAACGTCTCAAAGGCTTCGAGCGCACAGGGACGGTCTCGTTCATGGCCTTAAAGCTTCTCATACCACGAGCCATCGTAGGCGAAGTCGAGCACGTGTATCAGCATGATGTTGAATCATTCGTATGGGTACTCACCTGGATCTGTCTTTGGTATGAAGATGGCAAGCTCCTCAGCAAGGACAAAAACCAGCTTTGTGGTAAGGTTGCTTGAGATGTGTCCAACGCGCTCGAACGAAGAGAACTTCAATGTTGCTATGCATTGCTTTGCGGTGGACAAATTTACAGGTTTATTCAAGTCCGTCCCAACGGACGATGAAGTGGTGTTCCAGACATAGCTCCAGGACCATGTGCTGGCGGATGTGCGCGAAGGCAATTTCTTGTCTGCCCAGTAGGGTAGGTATACTTGCAGTTGAACGTTAAGGTAGCGTGTCTGAAATGTGATGTTGCATCACATCTGTAGAATGAACACCAAGCTTAGCTCGGTGTCCGTGTGACATGTAAAATGACGAGCACCGGCCCCAGTTCCTGACTCCCCAGCTAGATCTAAATCTACTCCGATATCGAGGATGTGACGAGCCTGAGTTTTCCCAAGACTAGCAGCTGTGCTGGGCTAGGAAACTGGTTGTATCTTCTCCCTGGGCTGGTACTAACTTACCAACGTTCATCGATGTCATTCGTGACTACCTAAATCATCACGCCCTCGTGCACTTGGCTTGAGCCCACCATGTCAATTCACATAATTTCTTTTCCTGCAAGGTTCAGGAAATTCCACGACGCATATCTACGCCTCTCTCAACAGTTTCACCAAATCCGTTCTCTGTACATCGTCATCAAAGACTGGGCCATCGATGTCCTCATCAAATCCCTCGATTACGATCCTTGGAACTACAGGACTCTCGAAATTTTCATTGCTATCGCCGTAGTGCTACTTTGCGTCGTCCGTTTCTGGCCCACGTCTTCACCCCGTCCAACCACGAAGGACTCCCAACACGCCCGCACGGCCCTCCAAGCGCTTCAGACCGTTCTTGTCCCAAGTTGCTCTCTCTGGCCCGCGCGGTACATCCAGCTCGTGAAACATGCCTCCAACCATCGTTTTGGATCACGGATCGTCATCCCTTTGAGCTTGCTCCTTCAGGACGTATGCGACGGCGTCATCGAGCTTCGCGATCCATTATACGATCTCGAGGATTTGATACATGGAGGTGTTTGTGCGTATGGCTGTTCCGTGCGTCTGAGCGTCGAGTGGAAGTGGTGGGTAGAATGGCTAGATCGGATGGCGAGTTGACATATTCTGGTTTTGTTACTGACGCATGCGCTGAACGACATCCAATACCTTGATCAGTTACGCGGAGATGTCTTAGGTGAGTATATGCGCTCCCCTTCTCAAGGAAAATTGTTCCTACGCGTATATGCTCATCTTTGGATATATTGAAGACGATGTGAATAGCTACGACACGGTTCACTCTTCCAATTTTGTAGTCACTAGCGCACAACATCTCGATGGCCTTAAACATCCACTGCTAGCAAAAGTACCTCCCCCCTCCGTGGACCATTGGCCCACCATCAACCTCGATGGCCATCCGCTCTCGCACCTGCTATCTATCCGGCTTCCCCAAGGCTCCCACACAACTCTAGAATTCACCTCTCTCTCCAGCCACATCTCCTTCCTCAGCACGACGTACATTGTCTGTATGGTCCCCTTCCTGGCGCGTCGTCTTCCCCACCAACTCTCCGATATATTGGCAACAGTAAACGGCACTCGACACTTCAAATTATCGACACTCACAAACACATCAGCGACATACGCCGAAACACTCGCGGCACTATCAACCACGCTGACATATGATTCTGTAGCAAGAAAACACTGTGTCGACGAGCTGGGCGTCAAGGGATGGCGTAAACGTAAGCTAATGCTCGAGTTCGAGGCTGCTCTTGTGCGGAGGGGTTGGTTGGAGCGCTGGAATGTGGTCTTGGAGGGTCGTTAATTGTTTGTAGGCGTCGCTTTTTTTTTGTTCCTTTCAGTCATATGATCATTCTTGTACAAAAATGCATCTCGAGTTGTTTTTCCCTGCTCTATCGCTTCGACGTGGTCAAACCCAAGCCCCTCGCTTCTTGCACACCCATTACCGGACAAATATCGTTGTACCAATGACTTAACATCATAACACTTGTAAAACTGCTACTGAGTACGCCATGTCTAAAATTGTCGCCATGTTAGTACTGCTGATGCCTCTATGCAAATTATCCGGCTTAGGAGAGACAAGCAAATACCTAATCTCTTGATAATGGTCGATTACAAGCTCCCCAACTCGTGCGTGGTAAGATAATTATCTTTACATAAATGCAACGACATCATACTGGCATATCAGCGTTTAGCTAGACATAGATGCATGCAATTTGAAAGACTCTTCTTCGATTCAACTTTAATTCACTGCTAGATTGAGTTTATGCGGGCTGCCCCCCCAAAGCATCCTAGTGCTGTCGCTAGCCCAGCTTATGTACGGATGCTTGTTGACATCCTGGAAGGGGGTGTTCGAGTACCAATTCACGAAGCCAGGTAAACAGTCTAGGAGGAGGGAGGACGTCTAGAGACCTGGATCGTACAGGTCTGCCTCGGGATATCGATATCCCTAGTTGTATATAGTTGTTGTAGCAACCCAGAACACATTGTTATCACTATGCCTGCGATGCCCCCTATGACGAAAATCAATTTAACGCAGTCGAGGATTTTACATAAATAAACCTTTATTCCAGAAACGCTGCATATGCTACTCCAATAAGTCTCTTTTGTACCCCGCGTTGACAGCAGCCTTTCTCAGACGACGAGTATGCGCGGGCATGAATCTACGTATTACCGCACGTCAGTTTGTCGGCATTATCATCTGGATGTTGCCGACAGGCCCATGGTTCCAAAGACGTAAGGCGGACATGGAGGAGACGCTAGGAGATGACAGGCTTGGGAGGCGAAGGAACCAGATGTCGGGGATGGTCGGAAGGAAACAGCAAGGGTGATGCCAAGCTTCGCTAAAGCTTAAGAGACACGGTCCATTATCTGGATCTTGCTGCAGTTGAACGCATCAAGTAGTCGCTCTCATGAGGAGCAACTCTCATGTGAGAGATGTAGGTTAATTGATAGGCACACATCAGACTTCTCGACCTATCCAAGCGTTAGCAGCTCATTGGAAGTTGGGTGATCAGTACCCACGCTGATTCTCCGAACAATCTACGCAATGAACGTCAAAGATGGGGCTGCGCATCAAAGCGACGCCGTATTAACGCTTTAACGAAATGAAGTGAGACCCAAAACATACAAATGTGAATGAACAGTACCTGAGCACGGTGGTCAGCCATATAATTGGTTGACGATACCAAGCAAAGATGATTGGTCCTGCAAGCAATCCGTGGTCACTGTCCCAGTTAGGCGTAGACCTCTCTGAATCTTACCTAAGTAATCTGCAGATCAATCAGAACATGAAGGGTTTCTTCTGGATTCACGTGCAAGCTGAATTTTCAATTATGTATCCCTGTTGAACTCTGCTGCGTGTCGTTAACACTCGTTTGCTCCAGTTGGTGCGCTTGGAGAGCGGGGAAATAATAATGACAGCACGGGACGGAGCGCCGAGTAGCCACATAAGGGATTGCAGTCCAAGCACGGGGAGGTCATTCCATGGAACGTAATAAGGTGGGGATGTCGTTTCGTACTTCGGCGTCGGTCCGACACGGTGTATTCTGTACACAAATGGAAGTAAGTAAGGCGAGCGTAGCATCAAAGGTTAAAACTTGAACTGAGCATAGCTTGGTCGCCACTTACGAACGTGACGGACTCATCACGTGATACGCAATTCGGTTGAACGTTAAGGGTGAGCGGGTAACAATCAATTAGACACCAGAAGGACTTCTGGCAACTGGAAGTCGATCAGAGCAGTTACCCTCGATCATGGACAACGTCCAAACCCAAACCAAAAGAGTCTTTAAAGTCCACGACTGCCAGACACGTATCTCAATCACGGACGTGTCACAAGTCCGTGTCACAAGTCCGCGGAGTCAAATGCGGCGCTCGCAGGCAGGGTCAAAGGAATGGTGGAACTGGCATAGATAGAGCAAACTTCTATGCTGGCATCCCATGTCCGACTCCGGAAAGGATATGATTACAACAAGAATATAGACAAGTTTGTGAGATCATGACGGAAGTTACTTAACTCACTGGATGATAAGGACGATATAAGGGGGCATGTATCAGACCTCCAGGGAGCCTGAAACCGCGTGTGGGCGGTTACCGCGGTGGCTCAACACTTAGGATGAAACGCGCCTTGAACTTTGATAGGATGACCGGCAATTCGCAAATCGTCATGCATCAGTGGGGGCTCCATCATTGCTTGACGGCTATAGGTGGGCGCGCCCAAACGATTTTCCGTTATCAGAAATGCAGTTGAAAACAGAACCCATGTCGGACAACATCGTGGCATTGTACTGTAGGGGCAGATGGGTCGCGCGCTGTCGGACGCTGTTGTGGTACAACGGAGAAGTCTGAGTGATGGTGGCGTGTGAGTCACGTGCACGAAGAATGCGAGCGAGGGGAAGTTTTGCCCGAAAGAGTTGTAGTCCCCCGATGAAGGCGCAGTGGATGCTTCTGGGGAAACAATGAAACGATAATGGGCGCCAAAAGATGAGAACTTTGATGCTATGATAGTCAAGCATTGGGTCTAACCGTGGAGGAGGGTAGTGCAAGAACGAGGGTGCGCGGCCCTCGGAGTAGCTATGTAGTAGAGCCTCGTAATTTCTTTGGGTTGGGTCAAGGGAAAGTGTCGAAAGCGACAAAGTAGCGATTAAACTCCGAGGCTAAACGGTGTGGCTCTCCGTCTAGGGAACCAGGAGCCATCATCGTCGAAGCTTCGCGTTGTACATAGATGACGATCGCGAACAAATCGATGGATAGCGTGTGGTGAACCATCGATAACGTGCGGAGCGAAGAAGGTCATGAGCAGTGTATCTCCGCTGAGCGAGGAGACACGCCGTGCAAGTTTCCATCAGGCTCAATAGTTGCAAGCGCAAGCAATCTTCATTCGAAGTTCTGTCAAGTCAGGGTGGACTAATACTGGGACCCACAACATGTGTACATTGGGGCTAGCTTTGCAGCTTTGTGGAAAAAGTGATCTGACTAAGACTGAGCACGAGGCACTGAGCACGAGGCAAAGTCTAAACATGGATCAAGATCAAATAAACTACCCGACACCCCGGGATGCTCTCCGCAGTATAATCTCGGAGGAAGCACCATATGCAATTATACGCGTGATCCAAGCATGATCCGTCGTTTATGTCGGCTGCCGTGCGAGAATACAGTAGAGAATTGTGAACATAATTAGGCTGCGCAGGCGCGGGCAGTGCAGGAGTGGAGTACCGGTTTAGAAGTGCAGCAGATTACCGGAAGGCTGAGGCTGAGCACAGTGGCTGAGCGGGAGGCTGCGGGGGGACTCGACGCCTCGCAGTGGCGCAGATTAACCGGACAAAGCCGGCAGATCTGTGCAATCAGACGCCAAGTTGATCTCGAAGGCGGGCCCTTGTAATTCGAGACCGCAGTGTTGTATCTTGGTCCGCTTTACCCAAACTTATCCACAAATGAAGACACCGTTTCCTCAATCACGGCTCCGTCCAACCAAAGTGAGTTTTTAATAGTACTTTATTGTTTTAGATATAGATTTCAGTCGCACGTCTGGATCGAAGACGACGTAAAAATACCTTCGATTTGATGAGGTTTACTGTAAGACTGTCGAGGCCCCAGTCGCTGAAGCAGTGTCAGTGAGAATGGGAACGTGCCATCCGAGACAATCGCGGCAGTCTAAGTACGTTCCATACAGCGGTGCGTGGACAGTACTATCGGTCTTCTCCAGGTCATCCTGTTGGCTTGGCCTGGCCGCCTTGGTGCAAACATGTTCAATAGTCGACTGGCGAGGAACGGCGATGATCTTTGCGTGTCCATCGGAGCCTTGGCTTGGTTCGTCATTCGGGTTCCACCTACAGCCTTCCCAAGCTTCAAAATCTCTCCGCCGTTTCCACTTGATGCGGCTCCTCGGACGGGTAATTCCCGAGAGCAGTGGCTTCTCAAATCTCGAAGTAGATAATGCACGACGGTGACGAGCGTTCAACACTGCGATGCTTCAGGACGGGTGACATTCCCCGCACGCCCATAAACGAAAATAGTAGACATGAGCCCATGACCGTTACCGCGGGAAGCAGGTGATATAACCAAAAGCTGAAATCGGTGGGGGAGCCAAAATGGTGGGCCAGGGTGGCTGCTCTGTTCAGTTAGAGCGGATTACTTGAAAACGGGTCTGATGAAAATGGAGACATGTGGGTTCGTGGAGACTTGGCTGATGCGTAGACTTACAAGCAATGTTCCGTGGAGCCAGCTGGACATTCGGGCATGAATTCCACACGATTCTAGTATTCTTGGAACCCTTCAAGACTCGAATTGGTCTCGGTCGGTGCCGCCGAGGTGATAGAGTTAACCCCTGCGGTTGGTTCACGACGAGATCCGTGGACGATGATCCGCTGCAATTTATGAGCAACTGGGAACAAACTTGAAGGGCCAGGGCATAATTGGCATAGCTTAGGATAGATAGAAGGGAGTGCTTACGAGAGGGGAGCCTTGTGGGTACGACATGATGTTACAGTGTCGTACGAGAACATCTTGACAAACCTTCGATCCTAGGGTCTGCCCCCTTTATGTGACAGAGCGCGCAAAAGTATAACCGAGTAAAGATATGATTAAGGGATTAATTGTGTCCAGGTGCCTTGCGTAGGCGCGCTCGCTATTGCATATAGAATGCGACGGTATGGCTCGCGACCGAGAGATCTTGGTGAGGTGCCGTTCTGTATGTGACTATGTAACTGTCTCATAACGATTTCTATGGATCCGAGGGTTCTCACTGTGCCTTGTATTATTATACGGGTGGCTCACAGAATTCTGTCCAAAGCTGGATGCGAATAAGAGACATAACTAATGCATAGCAAGGGTTGAAGCTTCGAAGACGCTGATCGCCGTATAAAAAGCTATAGTTAAGGAACCTGCATGTGGGTCCTGCGTCCCTAGAGAGAAGAATTTGATGTTGGATAGTTAATTGGAGGGCTAGAAATGGAAGCACTGTCATTGGTCGGCGCCAAACGAAATTGCCAAGGTTCATGACGGTGCGAGGGTGGATTCTCAGATCTCAGGATCAGAGTTCAGCTGAGGCACGAAAAGATGGGGACACTCGAAAGTCAGGAAACCGGACGGCACCGAATCGAGTGGCTACATAGACATAATGTAGGTGGTGGTCAAGGCCTCGTGTAGCTAGTAGTAACAGATAGTAGTACACTAAGGAGTCGCCAACGGCATGTCATGATCGAATTATCGTAACACCCCTCGCGGGAGTACTGCTGCAGTCCTTGACCTGTTCCTTGATACAATAATTTGGCGCTGCGCAGTAGCCTCTAGCATGATATAAACATATGAATCGTGGTTGTGCTGTGCTCAACTAAAATATGAGGCGGTTGAACTTTGGTAGCGAGGCGGTGGCTGAACGCGGCAAGGTCGGCGGCAATAGGCGCCGGTAGTGGTAAAGGGGCCGGGTGGCAGTGTATTTATGCCGAGATTCTGATTTTTATGTAATTGCAATCCATTAAAGACATGGCAGGTTACTACATAACGGATTCAAGCTAAATAGGCGTAAGGATAGATGAGCTCTGTCCGATAGCGCCCTCTCTTCCTCCACAACACACAACTTGTCCAGCCAGTCCCACTTCATTCTGTAGGCCACCAGCATCTGTAGTATACTCAAATCCATCTTCTATCTTACTCCAGTTTCCGGTAGCCATGGCCACTACTTCCCAACCCATCACTTTCCAGTCTCCTAAACATCCTGATTTCCACATGGCATCAGGTTCATTTACTGGTAACAACAACTCCATCCCTTATTTCCTAGGTTCGCCAATATCATGGCGTGCTGGCTCATTCGGAAGTCGCTTCTACCCTGGTTGCTCCCCTGGTCAACTCCTGGGTCCACTCGAGTCAGTTCAAACTTCACTCACACGTGTCAGGGTGCTGATATTATCTATGTAGTCCTAGTGAATTCAAGTGTCACAAGCTGTCGTCCTCTATCGACAGTGACCGTGGTTCAATTCTCAATGCTCTCAGTGCCTTCGACAAGGAGGACGAATTGGTGAGTTGTAGCCTTCGTAGTTTGTGCCATCCTCTCACGGTTCGACCCTCACAGTGCCGAAACTACACATGCTGTGGTCTACAGCTAGATGACCTACATGCTCTGCTACAGCATTTCGAGGAGGTCCACGTTGTCGTGCTTGATCCGTTCGGCCACCCCCAGTTCCCAGTCGTCCCACCTCTACCCCAGTCTATTCGTAATGCTTACTTCCCAGACTACCATCAACATCCTCCATCTTACAACCAAGGTGGCTTTGATCCTGATGACATGGAACTCGACATTGAACAGGGCAGTACGCCTTCGTCAAACGCATCAACACCCCCTGACACTCCCCTCACCACCCCACTGTCGTCACATCCTACTCATTCGTTTAACCACTTTGGTCAGTCGAAACCTGCCTCTCCGCATCTTCCCGTGTCGGCATTTGATACGACAACGGTGCTCCCTTCCCGCTCCATTCACGGTTCAGCATTCCCACCATCCCGGAATGGTCTTCCAAATGTGGCAAATGCCCCCGATGCATTTAATGGTTACGCGGGCTACTCCGACTACTCATCTTCAATGCCTGGCACTGTTCCTTCCCCACCCGCCAGTGATGATCTTCACTCACCTATCACACCTGTCAGTGAGCTAGGTAGTCCCTACGGCTGCCTTCCTCCAGCTGTGGTATTCTCCACGAGCAACACTCCTGTCAACACCCCTTCAGCATCTCGCGTTCCGTCTCCAGCAAGCGCCTCGCGCCACCCCGCGCCCTCCGCGGCCACGCTTCACCCGTCAGATCCCCCTGCTTCTAAAGCTTTCACGTCACAGCAGGGTAGTCAACGTGCCAGTACCACGCTCTCTCGCCCTGCATCATCATTACTATTATCGAAGCCCTTCCATTGCCCTAAGCCGAATTGCAACAAGAGTTACAAGCAAGCTAATGGGCTCAAATATCACATGACTCACGGCAGCTGTAACTTTGCGCCACCCAAAGACCTCGAGCAAGTACAAGCATTACTGGCTAGCAAGCGGTCCGCCCGCGAGGCTGCCGGAGAAGATCGGGGTATCACCGAGGGTGAGATGCGTGAAGTCGAACGGGAGGCAGAGCGTAGGCTTCGGCCCTTTGCCTGCGGTGTTAGCGATTGCCAGCGCCGATACAAGAACATGAACGGTTTGCGGTATCACTACCAGCACTCGGGTGACCACGGTGCAATTGGCTTATCTCTCCTGGCCAGTGGACAGCACGAATGTCTACAGCACGCCCATGGACGGAGTAGCAGTGCAAGCTCGCGGCATTCAACACCAGCAGCGAGTGGACATTCAACGCCAGTGACCGGACACTCGACGCCGACATATGCTCAACAATATCAGCAGCAGATGCTTTACTCGTCCGCACAGCAGCAGTACTTGCGTCAGCAGCAGGCCCTGCAAGCACAGATGCAGATAAACTATCCTGCCGTCTCAGCCGAAGCTGGCCCTATCATCGTCGCCCAACACTAAAGATCGGCGCTCGTTCAAAACGCAAAAGTCCGAAAGGACGATTTTCGAACGTAGACTAGATGTAATTTATCCTCCCATCATCACATCCCTACTCGCTGTCGGTCACCCCTCTGCGCTTTCTGGGGCGGCCTCGACCTCTCGCCATCCCGATATACGGCGCAAAAGTAAAAATTATACATATTGGTCGACTATTGTGATATATTCCGGTTTTCGTGTTCCTCGTTCTGCTCACTTTGCTCTGCTATGTGTTCCTCCTTTTACCGACCTACAACATATCCCAGGTCGACGCCTATCGCTTCTCATTTTTCCTTTGCGTCTGGCTTATAATGCTGCTTTGCCTTCCTCGTCCGTTGGTTGTTCCCTGCGCCCCCCATCGCATAGATCATAGCAGCTTTTGTATGTTCCTAAAAGCCGGGAGTCTGTACTGTTATGCAGGCTGGCATCTCTTTTGTAATCTTACTCCTGCATGTCCTCCATCTCTCGCGCCAGTGTTGCGTATACTTACATTAGCTATCTACATACATGAGTATGACAACCTATTTCACAGTGGATTTTGTCCTCTTGTTGAGATGCTCGAACACGTTGTGACCGATCAAGCCAAGATGCACCTTATGCCACGTGTTGATCGGGATCAAAATTATACTTCTGTCATATGCAGATTATCATCTCCGCAGAGATCTGATCGACCGGTCTCACCACAACCACTTCGCTGCAATTCATATTTGCCATTCGACCTTTGTTGAATTTCAATCGGAACCGTCATCCTTTCTGTGACCAAGGCAGTTCTCGGAGGGCAAGCTGAATCCTCCAGCAGGCCTCAGGCTTGGGATGCGTGACATCGCAGCGATCACTGACAGCTCGTATGTAGCCTAGGAACAGAATTATAGCGTACTTGCACGAAAAGGGGATGAATAACTTAGGGGGGGCGGAAAAAAACTTTTTCCCTAACCAAGGACCTTGTCCGTTTTGTCGTTTCCGAGGATGGGCGCAGACGAGCAGCGACCTGTCGCCGACTCGTAAACATGAGCAGAAGGCGAAGTTAGGTAAAAGGCAATTAACTTATCTTCATTGCATGGTTCGAACTTTAGTCTGCCTGCAGGAGGCTAGCAGAGAAGTCGTGTATCGTACGGCGGGAGCATTTCTTTGCACAGTGCACTCGTCCTGGTAAGTCCTTAGTATGGTGACCGATTGGTCGTGCAACGGTAACGGACAGCCACAGTGAAGGCAGACCTACCTTGATACGGAGGGGACTCTGGACCAACCCTCAGTGAGTCCCTGACCTACCTATCTAGATCTTGCTTCGATGGGGCCGCCGTCTACTAAGGGCCTCAAATTGGGGAGACTACAGGAAGCTCCTCACTATCGGTCTAAACTTTATTCTGAGGCGCACTAGACCTGTATCCGGTATGCCTGCGAAATTGCCCCTGTGGAAGGGCTTGGATTAGGGTCACCGTCGGTCTATATTTCAATCACTGAGGCGCATTTGAAACTGCAGTTTCTGCCAGATCCGATATCCTTTCATTTGCCCCCCCCCCCCCCCCCCCCTTTTTTTCAGCCTTTCCCCGCTCAGTTCATCTATCTGACGCTATCTGACGGCGGCCCGAGGATTAATTAATATTCCAGCTGCGCCATATTATGCGCGGTTGACTCTAATGTCTTTGAGCAAGCGAAGAGCTGGAGCCCAGGAACGCGTGTGATCGTGCGATCGATATAGAGCAGGAGTATAATGTACAGAAGGGATCTGTATTCGTGACTCAGGAGAAGGTTATTGTGCACGGACGACTCCTCCAAAAATAATATCCTGTGGCCCGCGGCAAGCATGCCTTCTAAGAGGTTTGCACGTCATGTTAAAATCTAGCAGTAAGTGTCAGAAAAAAGGTCTACTTCGGGGTCTACCTTAGGGAAAAGCTTTGTGAAAAGTAAATCAAGATCTGGGTAACAAGCCTCCCATATGTAATCCTCTTCACGGGGGTATCTCATCGTGAGATCTTCCAACCTGCTGTCAGAGTCACGGGGTTCGAGGTCATCCAAGTTCTTCATGTCATAGTCGTCTTTCACGGTACGGAGTGTAATACCGATGGCAAGCTTCTTCAAGCAAGGCAACGACTCGACGAATCTGACGACCCCGGGCACTGAAATCCACCGTGGCTTGGGTGCCGCGGAAGACGTGAACCCATAGTCCTTGTTGAGGAGCAACACCTCAAGACAGGGCCATCCTTTTGCTATTTCCTCCAGGTCACTATCGCCGATGCTAAGACTGGACATCGTATCGATGTCCACGACCTGAAGGTGACTCAGGTAGAGGAGTGGCCGTATGGTGTCAATGGTGATGACTTTACTTATTGATAACGTAGGGCCACTGGGTTCGGATAAGCATATGCACTGCAAGTTCCTGAAAGCCTCGCGCGTATGAAGCGAGTCGAAAAGCACCTGCAATAAGCTTGGGTCGAGCTTGACCTCAGATCGAAGTGATATCGAGGTGAGTTTAGAAGGCCATAGATGTGCGAAGGCTTCGACGTCTCGCCATTCTTTGATCTCCCAATCGACACTGTCAATGTTCTCAAAGAGAACGGGCTCGAGGCCGCGGGATGAGCCAAGAATATCTTCGAGATCACTGCTGGTGGGCAGATGCGTGCGGATATTGGTAACAGACGAGAGCCCACCCAAAAAAGTCAGGGCATCCTTGGCAATGGATGGTACGTCGACTATACGCAGCTTCTGCATTTGTTGGAGAATATCATGCGACACTGGTAGAGCGCAAGGTACGACCTCCTGATAATCCAGGTAGTTGTATTGTTCAAATTTGAGACTTTCAAGTGATGGGCAAGGTAAAGATGGTAAGACCGTGTGTAAAGGGTGGTCATCTGGCTCGTTATGATAGATGCTGATGGAGAGATGCTGCAGACGCGGGCCAAGCAGGGGGTAGATCAGATGGAATGGTTCACGAAGAAAGTCTACAAACAAGCTTCGCAAGTTTGGCACCGGGACCTTCGAAGAGCAAGCAAGGATTCGTAAAAAGGCTTGCATATGACCGTCGCGATCCGCAAATTCTTCTCTTAAAAACCGGACACGGTATGTATCTAGTCTTAAAGACCGGACACGGTGTGCATAGCGACTAATAACAGCCAGCTGAGCTTCTGTTGGGATCTGTGCCATCATAAAATATGTGTATTGCTCCTGAAAAAAAAAGAACTAACGATGGAACAGCCTTTGCCGTCTTTGGGCCTTTCTTTCGGGGACGGAATGATCCCGGCGCATCGCATGAGGGGTTCAATGCTTGGGAGAGTGTCCCAGAGGGCATCCAATGCTTGCTCCGTTAACGCGTGACACGTCAATGCAAGAGCGAATAAGGTTGGTTCTGGTTCTTCTAAAAATGGTTTGAAACTGGCAGGATTTTCAGTTTTGATATAGCTTATGATATTTGAGAAAATTTCATAAACAAGGAGAGCACGAGGCACCGTACGGTCACGGTTGCCGGTGAAAAGGGACATCGCATTAGGAGCGGGAAAGTGCAGCGAATTTGAAGGAGCGTTTCCGATGCAAGGATATTTTCAATTGAAGTGCGATGTGGAAAATCCGCGGGAGACAAGCTGAGACAAGCAAGGAAAAAACAAGTAGCTGCTATAGGCGATCGGAGTGCGATCGGAGTGGCGAACAGGGTACAATTGGGGCCCTGTTAGAGTTTGGTATTTCACCCTTCGTCATAGAATGAGTTCGGATCCGGATAGTCCCGACTACCCGTGACGTATATATATATCTACGTCGTAAACCACCATTCTCTTCTTGTCGTCTCCCGCCATGTCGTAGACACACGATACAGCGCTTTCTCCAGCTCCAACATTCCTTGAGATCGTAGTATGTTTCGTCTGCGCTGATGTAGCTTATGACTTTGTCAAACTCAAAGCTAAGCGCTAGTAACAATCACTTTGCTGTATCCCGTGAGCGCTGATAGGTGATGGCAAAGTCATTGTTACTTTGCGCGTTTCGCGTGAAGGAATTGTTTGTAATGTCTGTCCCCCAGCATGAGTCATGCACAATGAAACGGTAGGAGTTGCACTGCATCGGATGGTTGGTATGATTGTAAGCTGACGCCAAACAGCGATCGCTCGCTCCGAGATTATGAATGTCATCAATAAAGCAGGTACACCAAGAACATTGGAATATATCGTACTGGTATCACGGCAAAAAGTTTCAACGATGTATTTCTACAACAACCCACAGCAAAGTTGTCTTCACCGCCCGCCAGAAGGACGAAAGCCTGCACAAACATGCATGCATGCATGTGGGTGGCACCAGATGGTACGTACATAATTACAGTATACCAGATTCCTGGGTTGCAGAGCTCGGACGAAAGTGCCGAGACGAAAGTGGTCTATGCATTATAATACCTGACATGTGGGAGATAGGGGTGTGATTGTTATCCCATCACGAGTTGAGTCTAGTTGACGGAGTACCACCCAATGAAGCTTGAAGGACAAAAACCTTTCCGTCACCATGCTACAGCCACCTGCCGATACTCGGGAACCCAGATGAGTGGTGCCCGCATTTCTGTGTTCACTTCCTGGAAAAATGGGCCGTCGTCAATCTAGCGGATGGTAACTCGGTGGGTGCAACAGTTGCCTCAAGACCAATTGAAGAGAACAACCGGACTATTCATAAGGGTGAGTACCACAAGCATGGACGTCTAAACAAATCGTGAAATGGCACTGCCCAGAGTCTATTTAAATTAGTCGCCAACATCATGATCTGATCTAAAAACAGACATAATTCAACTGCAGTTCACAAAAGCATCTGCATTGTGACCAATCAAAATCAAAGAGCGCAACTGAACACATGATAAACACCGGCATGGAGTAGCATGGAGTTATTGGCTAAAACAAATTATGAAAAAACATGCAGCTCAAATTCCACATTCGTGTCATGATATAGACCCGGATGTATCATGACCTATCATGACAAGTCCGTTGCTTCGGCACTTGTAATCCGCAGCAGATGAGATGAAAATGAAAGCTCGCCTGTGCAAAGAATTGAATGCATGACCCCAAGTGCGACCACGAGACATGTGTATTGATCAGGTAGTAGCTGGAGTACCCCTATGCAATTTGATGGGAAAGGCGACCTAGAGGCAACCTGTCCCACGCGTACTCCACCGTCATTCGGCCGTGATGGACATCGAGGATGAAAGGCAGGAAAAGCTCGTTGCCTTGCACAGCCTGGCAGGCTGGTGCGTATAAATTCGAGGAGCGAATACCAGCTTTCAACTCAACCAAAGAAAGATCATCCAGCCTTTAGCCCTCTCTTACATAACAAACATGAAATTCTCAATCACCTCTATGATCGTGTCTGCCGCTGTGATGGCTGGTGTCGTTACCGCGTACAACCCCATCGGCCAGTCCTGCGACACCCCCGGTATGTACTCTTGCAGCATAGCGTGTTCTGGGACGTGCAGACCTTTGAATGTGTGCTTACGGTTGTTTTCAGGTGGCTACGGGTGCTCACAGGACTCGGGTGTTAACGGCGGGAATGCATTCATCTACGAATGTGCGTCGACAGACACCTTCGTATACGTTGCAGGCTGTGGCTGCCCCACTTGCTGCGAGGCCACGACCAGCGGTGCGTTCTGCACGTGAGAACAAGAGGTGAGCGCTGTTCTTCCTCGATGCCTTCGGAGTCCCAGTGTTGATATATTTATTTTCGCCAGAAAAGTTCTTCATCTGGCATGATACGAGTAATAAGAGTCTGAAGAAGTTGCTGTGGCTTAGTTTCAATAACGTGATATGTCACATGAACCTGCAGACAATCCCACCTAGTTATGCTTTGCAATTCCGTGCTATACAATGAAAGTGTGAGCTCTGGTGTTGTCCCAGTATCCCGAAAAGGAAAATTCCTGGATTGACAAGTCAAGCTGCACTCGACAGCCGATAAATCTACTCAGAGTATTGCAGCAAAAGGAAGGCTCCGCGCTGCTTTTATCTGCACGCTCAGTCTCACCGCCATACATTAAGATATATTAGGAACCGTAACAGGCTGAGCTTGCTTGCCACTGCCGCGACGTACCTCAAGTCAAGATTATTCGCAACTGCCAGCGCAGCCATAACCATTGATTTTAGCAGACCCATCTGCTGGAGTCGGGCCACCATTAGGGACAATAGAAATCGCACGGAAGTTTGCAACGTACTAAAAGGCAGTACATCCTCACTGTATGGGCCCAGCATGACAGACACTTCATCGACGGCAATACCTCAGTGTTTCCAGTAATGTTGTATGACATAGAAAGGTTTATTCTGTAGCACGTAGTACCGCGTCTACATGTGCCGCGGAACGGCCGCAGCACGACCGCGCCACTTCCACCTGCGCGGTAATTAAACATGGCGTGGCATTGCAATATGTGGGGGTTTCCGACCGACCTAATGGACTCACCGTGACTATGATCAGCCAGCATCATGCTGCGCTGGCGCCGTAATCAAACATGTCAGACGGGTAGCGGGGAAGAATTTGGAAGTTGGAAGGTGTTGTGCAAGGAGGCGCCACCCCATCACGTGCGTTTTGACCATGTGAACCTTGCATGCAGGCCTTGTAGCATTCAGGACCTCGACATTGTCGACATAGGGATGTTGGAATCACAAGAGAGCAGCTACCAGCATGGGGGGGGAACACAAAGACAACTGATTGGTCAGAGTAATGATATTACGGCGAATGCAGTGAACGACAGGGAGAAAGAACTCGCGAGGGGATACATAGAAGAAGCCACCATGGAGAGGCTGCGAAGCCGCTGTTGAATAAGCGAAGCCAGTAAGTGAGCAACGTGTATAATATGTTATGCACCACCATATGACCTTGCAGATGAGTCCAAGAACTAGGCGTCTAATCAGATAATATAGCCTGTCGACACATCGTCTCAGACCGACAACGCTGAAAATGAAATCGAATGCTGGCTCACGCACCCGAACTGAACGCGTGACTTTAGCCTGATTGGAAAGCCGCCTCAGGATAGCCTGTCCGGCGTGCCATACTCTGCCGAGATTGGCCCAGCGTTAAGCGTCGAGGATGGAAGGCAGAAAAGGTCATTGCATGCTGGCACGTATAAATGCGAGGGGCGAGTACCAACTTTCGACTCAATCCTTTCAAGCTTTAGACCTCTCTTGCATTACAAACATGAAATTCTCGCTCACCTCTATGATCGTGTCTGCCGCTGTGATGGCTGGTGTCGTTACCGCGTACAACCCCATCGGCCTGCCCTGCGCCACCCCTGGTGAGTGCTCTCCCAGCTTAGCATGCTCTGGAACGGTCGGATCTTTAGCTGCGTCGTCCTTACGATTGTTTGTAGGTGTTGTTGGGTGCGGACAGGACGCAGGTTTTAACTCTGGGAACGCATTTATCTACGACTGTGATTGGACAGGCACGATCGTATTTGGTGCAGGCTGCAATTGCGCCGGTTGCTGTGTCACTGCAACCAACGGCGGTGCGTACTGCATAAGCGAGAATTGAGCGCTGTTCTTCCTCGATGCCTCGCGAGTCCAAGTGGAGATGTGGTTGTTGGAGGCCAAGGGAGTTCGTTGACGTCGCAAAACAGGAGTAAAAGCGAGAAAGAATTCTGTAGCTTACTGGTGTCAATAATATGACATGAACATCTGGACAAATCCCACCTATGTAGCAAAACAAGAGTAAAAGTGAGAAGGAATTCTGTAGCCTACTAGTGTCAATAATATGACATGAACATCTGGACAAATCCCACCTAGACAATTCCTCGCTGTGAAAGTGAGTTCCACTGATGTTGTCCCAGCATCCCCCAAAAGGAGCATTCCTGCATGGACAAGTCAAGCTGCACTTGACAGTGATAGGAACTTGCCTATCCATTTACAAGGCGGTAACGTATGATGAGTATTGCAGCAACAGGAACTTGGTACCATGCTCCTTCATCACCGACTCCATGAGATACGGGAAGAAAGCTCTCAAAGTAGAGACGGTCCTCCAGATCTCCAGACCTGGAGTGGCACATCACAAAATGAAGACAATCCGGAAATCAGAGGTTTTAGTGTGTTGTGGCGCCTCACCGTCCTCCAGGACGGAATAGGTAATTCCGAACAAGCGTTCAATGAGTCCCACATAGTGCTAGTACTTGTGTCTTCCGAAACTCAGAGTTCCGATACATATCAGCGTAACTTCGTTCAACGTTCAACCCCAGTGAAAAACGGTCCTAGCCATATCTATGGCAAACGACGGTAATATGAGAAATGTGCCAACAATATCGCGAGAGCTATGCAAATCGGGAAAGTGGAATGTGCCGTTGATCCATTGAGTAAAAATCCGTTGAACATTGGTTGAACATGTTGAAATTCTTTCAACTGCGGCTTGACTTTGCTCAATATTTGAACGTTCTGCCGATCTGAACGTTTGAGCATTCTTACGCATCAGCTGCGCACGCACCATTACTTCACTCGCGCAATGACGTCGACACACAGTGGGCCAATTATGATATATATATTGGGACATTCCATCCCCACTCAACTCACCTGAGCTTTCTTCTTCCCCTCCATCATCTCCCCTCAGCAAAACCTTGCTGTCGATCTCGACCATCCCGGTCAGTCGTGGACCGAAATGTCTGACACTAGCTAATTTTAAACTGAGCTCGGATATCGTCTTCTTGTTCCCAAAGTTCACATTTCCTTTCTATCTATCTGAGCCTCCTCTCTAGGGAGGTCTCTTCATCATGGCTGATGATCATGATACTGGTTCCACTGCACCAAAGACACCTGCCCGTAACTCTGTTTTGTTCCCCCCCGCACGCAGTTGGCTCCGCTATCGTCAGCGAACGTATCAGCACTGCAGGCGTTGGGCGCGTCAGATCTTTCTTCAATTGGACTTAGAGTCTCAAGAGCGCACGACTCATTTAGGTCTACGCAGACCAGCAACCAAGGTGCTATCAAATCTTCCGGGGACGTCCCATTTTTCTCAATAAATCCACCGCATTGGTCGCCAAGCTCTTTTAACCAGAAGAGGCACGTCAGAGCGAACCTGATTTGCGAAAGAAGAGCCTGTCCCAGTATTCCGAAAAGGAGAATTCCTGGATTGACAAGTCAAGCTGCACTCGACAGCAGATGGATCTACTCAGAGTGTTGCAGCAAAAGGAAGGCTCCACGCTACTTTTGTCTGCACGCTCAGTCTCACCGCCATACATTAAGATATATTAGGAAGCGTATCAGGCTGAGCTTGCCTGCCACTGCCGTGACGTACCTCAAGTCAAGATTATTCGTAACTGCCAGCGCAGCCATAACCATTTATTTTAGCAAACCCATCTGCAGAAAATAATGTCCGCTGGAGTCGGGCCACCATTAGGGACAATAGAAATCGCACAGAAGTTTGCAACGTACTGAAAGGCAGTACATCCATCCTCACTGTATGGGTCCAGCATGACAGGCATTTCATCGAGGACAATACCTCAGTGTTTCCAGTAATGTTGTATGACATAGAAAGGTATATTTTGTGGTACGTAGTGCCGCGTCAACATGTGCCGCGGAACGGCCGCAGCACAACCGCGGCACTTCCACCTGGCGCGGTAATTAAACATGGCGCGGCATCGCAATATGTGGGGGTTTCCGACAGAACGAACGGACTCACCGCGACTATGATCAGCCGGCATCATGCTGCCCTGGCGCCGTAATAAAACATGTCAGACGGATAGTGGGTGGAAGGAAGGTGTTGTGCAAGGGAGGCGCCACCCCATCATGTGCGTTTTGACCATGTGAACCTTGCATGCAGGCCTTGTAGCATTCAGGACCTCGGCATTGTCGACATAGGGATGTTGGAATCACAAGAGAGCAGCTACTAGCATGGGGAGGGATACAAAGACAACTATTTGGTCAGAATGATGATATTACGGCAAATACAATGAACGACAGGGAGAAAGAACTCGCGAGGGGATACATAGAAGAAGCCACCATGGAGAAGCTGCGAGGCCGCCGTTGAATAAGTGAAGCCAGTAAGTGAGCGACGTGTATAACGTGTTATGCACCACCATATGAGACCTTGCAGATGAGTCGAAGAACTAGACGTCTAATCAGATACAATAGCCTGTCGACACATCGTCTCAGATCGATAGCGCTGAAATGAAATTGAAGGCTGGGCTCACGCACCGAACTGAAGGCGCGACTTTAGCCAGGTCATCAAATATAGATCAGTGATGGGAAAGCCACCTCAGGGTAGCCTGTCCGGCTTGCCATACTCTGCCGAGATTCGCCACGCGTTGAGTGTCGAGGATGGAAGGCAAACGTGCATGCTGGCACGTATAAATGCGAGGGGCGAATACCAACTTTCGACTCAATCCTTTCAGGGTTAAGACCTCTCTTGCATCACAAACATGAAAGTCATCTCACCCACCACGATTATCATGTACGCTACAGTGATGGCTGGTGTCGCTACCGCGAGCAACCCTATCGGCCAGTCCTGCACCACCCCTGGTGAGTCCCAGCCTAGCATGCTCTGGAACGTTCGGATCTTTAGTTGCGTCGTCCTTATGGTTGCTTGTAGGTGTTGTTGGGTGTGCATAGGCCGCAGGTGTTAACTCTGGGATGTCATTTATCTACGAATGTGCATCGACACGCAAGTTCGTATATGCTGCGGGCTGCGGTTGCCGCGGTTGTTGTCTCACCACAACCAACGGCGGTGCGTACTGCATAATAAGCGAGACTTGAACGCTGTTCTTCCTCGGTGTCTCGCGAGTCCTAGTGGAGATGTGGTTGTTGGAGGCCAAGGGAGTTCGTTGACGTAGCAAAACAGGAGTAAAAGCGAGAAAGAATTCTGTAGCCTACTGGTGTCAATAATATGACATGAACATCTGGACAAATCCCACCTAGGCAATTCCTCGCTGTGAAAGTGAGTTCCACTGGTGTTGTCCCAGCATCCCCGAAAAGGAGCATTTCCTGCATGGACAAGTCAAGCTGCACTTGACAGTGATAGGAACTTGCCTATCCATTTACAAGGCGGTAACGTATGGTGAGCATTGCAGCAATAGGAAGGTACCACGCTCCTTTATTTGCTACACTCAGGCTCACCGCCGTTACATACACATTGAGAGGACGAGTACGTTGATCGGGCTGAGGGAAATGGGATAACGGGTAAAGCAGCGTCATACAAGGTGTATAAAATGCGAGACGCTGTTGAACACGTTAGCGGTCGTCACCGAACATGATGCTAATGGTCAAGTCACTTTGGGGCTAGTGTCTACCACTTATAGGGCTCGAGCCGCTCAGCGCCAGATAATTTCCCAATTACTTACATAAGGAAAAAAATGGATGTGCTAGGTGGACTTGTGATACTCCGACAGGTACGTGTCTTTCGAAACTCAGATATTGCGAAGGTTCCACTGCATAACTTCGTTCAACTATCAGTTGTGGACCGAAATTCTGACACTAGCTTTTATAAAACTAAGCTCGGATATCGTCTTGTTTCCAAAGTTCACATTTCCTTTCTAGCTGATGATACTGGTTCCACTGCACCAAAGGCACTTGCCCGTAGCTCTGTTTTGTTCCCCCTCAAGTCCACCCCACACGTAGTTGGCTCCGCTTTTGTCAGCGAACATATCAGCACTGCAGGCGTTGGGCACGTCAGATCTTTCTTCAATTGGACTTGGAGTCTCAAGAGCGCACAACTCATTTCGGTCTACGCAGACGAGCAACCGAGGTGCTATCAGCTCTTCCAAGGACGTCCCATTTTCTCAATAAATCCACCGCGTTGGTTTCCAAGCTCTTTTGGCCAGAAGAGGCACGTCAGAGCGAACCTGATATACTCGAGGACGTCTGTAAGATTGCGAAAGAAGAGCCGGATGTGTTGGGCCACGTTCCAGAGATGGGATGGTCTGGTCCTACAAGTTTGAAGGAACATTGACTGGTGAACGAATTTCCTGCCATTGGCGCCTTCGCTCACATGAGTGCACTGGACCACAGGTGATAACACTCCCAGTGTGTACGGTAGGAGCACGAGCAGCTCCGCTGGGTAATGATCGGGTTTCTCAAAACGTCTTGATGGACTGAGCAAGTGAGTGCCACGTCTGCGCATTCACTGCGGTTGAAGATTTTCAATACTTACCTGTGTCCCATCATCCGGCCCCTGGTTTCTGCACATTCCTGATGCGAAGATGACGCGCCGGGGCGTAAGTAGTTCGTAAATGTTTGCTATAGCTACCACTGTTATTCCGGGAAACCAGTGTGGAACCGGTCTGGCGCAAAACACATCAACACGCGGACTCGAGGAAAACACGCTGCCCTCTTGCTTTCATATGCAATTCACGCCGGTGTGACCACACATCAAGTAGGCGAGGCGCCGTCCACAAATTGGTTTCAATGCACACTCACAAATGAAAGCACTGTACTGTAGCCGTTCGCCTATGAGGCACCCATAACTATAACTTCTACGCGGTATAATGTCCGGACCGCTATGTAGCAAGAGTTCTCACCAGGGCTGGATCATCGAATTTAAATGCTCCGCCCACTGCATGGTCAGATCCGAGGCGATGGGCGCGGGGGGAACGGGTGTCCAAGAAAAGAATGTGCCATGATACATACGCATGTTTGAAGTGCCGTCCGATAATCGTCAAGAGGATTCGGGGGCTGTATAGGTGATTTGTCGATTAGTAATCAGTGTTGCAGCAGAATCGGAACTTGTTTCCCAGTTCGTGTGCAACACCCAGCCTCACCGCTACACATTCAGATGGACTCAGAACGAGCTGTGAAACTTTGAAGATGGCACATATGACAGAGGTAAACTTGAGCCGGCATGGTGGCGCGAGTGACTTGACGCTCCGACAGGATTCCCAACAGAGCACTCGAACGGTTTGATGATTGATCAAAGACTTCATGTAGCAGCAAAGTTCAAACCTCATCGCCGCATCGATGATCATTAACGGACTCGGCGTGAGCACGATGATTTCAAACGGTAGCTTCCTCCATCCCAAATGTGTAGGCGCCCAACTCGGAGGTGCCTCAACACTCATCAACGCTTTATCGGCATTTTTCTAGCATTCTGTTTATCCTCATTTCAAGCCTGTCGTGGTCCCATCTCTCTTCTCTGCCTCGGCAAGTCTCTGAAATAATGGGATGTGTGCGAATGGTCTATAAAGGCCAAGTGATTTCTGCAAGCAAATCTTTCGAGTTTGCAACCTTGGTGCTATCATCAAAGCCCCCTTCACACCTGCACCATAGATCAGGAGTATTGTACATACAAGTCTTGTACTCACTGGCACTGCATAGCGCTGATTCCAATATGTAGGAACGCGCCTCCTAGCACGACGGACAGACGTTGGAAAAATCATTAACAATCTGGGCCTCAGGGCGCAGCTCGACACTTCGCTCAAATGAGCACGGAGCACAATAATTGATGAGAATTAGCGCTGAGCGCGCGGGAGCAGATTCGTTGAAGAGGAAGAACCTTGCTTTGACCCTGGAGCGAATGTCGGCGCCTGTGTCGGGACTCGGCGGCTGCGGGCGGTTGCATTCAGCAATGGTTACGCCTAGGGCTGTTCGCATATACTTGTTGGAGAACTACCTGACAAATCTATAGTCAAGACTCAGCATTAATATTGGCATCAGTAGAAATAGAACATTAGGTCATAGAATTTAGGACGAGGCACGCTCGGGTTTCTGCTGGCGTTTTTCAAGTCATGTGACTGGGGAATTAACAACGAAACCAAACTACTCATAGTAACTCACAGTATGATGTAACTGGTGAGTATAAACAACTTCACTGGAATGGAGTGTTGAACTACGCCTCCCCGTTGTGGACAGGACTGCTGATGATCGGATCTTTCGATCACTTTAATGGACTAACCAAGTACTGAGACTCTGCCACGTCGGCGCGCCCCAACGGTGAGTAATTTCCAATACTCTTATCTGTCCCCAGCTTTTGCTTAGTAGCTGCAAGGAGGGACGCGCCGGGGCGCGATTGATACGCTATCCCACACATAAGGCCATTTGAACCGCATATCAGTCAAGATGGCGGAATAAGATATGTTGATGTGGCGCCACAGTCGGGTCCGTTGAAATGATAGGTGTGCAACGTTCACTGATCGCGGGGCTCAAGAGCCGAACGACATTTGGAAGAAAATTGTCGCCTGTACGCTATTTCGAATTTGAGGCAAACGCAATCGTATCCTGTTGACAGTTATCAGACGACACTTCAGCGTCACGATCTAAAGACCGAATAATCGCAACTCACAAAAACAAAACAAAAAAGAACATTCAATCACATCATTGTAATCATCATTACAAGGCCATTGTTTGATACCTGTTCCATCGCCTCGGATTGGTCATGCAGAGGGATGCGCAGCAATTTCAAGACCAATTCCTAGCACCATATGCCTCTCGGCCATCGAATGTCCTGCCCATCTGCAGGTGAAGTAATTCTGATGGGAAAGCCGTGCAAAGGCAACCTGTCCCGATGAAATGTAGGAATGCGTCGTTGTCCTGGCGCGTGCCAGAGCTACAGTATAAAGGCGAGAGGAAAGTGCTAGCTTTCCACTCAACTCAACAGAAGATAAATCATCAAACCTTAGAAGCCTTAGCATTCTCTTCCCAACAAACATGAAATTCACCTCTTTCATCGTGTCTGTCGCGGTAATGGCTGGCGTGGCTCTCGCTACCAACCCCATCGGCGAGTCTTGTGACACCCCTAGTGAGTGCTCTTGCCACAGACTCGTGGACTTCGGGACATGCGGATATTTGACAGAGTGCTGACGGCTGCTTGCAGATGTTTTCGCATGCGGACAGGACGCGAGCCTCAACAACGGGAATCCGTTCGTTTATGAATGTTCACCAGTCACGGACGAGTACGTGTACGTTGTAGGCTGCCTCTGCCCCACTTGCTGTATCACCACGCCCGTTGGTGGTGGGTTCTGCGTTGTAGAGTGAGAAGTGAGCGTTGTTTTTCCTCGATGACTAGTCTGAGTGCTGATGAGTTTGCTTTTGCAAGAGAGATCGTGCGTGGAATAATGTTCCGTGATAGAGGAATATAGAAGGAGTGTTGTATCCCGGTCAACAATAGATTAGTGTATGGAACTAGTCCCACTTGGTAGTGCTGTGTAATGTCGCAAATCAAGGCGTGTTCCATTGGAAATTGTCGAGCATCCCAAGTCGTTATTCCTAATTGGGCGGTCAAGGGTACTACACTGCAGAGTGAGGAACTTGCTCTTAGGTGGTCACGGTGATGAACACGGATGCTATAGAAAGAACGAGTTCATTCCGTTGCAATACTTTGTCTGACCGCTGCATATTAGTACATAGGAGAAATGAGCTGAGCGAGATGATATGATGGCAACATACATATCCTGGTGAGCCCGCAGCCTAAGCCGCGTGGTAGAGAGAAGGTGTCACTGTGCCTTGTAGCTATCGAAGGTGCTAAGCGAGAAAGGAGTTCACGAGAAGTTGGGATGGAAGGCGATAACAAGAAGGTTCACTGCTCTCGTCTGGAAGCACAAAACGTGGCAGTGTGATGGAGCACTACGTAGTACGATGAGCAAACGATAGAGGTGTGGGAATGAGATAGTCTCGAGGCGGGCTGAGAGAAGATAAGTAGTCGACCCTTCTTCGTAAGTGTCACAAAAAAAATGATGCGATTGTTGTGCCACGGGGCCCCAGCTGCGCATTCGCACGCCGGATCTTAGTGCACAGGAGGAGGACCAGCTTGATACAGCCTGCTGGTTTGTTTTGATCTGAGCCTTGCAAGCCCGACAACCCCATTTCCGTCTCCTCGAGGCGACTTATCTCGAGACGCCATAATTGGCAGATTACGTGTACAGCCACCGCAACCGGAATTCACCGCGCTTACGTAGACTGAGTTGTTATAAGCCTGTTGGAAAGACGGAGGGGACTGAAACAAAGTCAGTTTTGCAATGCGCGGACTGACAACAGTAACATTCGCTCTCCTCGGCCTCGCTGCTGCTATCCCCGAACCGCAGCGTCGCAAGTCTCTCTCTTTTGGTCCTGTTCTTCCTCATGCACGCTTCGATAGTAGTGCTCACCAGCCTGCCCCCGATTCACTCTTCTCTACTCAAGACAGAGTGCGGGTAGACCCCTACGAGGTAGCCAAGTCGTTCCTTGACTCTGTCGTAGACCTCGATGCCGGTGTGAGCTATGTCATCCGCAGTGATAGCTACACGGATCGCGCTACCGGCGTGACCCACGTTTATGCACGCCAGGTCATTCAAGGTGTCCAAGTGGCCGATGGTAATATGAATTTGAACATCAAGGACGGCGTCGTCTTGAGTCACGGTGATTCGGTACGTATACGTAATACCGGTGACGCGTCTCATTTATCAGCGCGCTTACACCCACTCCTCGTAGTTTTACCCCGGCCCGGCCCCGGCATCACACACCCGTGGTGCCCACCCCCACGCACAATACTGCGCCCAACTCGACTCTGCTCGTTCCCCCCGATCAGGCCAGATACCCATTGACGGTGCACACCCAGAGCTAGAGCACATCCACTCCTCCAACTGTGCAGCCCTCCCCAACCTCCATTCCGTCCCAACTCCCTCCGTTAATGACCACATTCCGAGTCCACAGGATGCACCCCGTGCTCTTCTTACTTTCCTTCTCGCAGCTGCCCCCTCCCCCGCTCTTGAACAGGATATCCATACCCGTTTCGATGAGCATTTGGCGAGTATGACCATGGCTCACATGTCCGGCCTCCTCCCTCATGAGGCTGGGCAACTCACCATCGCCGGTGCACCCGGAACCATTGGTGACGTGAAGACCTCTGTCGTCTGGGTCCAGGTTCCTTCAGAAGATGGCACCGTGCATCTCGAGCTCGTACACCGCGTTAGTACTCATTCTCCTTATTTCTTAGCCGATGTTGACCATCACGCAGTTCGAAGTCGAGATGGAGAACAACTGGTATGAAACCACAGTCTCTGCATCTCTCCCTCACCGCATCGTGTCCGTCGTGGACTGGGCCAGTGACAGCCCCATGCCTCTCTACTCCCCCGAATCTCACCATGAGGATGCTCAGCTCCCTCCCCTCTCCTCATTCGTCCCTGCGGGCTCCAACGCCGCCTCCTGCTCCACCTCCAAGAAGGTCGGTGGTCGCTTCAGGAAGGGCAAGGCCGTAGCAGATCTCCGCAAGAGCAAGGCCGCCAAGGAGGCCGCCAAGTCGTTCAACGGCCCAGCCATTCCTGACTTCCCCAAAGCATATTACAATGTCTTCCCATGGGGCACCAACGACCCTGTTGAGGCTGTGGAAAAGAAGGCGCTGAGGGAGGCAGGTGGTAAGTTTCACTACGTCCGCCTTATGATCCGAACCTCAACTCACACCTCCTTTAGTGCTCCCCGATTCGCTTCCCCTCTCCTACGGTCGCGACCACTCTCCCGAGCTGGGTGACAAACTCGCAAGTCCGGCAGGGTGGCACGCCCTGCCATGGGGCGTAGATCCCAGTATTAGTGAGGATGAAAAGGCTTCACTTCGCGCGCAAGGTTAGTCATGCTCTAGTTGATCTTTTCGTACTTTAGACCTGATGCGGAACCGCAGGCGAGTTCTGGCGCTCGACAAACACAACGTGGGGCAACAACGTTTTTTCACACGAGAACTGGGAGGGCCGGAACTCATGGATATATAACCGCCGTCCCGAGGGATCGCCCGTGGGTGGTGAGTGCTTGCGCAGGTTGTGCTGGTTTTCGTTTATCTGACACCTGTCTATAGACGAGATAAGCGAGCTTCCATCCGTCCACTACAACTACACCTACTCCCCGAGTCCAAAGGGCAACACAGAGGAGAACATGGCGGACGCACAGGATCACATCGATGCAACCGTGACACAGCTCTTCTACACGAGCAACATGTTCCACGACTTGACCTACCGGTGAGTTTTACTGACTTTTACGTCTTATTTTCCCATGTGACGAATTGTGACAGGTACGGCTTCACCGAAGAGGCTGGGAACTTCCAGCAGTACAACTTTGGACGTGGCGGTGAGGAATCGGATGCTGTGATTACGAATGCACAGGACGGCAGTGGGTTCAACAATGCCAATTTCATGACGCCTCCCGATGGGCAGAACGGGTGGGTTGTTTTTCTTCCTTATCTTGATGGATACTTATCTTTCGTGAACCAGTCGATGCCGTATGTACCTCTGGAACACGGCAAACCCTTACCGCGATGGTGACATGGAAGCTGGCATCGTCATCCACGAGCTTGCGCATGGTCTCAGCACGCGCTTGACGGGTGGCCCCAAGAACAGTGGGTGCCTTGGCTGGGGTGAGGCCGGTGGTATGGGAGAGGGTTGGGGTGGTAAGTTTATTCGACGTTGATTGGACGCCTAACAACAAACTAACTCACCGCCCACAGACTTCCTCGCCACCACCATCCGCAGCACTGCCACCTACCAGGACTACGCCATGGGTGCATGGGCTGCCAACCGCCCAGCGGGTATCCGGAACTACGTGTACAGTCTTGACAAGTCGGTGAACCCGAGCACGTACAAGACCCTTGACAAGCCCGGATACTGGGGTGTGCACGCAATCGGCGAGGTTTGGGCACAGATCCTGTGGGTCGTCGAGCAAGGTCTGATCGAAAAGCACGGATTCTCGGAAACCCTGTTCCCTCCCCCACACGACGCTAACTTCGCTGAATACGGTGGTTTCTACCGCGCCGACAAGCCCTTCGTCCCGAAGCATGGCAACACGCTATTGGTACAGCTTGTAGTGAACGGGATGAAGCTCCAGCCTTGCAGCCCATCATTCTTTGATGCACGTGACGCGATTGTGCAGGCTGATCAGGTGCTTACGGGTGGGGAGAACTTCTGTGAACTCTGGTCGGGCTTTGCCTCGCGTGGGTTGGGCATTGATGCTACCGTTAAGGGGCGCACGCCATGGGGTGGAGGTGTTAGGGAGGATGTAAGTCGCTTTCGCTGCCATTCCCTTTTTGGTAGGACCTGTGCTGACGTATGTCACTTTGCAGGGTTACAAAGTCCCAGCTGCATGTCGCAGCGAGGACGAGCCGGAACCCTCACCTGAGCCAATCCCCGATGACCCAGAAGACGATTGCGGTCCGTTTGGGTGCTGGTGGACCTGGTTGTGATCGATAAGGTCTTAAATGTTCCGAACGTCATTATATCCATACATACACGATTGGAGACGCACGGCTAGATGATGGAGATATCCAGACTCTGGATAGAATATATCCGTATCCTGCGCAGGTAATCATGCATTAGTTTAATTTTGGCTTGGGATATTTTGGTTGTGGTTGCGCATAGTTGTTGTATGATAGTGATACCTGTGTATAGTTGAATGATATATCATGCATCGTAACATGGCTGTGCGTGGATGCGATATTCGGTAAATCTTCACCCATTTCACGTGAGAGAGGGGGAGCAGGGAGGTAGAGAGCAGAGAATGGGGTAGGGGCGTGTTACCATATAACCCAGGCTCGGGGGCGCAAGGCAACGTCCAACACCAGCCTGAGGTACCGAGTAGTTAAAACGGGGACCTTATACCCCTCAGTCATTCGTATCTCAGCTATTTTATAATCCTACTTCGCTTGCCAGCTGCGCAACGGCTCAGCTGTTACGTGGACATCTCCCACAGAATGCATTGTTTGTTGCATATAAATAGTGATTCTCTGTTTCTTTCAACCATTTTCACACTCGAATGGATTCTTACTGAGCGCCCGTGCGTACGCGCGTGAGTATCTGGTGGTTCGTGATGGAACACGATGTCAAAATCTGTCGGTTGACTGTGGTTCAAATGGGAGCGCGCGAGCCCTCGGGCACGGAATATTGTCAATTCAATTACCAGGTCGCTCCCCCGGCGGCCGGCCATTTTACAAGAACCACTCACTTTCTTCATTCGTCTATGGTATGTTTTCATTTATCTATGGCCTGCGGAGACGAGGAAGGAAGGTATATGTCACACCAGTAGTTCCGCAGTCCCTTCTTCTTAGAATTCGGGTCTGTGGATGTCATTCTACGACAAAAAAGCGAGCCCGCAGCACGGAGTCCGATGGAGCTGGAAATATTGGGGTGAGCCACCACTTGATCCGAATTTGAATGTGTTTACGTTGAACCGTTCTGACTGGAGTCTCTATTAAAGATGTTACGCCGCTGATGCTAGGGGGGGATATGGTTCACCAACGCCAAGCCCCTTCAACTTGAAACAGCTTGAAACACGGCATTTTAATGTTCGGTCAGGTGTCCAAACAGATTTATTATGCAGGGTTACTGACTTGGCAGGTGCGGGACCTGGCAATATAACGTTATGTCACGAGCGAACAGGAGGGAGCCACAAACAAGTTGGAAACACGAATTGATAACCAAGCAGATGATGGGGCTCTGATGGGCCATCTTGAGAAGACAATACGGTTCTGGAAGCCATAGGAACATACGGTCGCATGATCAGATAACGGCAGAGCTAGACAATGTTCCATATCTACTCGGATGTTTGCGTAAGTACCATTTCAAGGTGTCAATCTGATAGGACCCCTTCTGTCGGACTAGTGCCGATGTAGATTATTTCGGCTCACTGGGATCCTGTGTTGTGGGGAAACGAAATAGCAATGGATATAAAAATGGGACCACGTTGTCCCTTTGGACTCAGACCAACCCTATCCCTCTCTCTCTAGACATAATGCGAGATCTACCCATCGAAATTATCAACGCTGTCGTTGAGAATGTTTCCTCCACAAAAGATCTTCTCCAGTTACGCTGTTTAAACCAGACGTTTCGAGATCTCGTCACGCCCATCGCATTCAGCAAAATTCACGTGAAAAACAGCATCCAGAGCGCACAAAACCTCCAGCAGGTTATCGGTGCCGCACACCTTGCTACCCATGTTCGGGAAGTCGTCTATGATTCTCGTGATGATGAATGTTTCCAATTTCCCCCGGAGAATATCGGCGAGTCCCATTTCCTCTCTCATCTATATATAGGAGCTGACCGTGGCATGTTCCTGCAGATGTGGAGGATATGCTTGAAGTCGCTGAGCTTGAAGAAGCCTTGACTGAAGCTTTCTGCGCAATCGGTGCATTTCCCAGACTTGAACGCGTCGTCGCGAGTTTTTGGCCATCGTTTACCTCCCAGTCTGGGAAGGAAATTCGCGAGAGCCCATTCTGGTTTACCAGTCGGCAGCTCACGGTTATCCATTCCATATATCACGCAATGGAGACGTCCCGCATGTCATCCCTATCTCTCAACAACGTGGTCATGATGCCTGCTTTATGCTATGACTTCGTCTCTACCCTCACGAACTCGCCCCTGTCTCATCTTTCAGTATCCGTTGTGCCAAACGCTGATATCAGTGCCTGGTCGGGTTCAAAGGACATCAACGGATCACTTGGCGCACTCCTGCCCCTTTCCAACGCCACACTCAAGTCTCTTGTATTGCGCAGCCCCCAGGGCCCATACTACAGCGTCAAAACACAGCTTTCTTCATTCCATTATCCCTCGCTCGAATCGCTCGTACTCGAAAACATCATTCTTGATCAAACGCCCTCTGCTGATGGCGTCGAGGAATTTGTCCTCCGCCACAAGAATTCCTTGCGACGACTGGAACTGCGATCGTGTACGAGCTATGTAGCCAGCCCATCAGTTGATGCTAGGCTGTGGTCGAGCATCTGGGAACGATGGACTGCAGAACTGACGAGCTTGAGAGAGCTTGTGGTGGACGGCAACAGTGGATATGTTGTGCTGGATCCCGAGTGGGGCTACGTCACGCATAAAGCGATCAGCGCCATGGCAGCTGAGGGTGACTCGTCGAGCTTGCAGATGTTCCAGGATGCTATTGCAGCCGCTCGTCAGGTTATAGCCTGAATGAGGGGGGTATCATCGATCAGTATGTTTGGTTGATTTAGGTAATCTCGGAGGACAGTGAACACGTATATACCCCTTGCATAGGACTCATGTAAAATTTGCTTAGTAGGAGCAAATCAGGAATTGAAGCAAGTCTGATTATCATGACTCCCACGAAGCGCTTCGGAGGTTTTCTTGATCAGAAACATGCAGCATCTGCGTGGGTTTTCTTTCCTTTTCAGCTGACGCGCCCCCATCAAGACTTTGTCATGTTTTAATTATGCGACGTTATTGAAAGTCATAGGGCGAGCGCTCCGTGCAGCGTGGGCATCACTGTTGCGTTCCATCAAAGCCCTTTGACATGAACTCTAGGTCAGTTTTTAAGTTCATCGCTGTGTATACTATAGCCCTATTTGCCCACTATCTAGCCCTATTTACCCACTATCTTAACGTGTTCTGGCCACGACTTCATATTGCAGAAATCTAGCCTCTTTGACTCGGATGGTGCCGATAAGAGTTTTCTGTGAGCATACCCTAGTACGCTGAGCTCATAGGCGGGTTGCTGCTTCTCACACCTTTCGATGAAGTCAGCATTGATAGGTCTATCTTCAGCACTCATAGCCATGCGGACCCGTCGACGTTTTAAAATATCTTCCCCAAGCTTGGACTGTGCATGTTTCACACTCACTCATCTTGGGAGGTCCGATCTGTTCGTTCTGAGTGGCGCGCACGTTCCCGTTCATAATTAAATTTGCGGGACGACGGTTTTTTCTAGTCTCCATGGGCAGACCAAAATAGAAAAGGAAGACAAGTCGTTCAACGGATCCTTCTCTATGATCACACCTCGTACATTAACTCATGGACCAAGATAGATCCTCAAAGGTCTAGGTCCCATTGCCAAGTGGTTCACAGATTAGAAATCCGTCAACTCTCTTAGATGTGATGCAGGGTTTCAAACCCTGCTGCTGGCAATAGCCTTTTTCCTTTTTCCCTACACCAAAACATTTTGCTCATGATAATCATTCCCTCAAGACTCAGCCAAGCATTAACGGATTCGAAATTCGCCCCTCGTAGGCAGTGCATCGTTCGAAACCTCTTGACGACGATTCGGGATCAGGGCGCTAGGTCGACTGAGATCTTTTTTTATGCGTGGTATCGCCCAACGCCGATTGCTCGTCCGTTAGTTACAATGCGCGAATTCATTCTCTGATTTCTCTTGTATTTCGGAATCCTTTTTCGTGCATGTGTGTGCGCTATAGCTATGTCTGCCTGTTCGTGGGCTGCGTGTGGGCCCTGCGAGTAGTGACGCGGGACATTCCACTTGCCTTGGGGCTGGAGGCAAGTACTTGAGACGAAGTTGTTGATCGGATCTCTACGATCGTGCACTTTGATCCCGATCAACACGCGCCGCCACGTGCAAGTCCGTCAATTTCCAACCAAGATCGCCCACCCGACACCGTCCGAAGCTCGCACTCACAACTCACAATCAATCAGAGACGGGACAAGCAAAATCCACTGCACGTGAAAATAAAGTGTTCATACTGTTTATGTAGATAGTTAGTGTGTAAGTATACGTGTATGAGAGATGGACAGAGGGATCAAGATTAAAAAGAAATGTTGCCAGCCTGCATAATAGTACAGAATCCCGGCTTTTAGAGGACGTACGAAAGCTGCTATAACTCTACGCATTGAGCGCAGGGAACAAACCAAACCAAGAAGGGAGGGGAAGCAGCGTGTGGTACCAGACGCAAAGGGAAGCAAAATGAACGCATCTAAGAAGCGATAGGCGTCGACCTGGGATATGTTGTAAGTCGGTAAAAGGAGAAAGAAACACATAAGCGGGAAATAGAGAGAATGAAGAACGCCAAAGACGGGATATAAACAATAGTCGACCAATATGTATAATTTTTACTTTTGCACCGCGCGTCGAGAGAGAGACAGAGGTCGCCAGAAAGTGAGGGGGGGTAACCGGCAGCCAGTAGGGATGGTCTATAAATTACATGCAGTCTACGCGTTGTCCTTTCGGATCGTTGCATTTTGAACGAGCGCCGATCTTCAGTGTTGAGCAACGACGACAGGGACAGCTTCAGCCGAAACGACAGGATAGCTGATTTGAACTTGTGCTTGCAGAGCCTGCTGCTGGCGCAAGTACTGCTGTTGTGCGGACGAGTAAAACATCTGCTGCTGATATTGTTGGGCATACGACGGTGTCAAGTGTCCGCTCACTGGGGTCGAGGTTCCACTCGTCACTGGTGTTGAATGCCGTGAGCTTGCATTGCTACTCCGTCCATGGGCGTGCTGTAGACATTCGTGCTGTCCACTGGCAAGGAGAGATAAGCCAATTGCACCGTGATCACCCGAGTGCTGGTAGTGATACCGCAAGCCGTTCATGTTCTTGTATCGGCGCTGGCAATCGCTAACACCGCAGGCAAAGGGCCGGAGCCTGCGCTCTGCCTCCCGTTCGACTTCGCGCATGTCACCCTCTGTAATGCCCTGATCATCCCCAGCAGCCTCCCGGGCGGACCGCTTGCTAGCCAGCAGTGCCTGTACTTGCTCGAGGTCCTTGGGTGGCGCAAAGTTACAGCTGCCGTGAGTCATGTGATACTTGAGCCCATTGGCTTGCTTGTAACTCTTATTGCAATTCGGCTTCGGGCAGCGGAAAGGCTTCGATAATAGTAACGATGATGCAGGGCGAGAGAGCGTGGTACTGGCACGTTGACTGACTTGTTGTGATGTGATGGAAGAAGCAGGGGAATCCGTGGATGCCGAGGAATAAGGGGTAGCCGCGGAGGGCGCGGGGTGGCGCGAGGCGCTTGCTGGAGACGGAACGCGAGAGGCTGAAGGGGTATTGACAGGAGTATTGCTCGTGGAGAAAACCACGGCCGGAGGAAGACAGCCGTAGGGACTACCCGGATCGCTGACAGGTGTGACAGGTGCGTGAACATCGTCGCTGGCGGGTGGGGAAGGAACAGTGCCGGGCATTAAGGATGAGTAGTCGGAGTAGCCAGCGTAACCATTGAATGCGTCGGGGGCATTTGCCACATTTGGAAGACCGTTTCGGGATGGTGGGAACGCTGAGCCGTGAATGGAGCGGGAAGGGAGCACCGTTGTCGTATCAAATGCCGACACGGGAAGATGCGGGGAGGCAGGTTTCGACTGACCAAAGTGGTTAAACGAATGAGTAGGATGTGACGACAGTGGGGTGCTGAGGGGAGTGTCAGGGGGCGTTGGCGCGTTTGACATACAGCCCTGATCAACATCGAGTTCCATGTCATCAGGGTCGAAGCCACCTTGGTTGTAAGATGAGGGCTGCTGTTGAAGGTCTGAGAAGTAGGACGCAGTTGCGTTACGAATAGACTGGGGTAGAGGAGGGACAACGGGGAACTGAGGGTGACCGAACGGGTCAAGCACGACAACGTGGACCTCCTCGAAATGCTGTAGCAGAGCATGTAGGTCATCTAGCTGTAGGCCACAGCAGGTATAGTTGCGACACTGGAAGGGTGGAACCGTTAGAGGTTGGCACAAACTGTAAAGGCCACAACTCACCAATTCGTCCTCCTTGTCGAAGGCACTGAGAGCGTTGAATATCGAGCCACAGTCGCTGTCGATAGATGACGACAACTTGGCACACTTGAACTCGTTAGGACTACATAGATGATATCAGTACCCTGACACGTGTAAGTGAAGTATGAACTGACTCTAGTGGACCCAGGAGTTGACCAGGGGAGCAACCAGGGTAGAAACGGCTTCCAAATGAGCCAGCACGCCACGATATTGGAGAACCTAGAAAGTAAGGCCTGGAGTTGTTGTTACCAGTGAATGAACCAGATGACATGTGGAAATCTGGATGATTAGGAGACTGGAAAGCGATAGGTTGGGAAGTAGTGGCCATGGCTACGAAGGGTAAGATAGAAGTTGTGTATACTACAGATGAGGAGGTAAGAGAGAGATTATAGAGGGATTGAGTTGTGAAGTAGTGATGTGATGTGAGGATTGGCAAGTTGAGCGGTTGTGGAGGAAGAGAGGGTACTATCGGGCGACTATCGGGCAAGTCTTAAGCCTATTTAGCTTACCTTCAGTTGGGTCATCCATTCTGCACAATTACATAACATAACTTCCCTTTTTGGTCCGATCAATCAGAATCTCGGCATTTCGGCATAAGCACTGCCACCCACCGGCATAATGGGCACCGACTGGCCGCAAGCAGCCCTGAGACCGTTTGTCAACCCCGGTCATGTCCACCCGCCAGGTTTACCCCCTTCTCCGACTTCAATACGCAGTCACTTCAACCACGACTCATATATCACTGCTCCGCAGCTAGTGCACATGCAAAATTACCATCAAGGAACATGGGTGTGCCACGATAATTCGATCATGACAATCAATGGCGACTCCCATCAAGACGTCCATGGCTACAAGCTTTACGCTCTATTATTACTACCACAAACCGTATTGGCGGTTAAGTGAAGCTGTTACTACTGACTACACGAGGCCTCGAGTGTCTCGTGACCACTTATATTATGTATTCCTCGATTCGTTGCCGCCCGGTTCTCGACTTTCAAGCTCAAGGCTCGACTTTCCATCACCCAGATCCTGAGAATCCATCCTGGGGCCGAATGGTGGCAGACCGGCACATTCACATTGTACATCTCCGTATCTCCCGCTAACCTGTTTTCTGCACAAGTACTTGTGAGTGCACGTCACAAATCTCGACATCTCCTCAAAGGCACCGGCACAATGACGGAACTTCAATTATTTCCATCTGGCACAGAGTGTTGCAGATACCATTGGGGAAGTTCTTTTATACGGCAGTCTGTATCTTCGAAGCCTCAACGGTCCCTTGCTATGCATTGCTATGTTCATCCTCGCATCCAGCCGCTTCTCTGAGCCACCCCGTTGTACAAGGCACAGTGCTAGAACCACTATGTGACCTTGACCGAGATCCAGAACTTCGTTGACAGAAAAGGTTACGGGGTAACTACAATACAGACGGCGTCTTCAGCTCGTAACTCAGTGACTACAGTGAGCCACGACCAAATAAACTGTTAGACTTTACGATTGTAAACACGATTCATGTCTACTAACCATCTTTATCTTTACTTTGTTTTACTTATCATTCCGTGCTCTGTCCCATAAAGGACCCAGGCCGAGCACACTGATATTCTCGCACGACATAACATCATGTCGTTACGCGCAAGGCTCTCCTCTCGTAAGTACTTCCTTCTTATCCATCTAAACTACACCAATTATGCGCCGGTCCTTAAAGTTTGTCCCCAAGTGTTCATACAATCCAGCGGATCATTCACGGATCTCGTTGTGCACTACCCCGTAGGGACCAACTCTATCGCCTCTGGGGAACCGAAGTCTTGAACGTCTTGAATATGCTGCTATAATGTGTAATTCATGTCCGCATGTCCATGTGCTCCACGGAGCGTTGATTGTAAGTTTACCATCCGCCAAATCTCCACCAACTTTCCCCTTGTCCCCATTTTCCATCAGAGGAATTTCGGGACCGTATCCGATTTCGAATCGCTCCGCTCTAACTGAGCAGCTACCATCAGTCTAGCTCGTTCGCTGATCTCGCCTTTTGATTGTGTCACATATTCCTATACTATAGTGTCTTGGCTCATATCTATTTTCGGTTTGCAGTTGCGGGGCATATCACCCCGTCCTGAATGATCGCTGTGTGGTCATCGCCGCGCATATTTGACTTCGATGTTTGGGAGATCATTGCCCTCGGAAGCACGCATTACTTGCGATTAGAAGTGTCCGAGGAGCCACCGAGCAGACATGGGGATATCTTGCAGCTTGGGAAGGTCTTGATAGGTGGGCCCTGAATGACAAGCAAGACCCTTGAAGCCCCCCCGATGGACACGCAGAAGCCTTGTTTCTATGATTTCTCATCATCGCTATTCCCTGCCAGTCGACCATTGTCCATCAAGGACAAGCCATAAGAATAACCTAGAGATGACAATTCTGGAAAGTATCCACTTACCACTAGAAGGTGATATAACGCTGTGTGGAACGTACTTCAAAATGTCAAGTCTGTGGCGATTGTCTCAGACACGTTCCAGTTCTAGCACCGGTTCAACTGCCAGGGGCCTGGCCGTCTGGACAAGATACGCCACCACATGAGTATTATAGTACATGACTCCTGAGGTCGAGGATGTTCTTACGTCGCTTTCAATAAACGTACGACTCGAGTCTGACTCATCTTCAACAATGAAAGCCAACTTGGGCTGGATGTATCCGCGATTGAGGAAATTGTGTTCAATTGTGTGCAAGTTTGGGTAAAGCTTTCCAAGATACGCAAGCCTCGGACTCTAAGAACCCCCTCCCCCTCGAGGTCAAGTGTCGGATTTGTCCGGCTAATCTGCGCCACTCCACAGTGTCGAGTCCTCCTGCTCGGGCATATGGCTGCTGGCATGCTCAGCCTCCGCCTCCGGTTGGCTTGCTGCACTCGAAGCCGGAGCTCCACAAAGCTCCACTCCTGCACTGCAGTGCCAGCGGCCCTGCGCAGTATCCTCGTAAGTAGCACTCCTATGCATTGAGATAAGGTTTGAGCCTGAGGATGTGATAATGATTCTGAGAACTAATATTTGAATGGAACCTAAGCTGGGGAAGCGAGCCATCGGTAGCATAGGCCTAGGTCGGGTTTTTATGTAAAACCGTCAGTTACATATGGACATTTGAGTTACGAGGATAATCAAGCCTACTTGCAACTAAAAGCCACTGCTCCCTAATCATGGTAGCGCGAACTTCAAATTCCGTTGTTGTGGTTTTCTTATTCCTAGTCAGAGACTCAGATTTCATGGGTGCAACGTGTCCAACTTCGTCATTCCCTGGCGCTGAGCTGTCACTAGCGTAGATGGCCAAATATAAACATCAGCTACGGTGCTACGGTACACTCACACTCATACCTCGTCCTGATCGAGAGTCTTGACCATGGACATAATCTCCAAGTTCACAGAAACTGGCGTTGCGGCTATCAACTTGAGAAGTGTGTCTCCTTCATATATCATGCCTTCTTTCACAGCCGACTTGCTTTTCAGCTCTTGCGGCGTTCGTGCCTATTCTAGATGAAAGAAAGGCAGAGATAGAAAAGATTGAACGCAAGACTTTTGTATACGACGACAAGCGCAGCACCAGAAATGAGGTTTGTGACAGAGACCTGATGCCATGTTCGTGACCTTACCATATCATCGCTTGCAGCTTGATGTCTATTACCCGCTAAACTCGACTCTCACAAAAGATGGGAAGACCCCAATCCTATTTTTCGTCTATGGCGGTGGATACAACTCTGGATCAAAAGAATTTCCTGAACCATTTTCTATGGGATACCGCGCGCTTGGATCTTTCTTTGCACAACACGGTTTCATCACCATCATCCCGGACTACAGACTTGTTCCGGAGGTCAAGTTCCCGGCTTCATCCGAGGACATTCGTGACGCGGTCAATTGGATTTTCACCAACGTCGACGCAATTAGCGTGCCCTCGATACCCGCGCCCGATGTAGATGCTATATTTATCATGGGCCACTCAGCTGGTGACGTGCACACGAAAGTGTTGAGTCTTTACCCGCCTGTGTCGAGTACCGTACAGCCTCGGTTCAAAGGCGTTATCTGGTCTGGTGGCAGTTGGTACTTCGTTGATGAGACGAAAAGATTTAGGATGGAAGTCCCCGCACAACAATACATTGGTTCTCAGGAGAAACAGAGGGAGAGGGAGCCAATGGCTCTTTGGAAGGCTCTATCCGATGAACAGATCAAGGACCACCCTGATATTCTCCTTGTCAGGGCAGAGCGAGAGCCTGACTGGCTGTTGCTATCGTGGGAGGAGATATTGCCAGATATCGAGAAGCGGCTTGGAGAGGCGCCCCAGATGATCATTGGCAAAGGCCACAATCACATCAGCCCTAACTGGGCTTTATGTTCCGGTCAAGGGGAAGAATGGGGAGAAGAAGTTGTGAAATGGATGAAAGCTAGAATTAACTAGCCTCTACCTCCAATTCTCGCTGGAGTCCTGAGCGATAGAAGAGAAGGGAAGTTTTGAAGATTCCTGCGCCAAACTTGTAATCGTAAAACGACGATTGTTGAACAGTTCGTCTTTTCCCTAGATCCTAGGTTAGTTGTGAAGTCTTATATATGTTGCAGCGTCGCTGTATTGTCTCGCAGAATATTATCCTTACCTTCGATGTACTTATAGGAAGTCAATTTCACGTGACTGGCACGACGCGTCAATCTTTACCAGCTTTGGCATTCTGCGTTCACCACCTCGAGTTTCAACGTTCATGTCGCACCCTTGGTCGGCGAAGCGCCATGCGTCCCGCTCCCCCGCTCCAAACTTTCCTCCAACTTCCCCTGCACATCGTTTTCTTCCTCCGTCGCACTATGCAGCTGCAGCGGGCGTACCATACAGTGCAAATCGAAGCCGTGCTCACGAATCGCGTCCCCCTCAACCATATACCACTCCGCCGTTACCCTCGCAGTCCTCGCTTGCTTCCGCTTCCGATTCGCAGTCTCTCCATGTCGACTACTCTACCAGTTTCAAGTCCAAGCGCAGAAGTCAAGTCGGAGATTTAGGGCTTATGGAAGCGCAACTGCTGCCTTCTCTAAAGGACACGATTGATCGCATGACAAGGCCATCGTCACAGCTCGGAATGCCGTCTCCGTTGCCTATTGAGAACCCGCAAATAGACCATCGAGCAAACATCGGTCAGTATCCTTCATATCCCACGCGTTCCAAGCTCGCAAGGACACCTCAACTTCCACCTACTTCACATCCTTCGTCATCTTCGAGAGACACCAGTCACCAGCTTCCAGTGACGCAGCCGGAAGGCCCTCCACGTCCAGCACGCAGTGCTTTGAGACAGAAACCGAAGCCCATTTTAAAAGCTCAGTCCCGCACTCCTACGATGGTTCTATCTGATCGGCCTTCCGATCGACCTTTCGAAGCACCTCGATCTTCCGGATTGGTGCGCAGCGGAAAGGCGGACTGGCTCTCTCCCGCGGAGGGCTTCTCGCCAAGGTCGCCTCTCCCCCATAAACAGAAAAATCAACCACTTCGTCAACCTTCCATCACGACCACCGTCACCTCTGGCAGAAGAACGGAAAGGGCTCGCGCTCGTACAGACCCTGGTGCACCGCATAATTCGGCAGCTTCAACTAGCTCATTAGCTACTCCCCAACCAAAAAACTCTCGATCAAATATCCCTCGACGTGTCGGTCCACCACTACTACGACACACTCCACGAGAGAGCTCTCAAGATAGCCTGACCGACGTGGAACCACGAGCCAGCTCAAGTCTCCGAGGCCGGAAACCAGTCGTCGACAATGCTTTCGTCTTCTCATCTTCCAGTTCAGAGAGTGACGGGACCCCTGTCATGTTCCCAAAGCAGCCTTCGTTCACGCATGGGCGCCTCTCGGCTTCTAAGGCACCTGAGAAGAAAAAGGAACGCTTTGGCCTCGGATTCGGATTCGCAGACTATGGAGCAAAACTTCGAGGCATGTTTGCCGACAACTCAGCTCATTCGATACATTCGATCACCAGTGAAGGCGGGAGCGCTGGAAATGACCATGGCAGCATCCAGGACAACGAGAGTCTCTTTTCTGACCCTGCAGATCAATGCGAGGAGCAAGGCGACTCCGCAATTTCCCATCGATATTCCTTGAGCAGCGCTGGATCGAGTTACCCAGCTTCTGAAACGATGGCCGATGGTGACGATTCCTGTGACCGACGAAAAAGAGAACTCCTTGGGCTAGTCAATGGCCTGAACCCTGGCTCTCTAACTCAACCAACTCGAAGCGATGAGAGCGAGTACTTTGGCGAGGAAGGACTCGCTATTGGTGGCTCTAGCGATTGCATCCATATGCCGAACTCTGGTACATTTTCTTGGGATGAGTTAAATAAGAACGAAAGTGATTCTGGCTCAGAGTATTCTTTTGACGACGAAAATGACGAAGGCCTCCGATGCACTACCCCTAGAGACAGCCATTCCCACTCCAAGGCAGATAAGGCATGCTCCAAAGACGACCAAGCAAACAACCGGTGGCGTTTTGATGAGCGGGATGGTAGGTGATTCTACATAGAAATTAACTTTAAGGCTAACAGAAGTGAATATCTCAGCGAGGAACTCGGGGTTATCGGTTGAACGGCCGTCTTCAGGGCACCCCCTGCTCTCTCCACGTCGTCCTGTTCATCCGACCTACTTAAACTCAAAAGCATCGCGTCCATCGCCGGAGAATACGCCTAACGTTGACATTGGCGATCAACGATTCTCCTCAGAACTCTCGCGCATGATGGTCACCTCAGACGAGGCTGCAGCGCGCGAACGCCAGGCATTTGGACTTTCTACGTCATTTTCTGGTTCCGATGAACCCAGCCTCACGCATGCCGATAGTGACATGTCGTCCATCGCCGGAAATACATGGCAATTCGAATGTGAAGATGATGGCATACATACTGATTCGCTCCTCAATAGACTGGCGACACAGGAGTTCGAACGCTCCATAAACGCTCAGCCTACACAAAGTGACTTATCCCATGCATCGTCTGAATCATCTGTCTCTGCTGCATCGATGTCATCAGTCGCCCATGAATTCTTGCATTCGGATCGGATTAATGCACGTCGGGATCATCAACGTTCTTCTGTGCATATCCACGCGTCTTGGGAAGACTTTCGTCAGCATATTTTGGAACAATTCGGTGAGGTAGAGGTGCGACGACAAGAGATCGTCTGGAGACTAGCGGAGTCGGAGGCAACTTTCGTAACTAACCTTCAGAACATGGTGCAGCTCTTCATCCTTCCCCTACGCGTCCGACGCACGAAGGTCTGGGTTTCTGGCGTACCAGACGACGTCTCGAGGTTGTTTGACTGGCTAGAAGATATCGTACACCTCCACACGAAATTATCCGCCAGTCTCATCGGCGTTCGGGATGTGCGTATTTCCGACCTGCAATTCGTCGGGGAAATTCTTCAACCTTTCGTGGCAAAGCTTGAGATATACCAGCCTTACCTGGTAAAGCTGGAATTCGTCGCAACCAGAATCGAACATATGATCGCCCAGGAGAAAAGTGACATTGGAGATTTTATCAAGCTACAAGAGCGCTCCTCCGCTTGCCAGGGATGGACATTGGAGAAATATTTGGTCGAACCTGTCCATAGACTCTCCCAATACCCTGACTTTTTTAACGTGAGTCGGCGTGTTATTTCAGCTTCTCATGGCTGAAACCAGATCTTCTAGCGGCTCTGCCACGCTACCCCGAAGTCCCATCCCGACTATCTCTCGACATTATCTGTCCTTCACTCTGCTAAGCTTACGATCCGTGTTCTCAGTGAGGTCAAAGATCGGGAGGACGAGTATGAGTTCGTGAAAGACACATTCTCACACATAGTGAACGTTCCCTCCCAACTTCCCTGCCGCGACAGGCGTCTGCTGATGCACGGTCCTGTCGCATGTGCCAGAGTGGAAAATGATGATGACTTACCAGTCATGCGCCCTTCCACCAACTTGCACGGTTTTCCAGAGCCGCTGAAAAGCCCCTCTCCCGATTTGCGGCCACGACACAATGAAAGACTCTCGAATGCGCTGAAAGGTTGGCGTGGACGCAGTGGATCAGTGCAGTCTACAGCCTCGACGGCAGCGTCGCTGCAATCCTTTCGTACTGCTCCATCATCATTTGACTTCCGTTCTGAGTCACAAGTGGGGTCCAGGAATAGCCCTCTGCTTCGCATCGAGTCTCCAGCTGTTGACATCCGGTTATTCGTTTTCACTGACCTGATCGTGATGACCCCCACCACCAATCACCACGATGATTCCCAACGCACTTCTGCAGATTTGCGCATACTCGACGACTTTGGTCTCTCCAGAATCCTTTCTGTGACGGACGAGACAGGTAAGGATTTCGAATGAAAATCACTTACAAAGCTAGCACTTATGTGATTTAATCAGATAGAAGGTCGTCCATCTCCCTGGATATAGTTCCACTGACCGCTGAGGAGCTTGAGAGAGGATATGCGAACTCAAAAGGACGAGTTTTGACTGTGTCATTGTCGCACGGCACTTCCCGATCTTCTGTATCAGAGGCGTCTATGCAGTGCGCCGTTTTGAAGGATTGGTTGGTACCACTAAGACAATGTTGTCAGCACACACTGAGGTCGTTATCTTCGCCATCCGCGAAGGGCCCCCTGGCTCACGCGTCGAAAGAATCCGAGATCAGTCAATCAGTCTTGTCCATCCTCGCGTCAGGATTGCCATTTCCTAAAAGTCCTTCCATGCAGTTACATGGTGTCGAACAAGGGCAAGCAGGGGATGCGGAGCAACAAGAAAGGGAAGAGCGCGGGTGGTGGTCGCTGCGGTTCCACGAGGTCCTGCGAGAAATACGAGGACAAGAAGTGGCACTTGTTCGATGACATCGTGGTATATTTGTATTCGTGTATTTGCTTTGCATATCTGTGGGTTGTGAGATATTGTTTTACGAGCTTGCGAACAGGCTCGTCTTGCCGATGTCGTAGATCCCATTTCTCCAAAGAAACATATTCTGCTCAGTGTCAGCGTCAATTTCACTGCGATATTCCTTTTCCTGTATTCTTCTGTTCTTCTGTAGTTCACACGGCTACAATATCAAGGACTCACTCCATGATCCTCTCAAGCCTCAGGCCCAGTGAGAATTGGCTGTGCCCGGATAGGGCCGAATATGTCGAGATGCGCGTTTGAGAGACAGAGCACATACTTGCGCATCTCGCCCGATATCCGGACTCACAGCATATTTTCTATAAGACGGGGCAGTGCCTCGTGTGCTCTCTTGTGCTTCTTTTTACACTGCGCATATCTAGGCATATCCACGCACAATCGTGCTGTCCTCCCAGAATGTGCTCAAAAAGTAGCCAATATGCTAATATTGTTTGAGTAGGCATATCCACGCACACTTGCGCTGTCCTCCCAGAATGTGCTTAAATAGTGTCAAATATGCTTTGATTGAATGCTAGGTATTATGCAGAATACAATCGGTATACGAAAGCAGCTGGAAACTGGTGCGAAACAGGTGGAGTATACCTTGAGAACACGTCGAGAGCCGAGCAGAAAGGATGTAAACAGCAGAGCGGATCGCAAACATCGAGAGCCAAGTAGAAAGGACGCAGACGGCAGAGCAGATCGAAAACATGTCGAGACCAGGCAGCGGGATCGAAAATAGGAAGCGGATAACACAGCAACGAAGGTGTGGCAGACGCTGGTAGCAGAATGGAGTGAAAGGCTAGTAGATTTGGCCCTCGTTGACATTCTTATTCCATGCGTCGTTGGACACCTGCAAAAACATTGATTAGTACCATAGACAACCGAGTAAACACAATATACCAAATTCTTGGCTTCCTCGTTGTATTTCTAAAAATCGAGCAAATAAGAGTTAGTTAGCGTATACAAGACTCGGAGTATAGGTGACTTACTCCAAGCTGATCTGATGTCAATGTCCCGTAGAAGGCATTAAACTCGTCCGTTGTCCCATTGATCCATGGTGCCTCCACTAGCAGAAGAGTACATGATATAAGTAAGAGTCAGAGCAATACGCACATACTACAAGCCAGATGTCGTGAGATCTAAACTCCGCTGGAAGCTTCCGATAAACGAGAGCGAGTGAGGCAATTTTATTGTGCAAATTTAGGGCAATACATGCGATAACCAGCAAGATGCGATGCGAGAACAGGACACGACTTGAAAGGGTACAATAACATGGAGTGATTGATAAGTGCAAAAGTGCGACAGTGCAAGAGACGGTGCAAGAGACGGTGCAAGAGACGGTGCAAGAGACGGTGCAAGATGGTATCGTGATTGTGCGACAACGAACGAAAGAGACAATGGGATGCAAGGGTTACATGGTATGCTTCGTCTGAGGCAATGGACCAACAGCGGCAGAGAAGGTTCTGAAGGTGTGAAGTTCAGTTATGCGCTCATCGGGAGAAATGGGTCTCAATTTGCGAGGCCGGCGAGGTGGCCAATCTGTATCGTGGAATGGACGTCTGGAGGAGACAGGGACTTTGCGCACGGGAGGTTCTTTGAGAACTCGAAGACCCAAGAGCTGAATGGGCTTTGCGTTGACACGACCGCTGAATATAAATATGTTACGAGCCGTCGAGTAGCCGAGAGAATGATCAGAACACTTACCTGGAGTAAGTCGCCAAGTCTACCATTGTAATATCTGGATCTCCCAAGTCCCTCTGGCCTTGAGTTTCTGATCGAGGACATGTACTACGAGAAGGTGCGTGAACATAGGCTCGAAGGAGGAATAAAAAACACTCACCTCTCCCGCCCTTTTGGCTTTCTGGGCAACAAACCCTCGGCTTCGCTGTCTGGACAGTCTTCTAGTTTAACAAGTTTCACGGTATCGAGAAGGCGAATGACGAGTTTCTGCAGAGGCAATGTTAGCATACAAGTATTAGTAGAACTAGGAGTAGTTGAAATTATTTACCAGCGGTCCCGGTTTTTTCGGTGTGAAATTGATCTCGTAGGTAGGCCAACCGTCGAGCAGATTTTCAACTTCCAAGATAATAACATTGTCGTGTAATGTTACATTGGCCAGTTGGTCGATAAGATCAAGCGCAGTTTGAGCAGGTGAACTTTCGGCAGGCACTAGTTGATGAGATGAGGACATAATGCTAGCCGAATCAGTTGTTGCGACAGGTGGGCTGGACTTAACGAAATTTTGCCAGTTGAGTCTGCGGCAAATTCCGGCGGAGTTAACTGGACAAGTGAGTACGAAGAAAGCATTGTGATTTCCAGACTACAAGGTGAGTATTTCAGCGTTTGTGATTCAATTGAATAGATTGCGCCCTGAAACACACGATGGTCGGATTTTCTTTTCAGATCACATGTACATGGCACATTCTTGCCGTTCTAATGTACGAGCTGCGCTCGGAAGACGGTTCTCACAGGGCGAATGGTTTACATCGCGTACCTCTTCTGCTGCACTGTATCCTCCAGTTTACAACAAAGTATCATGGGATCTTGCCGCGTTGGGTGCAGATGATACACCTATGGTCACGCAGCAACATGTCTTGTCGGATGGGCTACCAATCTACCGCAGACTCCAATCCGATGATCAGGATTCTGTGCGCTTACTCACCGTAGAAGATCTTATTGTTATCGCGAAGCAACTTACGGACCGTAGTAGATTCTATTGTTATCGTGTTCTGAAGCACGCAATTCATTCAATTGAATGGTCTCTGTCACTCGTCCTTTTTAAGTTTCTATTCAATCGCAAACGCATAAAGCTTCTGGTCGTATACTCTCCTGCTCTCTGCAATCCCTCCATTGTTAACCTCCCTTGGCGAGCTTCCTCGCATTCAATTTTCGAGAAGTCGAAATTGATGTGATGACGCCCGGCAAGGGAGTGTTTTCGTCGTTGTGTTTCTTCACACTCAATCTTAGAGAAGCTGAGATAGATTGTGAAGACGCACCACGACGCAGCAGCACTTTATTTTTTGACTTATTTCGTACCAACATATACAGTGTATTCTAGGGAACAGTTAACCGTTATAATACATTATTCTACATCTGCACCGTCATCGTCGTCATCAAGAATGTTGTTCGTGATCCCAACATTCGAAAGATCTAAACCGGGCTTCTCAAGCATGAAGAAACGTTCTCCCTCCTCCATAAGTCCTGCAGGTAGCCTTGGATTGTGCGGAATCATCGCAACCACACTCAGAACCTGCTTCGCATCAATTACGCAGATTTCTTCGAGTTTGGAGCAAGAAATAACGGTGTGCGAGGAGAGCCGAAGGAGATCTGCGTCTGGAAGGGAAAATAACTGGACCACCGCGACATCCTGCCAGCGCCAGTCATGCTCGTCGTCGAAGTCTGCTTGAACCGACAGCCTGGTAAAGTATAAAACTTCACCAAACCGCACCTGTTCACGGTACTGTAGCTATGTCGTGTTAGTAATGTGCAAATATTATGTTCTGTGATACTCACTTTCACATTTCGTGACATGCGCGTTTGGTCGAGTGGTTTGAACATCTCTCTCCATAAGGATCGTGCGATTTGGCCATTAGGCAGGAGAAGTCGTGCCCAACGTTTGATACGAGGAAGCGGGCGTCCATCTCCTAGGTAATCGAGTATGGCTTGTGCAGCACCTCCGACTGGGCTGAAGGTATACTTGTCTCGTTTTCGCAATAATGCGAACCCGTCTCCTAGATCTACTGCACCCGTCGGAAGAAGTTTTGCTGGCTCGTCAAGCTCTGGCATGATGGATAAAAGGGTGTTGACCTGACAGCGTCGAACACCCTCTTGGGATAGGTTAGCATAAGGGCGAGCTGGTTGATGTATCTCTTGCCCGAGGTTGCCAATGGTCCGTTCCATGGTCCATTGCGCGTAACAGATAGGAGGACCTTTCTGCACGGTTTCAGCAACGAGATGGTTGGTTTGGTGGATGCAGGGGCGGATAAAGTGAATGCGATCTTGCCGGCGTCTGTAATACAAGTGCTCGAATTCATACTCCCAGGTACACAAGAGTTCTTGGGCTTCTCGGATATGCTGCACGGTAATACTATGCTGGCACATTAACTGAAAGCCCCGAACGAGCTTGCAGTAATTTCATCCAGTATGGCTCTGGGAGGACATTATAAAGCAGCGCGGGCCCGAGACTGAAGGTATGGAGTTGGAATTCCCATGTCTTATACCACGTGTTGATTTTTTCGGCGATGTTCCGTGGTTTGCGGTCAAACGAGCTAGGTAGAAATGGACCTGTTGCTGCAACCGACTCTCCATGCGCACTCCAAGTATCCGCATCCTGGAGTACGGCCCAATCCCATGTGGCCACGTCATCCGTGACGCCACAATCTATTGTCCCGCGCCAGAGAGCAACAAGTAAGTCGCTGAGATTACCTGCGAGATGCATGATATCAGTAGTCATACAGTGGGGAATACCGAGGGCAGCGTGAAGGCTTGAGGCCCAGAATAAGAGGCGGTCTTTGTGATTCCAGTCTCGGTCTTGCGAATGTCCAATTGTCGTTGACTCGGGGAAGTTATGAGGCGCCGTAAGTTGTCAGCGTATTCTTCAGAACCACCGGGGGGGAAGCCGAAAAACACTGATATCAGGGTGGTTACTACCGGGTGCACACGCACCCATTGGCTTCAGCAAAGCAGGATAGTAGTGCGTTCCTCCTGGTTTGCGTCTGCCAAGGACACCGCAATAAACTCGACAACCGTTTTTCCCGCTATGGCCCACCATGCCGTCCCAGTAGACTAGCCCAGGCCCATCCGCGGTCGTGAAGATGAGGTAAAGGTCGGATGTGAATGTTACATCACGAGATGAGTCCCATATGACGAGGCCCTCATTCTGGAGAGCCGCAAGATGATGTAGGCCTACGACGAGGAAAGAATCTAAATTTTTCGGCTTATTAGGCCCAGGAATGAAACCGCCAGGGCGGACGTGAGCTTTACGGTATCGTTTGTCGGGGGAAAGGTTGACGACGACCCATATGTACATCCAGCAGTCGGATTGTTTGCTTTCGTACAGTTGGGCACCATCTAGGGACACCATCAGAACGATATCGTTCTCCTTGATATCTCCATCAAGCACCGCGCCAATAGCATCATGTCCCATTGCAATATCATCGAAAACCGGAATCTCTCCAGTTTGCGTGAGGCCTGCGAGAACTTCCCGAACTCGATTGTAGAAGTAGCGCATATTTTGTGCGCTGTCAGGGTGTCGATAAAGGGCCTGTAATTGTGGCCCTAGCGGTAAGGTTGTAAACATTTGAGCAGCGACTTTTGTACGTCCGTTAGTTGCACGCAGTCTTGCTTGATCCCACCGGGATGTATCGCACATCGGACAGGATTCGAGAGCTGCAAAAGGACCCGTAAACGCTAAGCACGACTTGGGGCACATGTCGTGCTTGATTGATTCAACACCGGTATATTGCGCAATAATCTTCTCGACACTGTAGAAACTTAGGATCTCATCGACACCAGCAGCTCCTGCAAAATTGAGCTTGGTAGATCTCTGGATCCGATTATAGGCCTCCTGCGATGCATGTTCTAATGCGAGGTACGAGGATATGCTGTGCCAGATACTCGGACTATCTATGACGACAGGCTCTCGAGGTGGATTGCGAAGTCTCTCAAGAGCTGCGTCATCCAATTTCGCTATCGGATCTTCCAGGGATGCATTTCTAAGTGCGAGTATGTATTCCATCGTCTCCTTCATCTTTGGAAGCACTGCCATCTGGGCAAGCGCCTCCACATCAATATTTGGTCGTGGTTGGCGTTGCAGGACAAACTGATACTCCTGTTGGTGTCCATCACCCTCGGGAGCATTGTTGGGGACGGGAGGCTCGTGCTGATTGGCGACATCGCCAGGAGGTATGGGTGGGTTATGGTCGGGGATGGGAACTTCGTTCTGATCGGCGATATCGCCAGGAGGTATGGGTGGGTTATTGTTGGGGACGGGAGGCTCGTGCTGATCGGCAACATCGTCAGGAGGTATGGGTGGGTTATTGTTGGGGACGGGAACTTCGTGCTGATTGGCAACATCGCCAGGAGTTATGGGTGGAGCATTATTGGGGACGGGAACTTCGTGCTGATCGGCGACATCGCCAGGAGTTATGGGTGGGTTATTGTTGGGGACGGGAACTTCGTGCTGATCAGCGAAATTGCCAGGATGCTCATCCGGATCAGCGAGAGGCACAGGTACATCATCTGTCTGATAATTATCAGTGCATAGTTCGACATGTTCGCTAGACATACGTACCAGATTGTCATCATCATCACGCATTGTGATATCCGACTGGTCAATCGAGGTACTTTGAGCACATTTTCGGCGTCCAACACGTCTCGTGTCTTGGTTCTCGCGCGCTCGTTTGGCAAGGGTTTGTATTGCGGCTGCGCGACGAGAACTGGGAGGCAGAGAGGAGCCAGAAGCTACACTTTGATCGTCTTGCGGCTGTTCTGGAAGTGAGTGATCCTGCATAGTGTTGTCTATGATAAGATCCTAGTGAGTATACGAGGCAAAATTGAAACTAACAAATACCATATGTATGTAGTGCTTCAGCAGCACGTATTCTCGCCTTCTCCTCCTCCGTACTAGCCTGCTGGAGGTGTTCATACCATGTCGACTTTGATATCGAGTGGGGTCTTCCCAACCCATACTTCTCGCATACGCACACGAATTTGTTCGAAATTGGTAGCATCTGTAATAGATTAGCCTAGGATTTAACAAATAACAGAAGTACTAAGCATACCTAGTGCAATATGCGACGCTGTGTGATACAAGACGTTGCACGTTGCGATCGTTACTGCGAGTGACGTGATACGAGACGTTGCACGTTGCGATCGATACCGCGAGTGACGTGATGCGCAGTGCGCTATGCGTCGTTGGTGCAGTTACAATGTGTTAAAATTGACGAGTATCGATTTCAACCGAAAGAAGCATAACTCGACATAGTACTAAAATGGTAATTCTCATCTCAACATATTCGGCCCTATCCGGGCACAGCCAATTCTCACTGGGCCTCAGGCCCTCAGTACTGCTACTAGTTCTTACCACATATACAAGTTCAGCGCTCACTATACCATTTCTTCTCCGGGTGTCAGTACTCGAATTTCTATGTCCGTGCGTATTGCACTAGATTTTGTACTCATGAAAGGCACAGGGTCGTCTTCGCCCAATTGCCACGGCGCTCTTCGGCTTCATCCTCCCTGTGTTCTTGACCAATGTCAGTCGATAGCATAACAGACAGGGTGCAAAAGTGTCGAGCGGCCTTGCAGAGCTGTCCCCCCGGTCATTCCAATCGATCAGGGTCTCTCAATAATCTTGCCATCAGCCTTCAAAACAGGTTCGAGCAGTGGGGCGTCCCGTCTGACCTTGATGAGGCCATAGAGCTCAACCGGGCTGCACTACTCCTTCGTCCCCCCGGTCATCCTAATCGATCAGCGTCTCTCAACAATCTTGCCAGCAGCCTTGGAAATAGATTTCAGCAGCGGGGCGTCCCGTCTGACCTTGATGACGCCATCGAGCTCCATCGGGCTGCACTACTCCTTCGTCCCCCCGGTCATTCTGATGGAGCAGTATATCTCAACAATCTTGCCATCAGCCTTCAAAACAGGTTCGAGCAGCGGGGCGTCCTGTCTGACCTTGATGAGGCCATAGAGCTCAACCGGGCTGCACTACTCCTTTGTCCCCCCGGTCATTCTGATGGAGCAGTATATCTCAACAATCTTGCCATCAGCCTTCAAAACAGGTTCGAGCAGCGGGGCGTCCTGTCTGACCTTGATGAGGCCATAGAGCTCAACCGGGCTGCACTACTCCTTTGTCCCCCCGGTCATTCTGATCGATCAGGGTCTCTCAATAATCTTGCCAACGGCCTTCAAAATAGATTTAAGCAGCGGGGCGTCCCGTCTGACCTTGATGACGCCATCGAGCTCCATCGGGCTGCACTACTCCTTTGTCCCTCCAGTCATTCTGATCGATCAACGTCTCTCAACAATCTTGCCATCGGCCTTCAAAACAGATTCGAGCATCTGGGCGTCCCGTCTGACCTTGATGAGGCCATAGAGCTCCTTCGGGCTGCACTACTCCTTCGTCCCCCCGGTCATTCCAATCGATCAGGGTCTCTCAATAATCTTGCCATCAGCCTTCAAAACAGATTCGAGCAGCGGGGCGTCCCGTCTGACCTTGATGAGGCCATTGAGCTCTATCGGGCTGCACTACTCCTTCGTCCCTCTGGACATCCTGATCGATCAGCGTCTCTCGGCGGTCTTGCCACTGGCCTTATAAACAGATTCGAGCAGCGGGGCGTCCCGTCTGACCTTGATGAGGCCATAGAGCTCAACCGGGCTGCACTACTCCTTCATCCCCCCGGTCATTTTGATCGATCGATAACTCTCAATAATCTTGCCAACAACCTTCGAAATAGATTTCAGCAGCGGGGCGTCCCGTCTGACCTTGATGACGCCATCGAGCTCAACCGGGCTGCACTACTCCTTCGTCCCCCCGGTCATTCCGATCGCGGTCATATTGATCGATCGATGACTCTCAATCATCTTGCCCTGAGCCTTCATATCAGATTCGAGCAGCGGGGCATCCCGTCTGACCGTGATGAAGCATTTAGGCTGTATGTGCAACTCTCCTACTTATCTCATGCAGTCTCCCGTATGGATCTTACTGCTGCCAAGTCATGGGCCACCTCTGCCGAAGAGACGAAGCATGACTCTGCATTACTTGCCTATCAAACTGCGTTGAAATTCCTAGATCAGCATGTTACTATGCTGCCGTCTTCTCCATATATATTCGATGTCGTCAGGATTGCCACAGCTTCACTTGCCATGGATGCTTTCTCGTGCAGTGTTCGTCATGGTGCACTGACAACTGCTATGGAACTGGTGGAGCAAGGCCGTGCCGTATTCTGGACCCAGCTGGCACGCTTACGCTCACCACTCGATGAGCTTTCCCTGTCCGGTGACACCGGCGCAGCCTTGGAGAATGAGTTCAAGCAGCTGAGCTTTGGCCTTCGTAGCGCGCTTGATCGGTCTACTGAAGAGTCCCCACAAATTCGACAACTGACCATGCAATGGAATGATGTCGTCTCCCGCATCCGCATGCTGCCTGACTTTTCTCGGTTTCTCCTGCCTCCCCTTTTCTCCAACCTACAGAAGGCCGCTGAAGAAGGCCCTGTCATCATCGTCAATGCAAGCCGATATGGCTGTGACGCCTTGATTGTCTTCAGTGCACAAGATCCTGTCCACGTTCCACTCGATATCCAGCAGACTGAAGTCTCCGAGTTGTCTTCGGAATTTCAGTCCCTCGCAGAGCAATTTGGTTCTTCTGATTGTCAAAACAAACTTGTCAGCATCCTCCGCAAGCTTTGGGATTGTCTTGTTGATCCCGTGGTCCGAGCTCTTAGGGCGTCTAAAATTCACCATGGCTCGCGTATCTGGTGGTGCCCCACTGCTGAGTTCACGCTTCTTCCTCTACATGCAGCAGGACCGTACGAGAAGAACAAAAACAACTTATCTCACTTTTATGTCTCCTCTTACACCCCCACTTTGGCGGCACTCATTCGGGCGAGACAGCGAGTTTCTCAAGAGGTGTCCACACAACATTTTGTTGCTATCGGCCAAGCGAATCCGGACAGAGGGAAAGAACTCCGTCATGTCGCTCCTGAGTTAGCCATCGTCGCTCAGCGTCTCGAGCCCGTCGTCTCTTTCACATCACTCGAGGATAGCGACGCAACAATCCAAGGTGCGCTTGATGCACTTAACCATAATCAATGGCTCCATCTGGCCTGCCATGGAATGCCACATCGGACGCAACCGTTCGACCCGTCCTTCGCAATGGGCGATGGGCCGTTGATGATCAAGGAAATCATCCGGTCCAACTGGCAGAACCTGGAGTTTGCATTCTTATCGGCTTGCCACACCACCGTGGGCCATGAGAAGAGCCCCGACGAGGCGATACATCTCGCTGCGGCGATGCAATTTTCTGGATTTCGCAGTGTGATAGGTTCCATGTGGTCTGTCGACGATGAGGTTGCACGACAGGTTGCGTCCGTTTTTTACCGCGAACTGGTCGATGGCTCAGGGAGATTGGACTGCACACGGGCTGCGGTAGCGTTGCACCACAAGGCTGTGAAATCGTTGCGCAAGAAGATTCCACTAGAACAACAGATTGTGTTTGTTCACATAGGTGTCTAGTTTGGTTGATTCGTCATGTTATTTCATTCTGTGTTATCCTGATTGCTTTCATTACCCTGTTGTCCCACCTAGACCCCAGTTATTCAAATCATGTCTGCACGATACTCTGTTTTTTTCCCGTTGTGTACTAGTCCTGCAAGCACCGATCCATTGAATGATTTATACATTGCTTTGTCAAACATGCAATATACAAGCGATCCCTTTCGGTCAGCACTAAGCAGTGATTGCAAGCTAGTATCTATAGGATGGATGCATCATGAATATGGCATGATTCAAAGCGTAAATAGGAAAACACAGAAACAGTATCAACTCACGCCACACAGCATGACGGGTATTATTCAAATGGTACAGACCAACGGCAAAAACGCACGTCAACATAGCATGACGGGGTGGACACAATAGCCACCGATCCTCCGGTTATGCCAGCTTATATATTGTAGAATCCGGTATATATACATCCCCATTTTTTCATCTTGTGGCTAAGGCAGCAAGAAGGATGTCGGTGTCGACTTTTGCAGCTGAAATAACCAGGATAAGCTCATGCCCCGGATGAGTACTTAAAGTTGCTTCTTACCTTTGAGTACAAGTTGCACAAAAATCTGTGCAAGATGAGGATGTTCTGCCTCCAGTCGACGCATGCTTTCGACAGACAACTTCCACAATACCGCCTGCTGTTCTACAACTACTCGTGCATTCCGCGGCATGCCCGACAGAGCAGACAGCTCGCCTGCCAGAGTACCCGACACCATTGACTCCTCGATGACGGGGCTGTGCTCCGCAAATTTGTATGATGCCCGCAGGATGCCTGACTCGATGATATACAGGCCATCGGGGGTATCATTATTCTCCCACAGGACGAAACCGTCTGAGAACGTAAATCGCTCAAAGTACGGGGCGATCTGTCTGAACGTGTTCTGTTCTACATCGTGATACGACGAGAACGCATTGAGGAGAGTGTTGTATGGCTCAGAGGAATTCTCTGAATCCTTGTCGAGAAATTCTGCTGAACGATGAGGATCGGTTCTGTTAGGTAAGATGATAGACTGACCACCAGCGATTGTGCGCTCTCCAACATCACGAAGTTGCATTTGCCTTGGAGATCCCGTCAAAGTTTCATCAAAGGAAAGGCTGGTATCTCGGCGGCCAGGGAGCGTTATTGGAGTTGTCCATGACTTCTGGGCTCTGAACCACGCTCGCAGATAGGCATTTTCGGTCCCTACAGACGACATCAATAATTAAGATCTCAACGTATGAAGATGACGCTTACATTCCATTGCATCATTCAACGTCTCAAAGACCTCGACGGATGGCTCTTGAAGGATTCCCACGCTGCTCAGCGCTTTGCCGCAGGGATTTTCAGGGGTAACACCGCAAAACACCAACACCACGCCCTTTGCAGCGAGCAAGCGCTGCACACGCACGAAAGCCTCTGCAGCAGACATGTCCACACCTACCACAAGAGACAAGTCGACGACGACGAAGCGGACGGGATTGCGTTGCCAAGCAGCGTCCTCGACGATATTTCTCAAAGTTTCTTCAACATGGGCGATGGTACCAAAGAAAAGGAATCCTGAATGCGGTAATTAAATGGTGCTACAACAACAGAGAAATCACGTACCCTGAAGACGAAGCACCCTTGTCTGCTTCGACACTTCTCGGATGTACGCTCTGTGTGCTGCAGGCCGCCTGACCGTGGAAATTGCCGACTCCCCAGCATAGGATGCGCGTATGCTCCTTCTCTGTGAGTTCTGTACCACGAAGAAGAAACCTATCCCAAACCATGAACACAGTCTACTCTGACAACGCGACATACTCACAGCTGACGACGATGCCAAACAGAACACCAATGACAAAGTCCCAGGCCGTCATTGTAACCATGATGCTGACGATCGTGATGTACTCCATCCTTAAACCCATTTATCAGCTGCTGCATATCACACCAATGTGCGCAAGCTGACCTGCTAACTCGGTTCCGCGTATCCCATAACGCCTCCTTGACGAGATCGATGCCGAGCACGAAGATTAACGCGCTGACGACCATGACAGCTATTCAAATTGTGAGAGAGGCGAGGATACGAAAATTGTGCCACATACGGATGTACGCTATTGGTCCTGTCCCTATGAGTAGTAGGATACACGTCGCGACCGCAAGCAAGAAGCCAGCAATACGCGTTCCGCCACCCACGCGGTAAAACCTGATGAACCAGAAAGTGAGCTGTCTGATACCGCAACAGATGGAAGTTTGCCTCACAGTAAGGTGTTCACGTATACGAGATAGTTTGGTCTGCGATGTGTGAGCAATGACTAGCGAGTGTTAATGAGGAAAACACCTACACTGTGCCTAGAAACCCGGCAAGTAAATTCGAATACCCATGTCCCACAAGCTCTTTGTTAGTATCAATGTCTACGTCAAGGGACACCGCTGTACATATGTCAGCAAAACTCTATCAACCAAGCATCCAGATTAAGACAGAACGTACATAGCGCAGGAACATTCAAAGGTGGGTGCAAGATATTGAAGAACAACCTAGGATGAACCATTAGCGAGGCCAACAACGTAATGATGAAATACGTGCAATGCAAATTGTATCGGCAGTGTCGTCCATAGGGGTGTAAACTGGATCAATCCAATATCTGTTCGCGTGAATATAGAATGAACCCTGTGTTCATCCCTAATCGATGGAAACTTTCTCACCGAGATACGAATAAAATCCATACCATCTGTCCTCCCCGCCTCCAGTTCCTTCAGCCATATCGAACAGCCAGCCATGCTTCCTCAGTGCACCAAGATCAAGCCCTGCAGCTGCAACTACCACATAAAACACAACTGGTATAATCATGAAATCTGAGACGCGTGCACATGAAGTGAGCAAACGAACGCGCAGGTCAATAGTCTTGGACGTACAGATGGGGAACACAAGCTGATGTTTCCACCGCATAGTGATGAACCTCAGTAGCACTGCCAGGATAAGGGGAGGAACCCATTGTGCAAGGGCGTGTGTATTGAGAATAAAGTATCGGAGGGTCTCCAGTGTCGGCGGATCGAGCGCATCGGACGAGAGACGTGTGCTCACGGTGAGGCTGTGCCATATTGAACATTATTCGGTCTCCTTCACCGCGAGGACTAAATTAGAACTTACCCTGTAAGAATCAAAAAGATGCCAACCCCTCCTATACATCTGTGCGGGATATCAGCACCAAGTCCCGCCAAGTCAGCAAACAGCTTACCCAACAAGAATATGCCGCGGAAAGAACCCAATGAGCACGCCCAAACGCAGATAGCCAAGGAGAAAAAAGGTCAGCCCTACACAAATCACATGCGTGAGTGGACACCTGACAGCCAGGCCTAGATGGGACCCTACCAGTGAGTACGGACGAAAGCGCAAACGCCGCAATTGTCGTGGCGATGATCTCTTTCGGATATTCGTCTCCGATATCACGTGCTATGGTAGCCGCAAGAATGTGAAAGAAGGGCTACCATCAAAAAGGAAATACATCAGAGAAAGTTCAAAGTGTGCAAATCCGGGGTAGCGGAAACGATCAAAGAAGCAAACCATAACAAAGTGACAGGCACAAGCAAGGTCGACACGTGCGAATGTAATGGAGGTAGACGGAAGCCAATTGAAATGTAAATGAAGCGCACGTACCACAACCTCAATCATCATACTGCCGTTAGCACCCGCAAAGCTGCTCCCTCCAAGGCAGTAGACGAGTTGTGCCACCACTGTGCTGTTTGGCGACCAATGCCGAAAATAGGGGGTTCTGATCAGAAGAAATAATTTTCAACGACAGAGACGACGTACGAGACAAAAAACATCGATACCCCCATCCCGCCTAATCCAGCAAAGACACCAGATGCGGGAAAAAGGATCATTCCATCTAAGCAACATCGTTAGCAGCTGATCCATGATAATCGGAGATGAGCAGGAACAGGAAAATGTCAGACAACACAAAATTATGGTTCGTATTATGTATTAGGGGGTCAAATAATAGCCGCCAAGGGTTTTGAAGTACCCGAGACCCGTCAGATGACAAGAAATGAAGCAACAAAGGCAATATTCATCAAAACTTACATGATACACCGTCAAGGATGTTGAGCAACGTGCCCAAGAGTACGGCAGGCAAGCTTTTCAACACGGTCCGCGCGAGTTCTTGAGGGTAAATCTTATGTGTATCGCCTATGATCCCATGCATGAGGCTTGACAAACGTTTTGAGGGCGTCGAGCGTTTCGAGGGCGCTAAGGCGTGACCATTTATGGCAGTCACGGAGCCATTTGGAGGAGGAAGCAGGGGAGAAGTTTCTGTGGCTGGCGAAGAAGCAAAACGCGAAACTTCTGATCGAATGTTGCTAGTTGACAGAAGGGTACGATCCGCAGAATTATGGTTAACTGTGGACATTGCCTGCTCTGGGTCTGCTAATGAATCAAAGTAATGAGGCCTCTCAGTTACTTGCGTCAGCGTTGGACTTTGCGAGTGCGCTCCTCTAGGCGTGGCACCATCAGCGTGTATGGAGAGCAAAACAGAGAGTGCTGAAGGCATAGCGGTTGGAAAAGACGCGTCTCTCCCGCGAGGAGTTACCATGCCAGACGATGGATGGTGGACAGTCTTGGAGGAGTTTAGAGTTGAGGTCGAGGCTGAGAGATCAGAGCTCTGGGCCGAGAAGTGTGAGCTTCCTTTTGTAAATTGTGAGGAGGGTGCAAATGATGTGGATACAGGAATATTTGGGAGTGACCCTGGTGCAACGTGCGTGACTGGATTATAACCAGATGGAAATATGAACGAATCGCGTGAAGGGTTGTTCTCTTCCGTAAGCTCAGATGGGGAAGGTAGTTGTTGGGCTTGTTTTCGACCGTGGGTCAAGGGAGAAGACGAATGTGCACTGTGTCCTGCTGTCGGAGGCAGCTTCTGCATCACGAGGGGCGTCACGGGGGATGGTGAACCCCTGGAAGCAGCAAACATCATGTTTGACAGCTTAACGGTGCTTGCACGGATGTCGTCTTGAGAATGGGGCATTACCGACATATAGGAAACGTAGCTCCTTGGTTGAAGTAGTCTGGAATCGAATTTGAAAAGTTAGGAGATTGAATGCACATAGAAGCATGGACCGCATTCCGACTACATTATAACGTATTATGATGTTATTGAAGCTTACCCGGCTCTGTGCAAAGGGGAGTCATCTTGCGGTGGAGAGACGATGTGTAGAATTTCGTGCTTTGTCGCGTCATTCACATGCTCAGGTCCGAAGTCATCATCGCCAGGGCTTCGCGAAGAAGAAGCTGATCTGTCGTTACCGACATTACCAGTCATAAAGGACATGAGTGCACGGACTGCAGATGAGGAGCTCGAGCTCTGTCTTCGTGTGTCAGTGAGTCGTTGAGGTTGAAGTGACTCCAACATGTCATGGAAGGTTTTGTGACGAATATTTTATTATTTCAATTTCAATACGGCGGAGGAGTCTGATTCAGATAACGGCACCACGTTGCCATAATGGGACTCCTAAACGTTTGACCGGAATGTTCCGTTATCACAGACTCGGTCTAGGGGTACCTCCACAATGAGGACCGAGGCGAGGACCCTATAGGCCAGTAAGTACCTAGGCACTGGTGTTGCCAATAATTGACATAGAACCCTGCCAGCGCTGCCAGCACCTGACTCAAAAATCTCATTGAAACATTAGCGAAGGAGAGCACCTGACAGATCTTATCACCGACGGTTGAGTGCGAAAGGCAAGTGTTATACGGCTCATCACTGGGTTTGACCGCTAGGGTAGCGCCCACAACTGTATGAACTCACTACCATACATAGATGCTGACCTTTAAGGTTGCATGACGGACACGTCTCTCCGAGGAAACTAGTAAATAGAAGAAAGCGGTCGTGCCTTCTATTACGGGTGACCCCAGTCAGATGGCACGCCACTGATCTCAATCATTCCTCTTTCAAGGGGAAAACCATTGTGAGTCCATGTAGAGAGACGTGGCACAGTCTCATGATCCGAACAGTTTCAGCGGAAGTTCCTAATTGTCCAGATGCATGACAGTAAGTTGAGGCACAAAACACAACAACTGCTATGTACGCACCTGAAAGGACAACCCGTCAATGCGGGGATTTGAATCATGTGTCCATTATTAATGATGGAATCTAGGAGAAAGGACATCTCCATTTCACCTCCGGATCCTCTTCGGACCACATGTTTTACCCAGCACAGAAGTTGATGACAGGCAAAGATGTCACCACAAAAACAGGACAACATTCGACTTCGTCTGGACAGTATACTGGTGTGGCTTACAATGAGCATTCAGTGATAATATGATACAGTAGGAATGAGAAACTTCCTTGAATATGACAAGCGCCGTGTTATAGATTTTGTTAAGTTTTAAGAGTCAAAATTAAAGTTTCACCTTACCCTCAATCAGCTGCAGCTGAAAGAAGATATGCTACAGCTGGGATGTAAGATCCGAGTAGCATATCGATATCAGAATTCTTTGAATCAAACTTTGGAGCTCGAACTTCGGATGGCGAAGACGGGGAACTCCCGTGATCCGTGACAGCGTCGTGGATTGTCACGCCATCACTCGACGTCGCACTTTGCCGCTCACTTGGCAGGTGGGCATGCTGAATCCAATCGTATACCCTGCACAACACAAGCACACCTCTTTACCAAACAACGAGGTCATTGCAACGTCATCGTGGGTCATTGACATGCATTGAAATTGTTCCGCAGTTTATGATCAAGCTAATGAACTAATTCCAACGTTCCACAGTCACTTGCCTCGTGCCACACCCTACCTTTTACCTGACAATATGAATAAGTACTATTTGCTATACCTGACGACGTGGCGTAACCTGCATCGGCACGCACCGTCGCTGACGAAAATGCAGTCTGATGTGTCTAGGATGAAAGTCCATGCGACAAGGCTGATCAGGTTGCCTCCTAAATCGTCGCAGTCAAATAACGCGTTGGGGGAGAGCTTCAATCTTCGCGATGGTACACACGATCCGATGCGTCAGTACTAGTAACAAGACTTACGATGTAACAGACAGGAGACGCTAACAAGTGAAAGGCCACTCTCTTAGTAAGTCTTAGTTTTAGTTACGTTCGCGAGCTCACGACGAACTAAAACTACACAGCTACCAAGCAAACTGAAATCCGGAGCATTTCGCTGCTTTTCGGAGCTCCTACCGAGGCTGACATAGTGCACATCACAATGGAGCTCATGCTTAACGAGATGGGCCAAGTCATGACATCTACATTTCTAACGACTATGAAACTACGACACTTATCGATCGTGAGACAAGTTGATCTCTTCCGGCAAGAATTGATTACTTACCGCCTCAGATTTCCAATTCCGCGAACTTTCGTGATGTCACAGCGCGGTGCGATTTTCTGCCATTCTCTCAGTGGCGGTCGCGATCGTGAACTACCAAGCTGATGGATCTGGAAAGCGTGGTGGCATCGGAAAATTCAAATCAACGAATGACTACCTGTGCTTCGTACTAGGATCCAGTATTCATAGTGCGTACGGAGGGTGGCAAAAAGTTGAGACGCAAAAAATTTGTGACAATTCATACCAAGAGGGAGGTGTACCAACAGGTTACGACGTCGACGGTGACGTGCCCTCGCTTGGTTTTCTCGCCGAGCACCACCGCAAATTCCCCGACATAAGTTGTGAGACTCGGACCGCGCTAGCCTGAGAAAAGCTTAGCAAGTAGCCAAGTTGGGTGCGTCGGCTCGTCTGGACCTGTGGTGCAAAATACATATAAGACCTCAATATTCAATGCATACGTACACCGGTGAGATAAGGTGGACACTGTTTCGAAGTCCTGTGTGCTTGAACTGACACGAATAAAGCTCCTACAAGAAGACCACAGGATGTAGTTCATGCTGATTTACTCAACGTTGGTTCAAGTTAGGACGATCGATGATCAGCTGCCAGCATCGATTCCCATATGTATTAGTACGTATTACTATTATGCAGGAGACCGCATCAAACTTCCCAAGCCTCGACCGCATCCAGGCGTTGCCAACTCATTGGAGCTAGGGCGGTTCACTACTAGCTACCCCGACCGTCTAAACGATCTACCCAACGAACGTCGAAAATGAGCAGGACCGAGTCTTCGCTCATTAACAACATTCACGACATCGAACAAAACTATGGCTCGACGCAAATACGCCAAGATGATGGAGCAATTGCGAACAATCAGTCCAGCATCACCAGATTCACCACTAGCAATGCTGGGATGCTACTCATCATATCCTCCCAATTTTTCTTTGCTTCCATGGATATCTCGGTGAAGATGCTAAACGCCTTGGAGCCTCCGGTTCACGCGCTTCAGGTTAGCTGTTCCATGACTGTTGGTGATCGAACATGGATTGAACCCAATATAAACAGATTATTGTGATCAGGATGGTGCGTCACAGAATCAGCAAGTCAAATCTTTACTCATCTGTCCCAGGGCATCACATTGATATGCTGCGAGATATATATGTTTGTCTATTTTTTTTTTCAGACAACGAGCTAAAACTGACGACACGAAGGACTGCTATGGGAATCCCTGACCCGATAGCTGGCCCCAAAGGCGTTCGAATGATGCTGCTCATTCGTGGCATCACTGGGTGGGTGCTGATCTATTTGCACGGTTTCAAACTTCCCAACGTTCTTTCTGTATCCCAGGTTTTTCGGGCTATCTGGCTTGTACTGGTCGCTCCAGTACTTGTCTGTCGCAGATGCTACGGTCTTGATTTTTTTGACACCCCTTACGGCGGCTGTAGCTGGGTCCACCCTCTTGAAGGAGAACTACTCCATCAAGCAAGCTGTCGCGGGAGGTTAGAGTTACGATTTACCTTTGGTAGTTTATAATTGCTTATGAAGATTTGAAACCCCTAGTTTTCAGTTTACTTGGTGTTGTCCTCATTGCCAGGCCCGCGATCCTGTTTGGCTCCCTGGATGTCACTCCCCAAGGACTCCGCCCAGACGCGACCTCTGCGCAAAGGCTGACAGCTGTTGGGTAGGCAGCAACGTTACGTGCGCTCTGTTCCGCTCAACCCACTATTCTATTTTTGGTAGGGCATGTATGATCAGTGTGCTGGGAAATACTGGAGCATGTACGTATTATGATTGACCTTATCATGGTAATGACCGCTTTAACTATTTTTATAGATACCTCGATTCGTGCAATTGGGAAGCGCGCTCATCCGATGCATATAATGTCATTCTTTTCGCTATGGTGCACCATCATATCGTCTTTGGGGTCTGCAAATACATCTCTGTTTTATGTGGCAATTAATTATTTGTAACAGGATGGTTGTCTTTAAAATTCCCATTGTATATCCTACATCATGGACGTGGGTATTTCTTTTGTTCATGGTTGGTGTCTTTGGCTATGTGGCGCAGGTGAGTACACCAGTGATCCTGTATTTGCCCACTAGTAGTTCACAACGACTTTAGACTCTTTTGACAATGGGGCTGCAACGCGAAACTGTGTCACGTGGTGTCACTGGGATGTATGCCCAGGTGCTATTCGTTGTGGTGCTTGAACGCATATTCTTGGGAGTTGTACCGTCTTTATTGTCTGCTCTCGGCGCCGCCATCATCATGTCCTCGGCTCTCTATGTCGTTGTGAGTGGTCATCGTGCTCGTTTTTTCCAGACTTTTGTGCTGATTTGGATTTCATATACCAGATGCAAAAGGAGAAACCTAAACAAGTCGGCGTCGCTGACAATACCACAGCATAAGATCATGGACCCGGCGCCCACTCCGAGATCACATTAATTCCCCTCGCTTCTTCAGAATACTCGGCAGCTGTGGGTGATTGGTTGGGAATGTCACGTGCATGTAATAGAGTGCGACGATCTAAGGGCCGACGTAAATTTATATTACGACTTACCAGTAGCATCGATGACAACCTATGATAGCCACCCACAAATATAGCCGCTTGCACCTAACAACGAGGTCAATTGCAAGGTCATCGATATCGTGAGTCTGTTCCGTAGTTTATCATTTAGCTAATGAACCAATTCCATCGTTCCAGAGTCACTTGCCTCGAGCCACATCTTACCATTTCCCTGACAACTTGAATAAGCAATGTTTGCTACTAGTACGCCTACTGGAAGTGGGGCTGCATCGGCAAGCAATATCACTGACGAGAATGCGGAGACTGACGTCGAGGGTGAAATTGAAAGTTCATGCGACGAGACTGATCAGGTTAGCTACCGAGGAAACTGAAATCCCGAACCTTACATCGCTCAATCACATGTCTTTCGTTTTCTTCAGGATGAGGCTCCTACCGAGGCCGACATAATGAATGTCACAGTGGAACTCGTGTTTAACGAGTTGCCAAGTCATCTCATTTACATTTCTGACGACTATGAAACCACGACACTTTTCGATCGTGAGACTCTGGTCGATCTGATCCGTCCGGAATTGATTAGGGCCTGCAAGGATGTCCCCAAAGACAAACTTCCTGATGTGGTCAGGCAGAAGCTGAAATACGCAGCTCTTTCTCACAGATGGCTCAGCGTCGGCGAGCCAACATTTCAGGAAATGTCCGTGGAAGGAAACCGGTCTACAAGACCTGGGTTTATCAAGCTCCGTAACTTTTGCCAGAAAGCAAGGGAGTACGGCTGTCGTCTTGCTTGGTCTGACACTTGCTGCATCAACAAGAGCAGCAGTGCGGAGCTTGATGAGGCCATCAGGGCCATGTTCAAATGGTACCGCAACGCAGAGATCTGCATAGTTTTCCTTGCAGACTCCTCGTCCATGTCGGACTTCCCGGAGGAAGTATGGTTCCAACGCGGTTGGACACTTCAGGAGCTTCTTGCCCCTCCACGAATCAAGTTTTATGGCAAGCATTGGGACGAGCTCAGTTGTTCTCGCAACGACAAGGAAGATCATTCCATGTTAGAAGCTCTTTCTCAGGTGACTGGAATATCTCGCTGGAATTTGCTATATTTCAGTCCGGGATTAGTCGACGTTCGCGAGAAAATGATCTGGGCGTCCAAGCGGAGGACAACAAGGGTGGAAGACAACGCTTATTCCTTGATTGGAATTCTTAACATCAGCCTTAATGTGGCCTATGGAGAGGGCGAGCGGGCCTTTCGCCGCCTGATGGAGGTCATCATGCAGACCTGTCGAGAATGGCAGATATTTGCATGGGCTGGTCCGCATTCCCCATCTCAGGCCGGCATTCCCAGTTCTCCTCTGGCATACTGTGCTTTTGACGAAGCATCCGCCAGTATACTTTCACCAGATTACCGCATAATGGATCGTCCCTCCAAGCTCGGTGACCCTTTTTTTACGATGACGAAGAGAGGTTTGGAGCTTGAAGTTATTCTGGTGAAATTGATGCTACAACAACCCACACCACGACGGCCGGGAGGAAAACGGAAAAAAACTCAAGCTATCCGCCTCGTCTCCGACTCTGCGAACTTTCATGATGTCACAGCGCGGTGCGACATTACCTTTCTGCCATTCTCGCAGTGGGCGGTTGCTATCGTGAACTACCAAGCTGATGAATCTGGAAAGCGTGGTGGCATCGGAAAACTCAAATCAACAAATGACTACCTGTGCTTCGTACTAGGATCCAGTATTCATAGTGCGTACGGAGGGTGGCAAAAGGTCGAGACGCAAAAAATTGTGATAATTCGTACCAAGAGGGAGGTGTACCAACAAGTTACGACGGTGTGGCTTTAACCCGCTTCTACCCATTCGCGTCAATTTTGTAACATATCTCTAACCTTTACGTGTGACATCATTCGGCTGTACTTACATAGCTTCACACTCTTTTATTAGACCAAGTAACATCATAGACACCCAGACAGCTGGTTACAAATCTGCTTAACCGCTTTGTAGCCGCTTGCGGTTTCTGCCAGTCTGTTGAGAAACGAGCTCCCAATAGTCCGAGTATCTCCTGTTGACCCCCTCGACGATTTCTTCTATCTGCTCACTGGAAAGTTTTACCTGCTGACATTCATTTAAAAGTTGAACCGTTCACAGGACATCATTTCGTTCCCTCTGCTCGTCTTGATAAGCGAATGGCTATCGAAGAAGTCTGCCGCATATTCCAAGAGTACTTGCGGGAAAGCATCCCACATCGACTAATTGCGATATCAAATATGCAAGTCGTACAACAGCAACAGGTGGAGGAGCTGTACATGCCGTCTATCAAGGCCGTGACGGAGAGAGACATCGAGCAACACACATTCTACCCGAATCAGCGAAGGGACGAAGTGATCAGGAACATTGTGAAAGGCATAGTCAAATACGCCGTTCTGTCTCACCGGTGGTGCCGCGAAGGAGAGGTGACACTGCAGGAGATGTCATCGGGTGGCACAAAGCTCGGGAAGCCCTCGAGTCGTCACAAATTGGCAAACTTCTGTCAGCGGGCAGCGGAGTACGGATGTGGCTTTGCCTGGGCAGACACATGCTGTATTGATAGAACCAATCCCTCTCCAGAAGAGCTCGATAAAACCATGTCTCAGATTTTCAGGTGGTACCGCAATGCGCATGTCTGCATTGTACACCTTGCAGAATCTGTCACATCGGATGACTTCCTGCGCGACTCTTGGTTTTTACAAATCTGGACTTTGCAAGAGCTCCTCGCCCCAGTTAGAGTCAAATTTTATGGACGAACGTGGAGCCCGATTCGCAATATACGAATCGACAACGATAAAGCTGACCAGAAGTTGCTGGCAGCACTTTCCACTGGCACTGGAATCCCAGTGCAAGACATCCAGTGTTATTGGGCAGGGACGGAGAGAGTGCGTGAAAAGCTCATGTGGGCATCTCGTCGGACTTCGCGAAAAATCGAGGATGGTGCCTACTCACTGCTGGCACTTTTCGACGTGCATATGCATGTGGAGTATGGCATAGGAGACGAAGCATTTGGTAGATTGATGGAAGTACTTCTACCAAGAAGCCAGGAGTGCGACATACTTGCCTGGGCTGGCATAGCATCCACCAAATATGCGTTCTTGCCACCGTCGGCACAGGGATATAGCACTCAATATTTGGATGGATCATATAATCCCAGTCACGACCACTACAGACTGCGAGGAGACCAGGACATGAGGATCATCGATGGGCGGTTGAGGTTGAAGCTCCTGATGGTCGAATTACATGACGCAACGTTCGGGGATGAAAGACCTTTCTTGCAGGATGGGTACCATGCATTTGCCCTCTTGCCAAAAGGACTGCCCGCCAATATGGCGATTAATCATGTGTCCATTATTTCCTGCAACAACACGCCTTGGTGTCCGTCCAAATTGGCCCTCGGGGTTGTCGATTATGGATGGACAAGTGATGACGAGGAGGGACTCTTGGAAAAAGGCCGTACACATTTTTGCCTTCTCTTCGGAGTAGATGATACACAGACCAATTGGCAGAAGCTAATGACGGACAAAGTGGTCACCATAACCAACGAAGACAACATTAGACAACGTCTAGAAACTATGTTAATGTAATACTTTAGTGCTAGCCTTTAGCTTGATGAATTCGACCACCGTTCAAAATACCGTTGCGCCATATAATATGTGGAAATTTCTACGATCTTCTGCAGGAGCTTCGATACGTCGCACAAGGAATCGATCATGGCAGCTCGAATTTAAGTTGATGGACGCAAAGTGAGGAAACAAGTGTGACTTGTGACAACATATTGAGTTGTGACTTTGTCGCGCCAAGTCAGAATGTACGACGGTGGTGAAGATTGGCAAACGTTCGACAACCATGTCCAACACCATCGCCCTGCATGTATTTTTCTCTTACAAAAAGTGGTAGTTATCTAATGAAACTTAACTACAGGTACCCGCTGTCGAACTTTACTTTTAGGTGAGTTATGATATTTCGCGTCGGTTGACAGTCAGTCCTAAGTGGTCGCGAATACAAGTACGAAAGAGGCGCAGCCTGAGGAGGACCCTTCCGTGTCTGCGCGCCTGCAGCGTCTCCAGAATAACTATGAGGACTTTGGCATGCGCCGCACCGTCGAGGGAATTCTTGTTGTGCATGACCATGGACACCCGCATATCCTAATGCTCCAGATTGCGAACGCGTTCTTCAAGCTGTACGTTTCCATATTCGATGGCACGTTCGTTATAATTGCTTAATCATGTGGCCAGCCCTGGTGACTACCTCAAGCCGGGCGAGGATGATATTGACGGACTCAAACGGCGCCTCGACGAGCGTCTCGCGCCGCCAGTAGAGTCCAAGCAGTTCAACGCGTCACATGGCGTCGACAACGAGTGGGAGATCGGTGATTGTCTTGCGCAGTGGTGGCGGCCCAATTTCGAAACGTTTATGGTGCGTTCATCTTCCTTGTAGCGAATGCCTGATGCTAACTCATGCTCGTAGTACCCATTCGTGCCAGCGCACATCACGAAGCCAAAGGAGTGCAAGAAACTCTACCTAGTTCAGATGCCTGAGCGGAGTACGTCAGACTGTTCTGCCATATTTTTCATTAAACTTGTATCTTCACTAGAGGTCCTTGCTGTCCCGAAAAACATGAAGCTCCTCGCCATCCCCCTGTTTGAGCTGTATGATAATGCTGCACGGTTCGTCTTGATAGTCTCAATAAGCTTAAGGGTCCATGTTTCATATTGGTAACGTCGTAACACTCCAGATATGGTCCCCAGCTCTCTGCGATCCCTCACCTACTGTCGAGGTAACTGCCCAAGCAAGCTGCACTAAATGAATTACATACTTATGAATGCTGCCTGCAGATACAACTTCATTTACCAGTAGAACTCCAACAAAAAAGTTGGTCTGGTTATTGCCGCAGCACCATCGTCTCGAGAGACACATCGCGTGCCTTCCCTTGGAGCTAATTTTGCAGGCCACGAACCTGGCGTGGGTACATAGTTCACGAATGAATCATTTATTCCTCTATTGCTGTTATAGCTCTCGAAACTCTTGTTGCCCATGTTTTCGTAATGTAATGTGATGGACTGCCTTGAAACTTTGAGGCCTTGAGGTGCCATGGAGTTAGCCGAGAGGTCTTCGTAGTAGACGCATGACGCAAACGAGGCTTGTTGTCTCCCAGTAGCTGTCCACTGCCAAGCCTGCATAATTCATCGAGACATTTGTTCTACCAACTGCCCACTTATTCGTTCTCTTCAACGACCTAATTAGATACTTACCATGCCTCCAACGGACCTCATGAAGAAATCCTCCACTGCTACCACCACTAACCCACCTGTAAATGTCAAGCTTCTACTAATCGGAAACGCCTCAGTGGGCAAAAGTAGCTTGCTCCTGCGTTTCTCCGATGAGCAATGGCTTCCCGAGGACGAAGCGAGCGCAACGATTGGCGTTGATTTCCGTGTGCGTTTGACATTCTTTCCCTTCTCCCACTGTGGAGAATGAAGTCATGTGCTGACCCTAGTGGGTATAGGTGCACAAGATGGAGGTTAACGGGCAGAAGGTGAAGCTCAGTATATGGGTATGTTGATCCTTTCTTTCTTCTGTATCTGTGGGATAACGAATCTCAATGATGTCTAATGTGATGCGTTCTGCAGGATACAGCCGGCCAAGAACGCTTTCGCACAATCACGTCCTCGTACTACCGTGGTGCGCAAGGAATCATACTTGGTGCGTTCTTGGTTGTGCATGAGAGAAAAATGTCCTGCGGCCTGATATGTTGCGGTATAGTGTATGATGTAGCAAACCGCGAAACGTTCGAGGCGCTTCCGAAATGGTTTTCTGAAATCGACACCTATGTTTCGATCACAGTACCGAAAATTATTGTTGGGAACAAGGTCGATAAGGTACTTGCTTTCCCCTAATCATCTCTTTCGGCACCTGTGTTATTCTGTGGGCCTGTGTTCCTTCTCATTGTCCCTGCCCCATACTACACTTACATCACTATCACCATCTCCTATTTTCTTTCGTCACTTACATACTCAATCTTGCTGCTCACTTTTTTTCCCGCCAACCGCTCATCCCATTACAGGAAAACTCTCGACAAGTCTCTACCAACGAGGGTTCCACTTTTGCCTCTCGGCAGAATGCCCTTTTTGTTGAAGCCTCTGCAAAGACAGCCATCGGGGTACGCGAGGTATTCGAGGAGCTTGTGGCGCGGATTCTTGAGACTCCAGAGTTGTGGGCACCTGTGGCACCGGAAGCGGGTGTAAGTTTTGGGAAGCGGGGTAAGGAGGACGGCATGCCGGGGACGATTGATGTGGGACGCGACACGGCTGCACAGGACGATGGAACTTGCGGATGCTAGATTCCATGCGTGAGCAGGTGTCAATGAATGATGCTGCTTCGCACGCGACTGATAGAGCTCATGCGGGTCGGTAGTCGGTGCGCCCGCCAGTGCTATTGTCGAGTTTTGTGTACGACGCTGATTACTACTTGTACGGATAGATCTGCCTGAGACACGACTGATATACCTTGTATATGCCTACGTACTACACTCAATCCATGTACTATAGACACGCTTAGAGGTATGGATAGGCCCATCAGTACTACATCAAGGATACCTTTAAGAGTAGATGACGGGAGTTTCCGACGCAGAGATAAGTAGACCCTAAACTCGAGAGGGGTCTAGGTTTGAGTGGGCTTTATGTAAAGGTAGCCGAACGACAGCCTCGTTGCACCGCGCCACACTGTGGCATTGACTCTTTCAGAGCCTCATATGCATGCACTAATATTGACACCGTCTTGTCATCTAAAGGGACAGATACCCAACCACCTTTCACTGGGTTTCGGCTCTTCGTAGATCTATGGGGCCGCCAGTGCAGCCCACGCCTGCAAAGGTTATTTTCACCAGTTTGGGGTCTTCATGAGATTGATACCTTTTCAGAGTCAGATGTTGGGGAACGTGGTCATCATTGGTCAATCTGGGGCGGGGAAAAGCTCTCTCATTAACATGCTTTGCCCCACGGCCAAGGCCTCTATCTCGAACAATACATATGGTTGCACCATGGTAGTGACAAAGTACACATGCCACCTTGGGGGACAAGACTATTGTCAAGTGCACGATACAGTCGGCCTCGAAGAAGGGCGATGGGGCTTCCTTCCAGACAAACAAGCGCAGAAACAGCTCAAGTCATACATGAATGGCAAGTTGAAGAAGAGCCCGAGAGAACTAGACCTTGTGGTATATTGCATACCAGGAGCAAGAGGCTCGAAGAAATCACAAGCGCGCAACTTTAAGAAATACAAGTCGTTGGCCGACGCGGGCCACGTGCAAGTTATAGTGGTTGTCACCCATTTGGAGGGTTCCGCAGGTCCTTTGGAGGATTGGTGGTCGGAGAATGCGAAGACACTGAAAGATATGGGTATTCCGGAGACTACTAAACATGCATGCGTCGTCACACTCCCCAAGCATGAACTCGAGTCAAGGAAAAGACATCTCTATGATCAATCCTATGAGGCTGTCAAAGCCCTCATCAGAAATAATCTTCCCAGCACCCGGCGTCGATAACATATATATTCATATAACGACACATGCAGTCTACGAGCTAGGAGTCCATTTCCTCTTCATCATATGATATCCATACGAACATTTCACTTACGCCGTATACTACCTTCTACTCCGAGCCATAGTATATATGTCACGGTGGTAATCGAACCCGATGTCTTCTATGGGTGTCACGGACTCGTGAATTAACCGATGTAGTGGTATTGCCGTTGCGCACGTGTCCATCTGTACAAGGATCCTTGTAGTGTTCACACCAAGATCCAGCGCCATATAGTCAACTCTCGCCAACTACATGGTCCAAGTTACACGGTGACACTGTTGTCTGGGCCGGTCGTCCCCGCGTCGCACTTGAAGCTGAAGCACCTTCACCCAAGTCCTCCATGTCTTTCCTCGTCATCACCGCTGCAGATGTATCCAGCATTGTATCAGCGATCCACCACTCCAAGCTTGAGAATCTGATGGCTATCGTGTTTCATACCCTTTCCTCAGGTTCTGGCTTTGATGCCCCGCTACGTGTAGCAATTACTATGGCGCACCATGATACACTTTTCATGCCAGCACGAGTGCAGGGACTAGGGACCAGCATCAAGGTGGTCTCAGTTCCGCGCCACCCTGCTGATCAGGGCGGGCTTCCTGCGTCCAGCCTAGTTTTGGACGAAAGCACGGGCGGCATACGTGCAATCGTGAACGCGAGGCAACTAACAGCTCTTCGGACGGCTGCTGGTGCGCTTTCAGTTCGCTATGATAAACAAGCATAGAATTTCATATACGCATGACCAGGTTCTCTGCTTGCTACGCATCTTCTCTCTTCCATTCCAAACCCAGCCACGTTCCTTGCTTTCGGAGCAGGCAAGCAAATCGAGGTGCACGCGGATCTCCACCTTCGTGCATTTTCGACCATCAAATCCTGCACGATAGTCAACAAGTCAAACAATCAAAGACTGGTTGACCTTCTCATCCGCCTGAAGTCAGCTCATCCGACAGTCGCATTTCAGTCTCTCATTTTGAAGGAGGACCTTGTTCAACTGGAACAAGTTACCCGTGCAGCCAATATCATATGCACAGCCACGTCTTCAAAGGAGCCGCTTTTCGAAGCGAAATGGGTTTCTCCAGGGACGCATCTCAATCTCATTGGGAGCTACACGCCTGAAATGGCGGAAGTCTCTTCAGAGTTGCTTCATCAGGCTGGAAAAGTGGTCGTGGACTCTAGAGAGGCATGCTTGTCCGAGGCTGGAGAGCTTATAAAGGCCGGGTTTAATGAAGACAACATGGTTGAAATCGGAACGCTCGTCCGGTTTGACATTAGCTCACCGGATGCTGACTACGAGAAGGTTCATGCGTTGTGCGACCGGGTAAGACAGGCTGGTAAAATTACTATATTCAAGAGCGTGGGTGTAGGATTGCAGGATGTAGCCATCACGAATATGGTGGTGAATCTCGCGGGAGAGATTGGTACTCGTATTGACTCCTATGACTGATTTTGACAATCAGTTCCGCTGAACCAGTACATCTACAATCTCCTCACTAGCAATCTCTTGAACACGAAGTGATACTTTCAAGACCCCTTCGACTTTATATTTATTGTACATGCAAGCTGGAAATTCATCGCGAGCAAGACTGAGAAATGGAACTGGAGGGATGGATTATCCAAACCTCTTCGCCTGCTTGGCAGGCGGAGACAATGTTATTCTCTTCCGTTCTATCTTCATACGACTCACCTCTCTAGCTGTTCTTCGGTTGAACGTCACGATAGATTGCTCAGATACAACACACTAGCGCTCGGCGAGGATCAAAAGCCAAGCTCTAGACTGTCAATAAAATCTGTCATCGAATGGTAGTGCAAAAGATCATCATGATCTATATGATCGTCGTGCAGAGTAAGCAGTAGGTAGATGTTTGAGTGGGACATCGTATAAATCAACCCCCGAACCTTGTCCACACCCATCACAAACACCAACCCACAGCCCGCCCAATATCCCTGATACTCCTGCGATCACTCAAGGTCAATGCCGTCGCCAGACTTTCCCGCTCCTTGTCCTTGCGGCCCTGCAGTCCGTATGCTTTAGCCAAGTAGTACCAGGCCTCAGGAACGTCCCAGCCAGGTCCTCGGGTGATGTGGCCGAGGTGCCCAGCGACCAGATCAACCTTATCTGAATCAACTGTGTGGGCCGAAGACTTGGTAGAGAGGTGGATGCGGCACAAGTGCACAGATGCAGCGATATCATCGGGCGATATGAACAGGGCTTTCTGGAATGCTTCTCGAGCCTCTCTGTTACGATCCAGCGCCATGTAGTACAGTCCAAGCTGTGTCATGGTTAGCAGACGCCCTGGCGGAAGATGTGCGATATGCGCACCTGTACCCAAACATCAGGGTTTTCAGAGTCTCTGACTTCTGCTTCTTGGATTGCGCCTTTGGCTTGCTCGATTTTTCCGAGTCGTCGAAAAGTGGCAGCAGACATGGCCCAAAGGTCGCTTATGAGCTTGTCATCCTTCGTTGCATGGAGCGTAGGTGCTTCCTCCGGCACTGGAGGAAGTGGGGGTGGGGGTGCAGGTGGTGACTCGATGGGTGCGGCAGCTGCGTTATGACGAATCAGAGAACGCAGCCGACGACGGGAGTGTATTGACGACGCCTGATAGTTATGATTCTGGAGCACAGCATGGAAGTCTATAACAAACTGTGAAAAAAGGCATCCTGTGTAAAACAAAAAGGGTAGTTTACCTGGTGCAGAACTTGTCCTCTTTAAGTTCCCGTTTCGCGCAACGCCATGTCCGAGTTTCCTCGAGATCGTACTGATCTTCTCCTGCCCTTTATGTACACGGGCTTTTAGCATCTGTTGCACTTTCCTGCCGGTGCCATCTGCTGAAGAGGAGCGTCGTCTGCCCTTCAGCGATTCCTTCTCATCCATGTTGAGCGGGAAATGGCGGTGCGGCTCAGCAGGCGTTGCAGGTGTGACAGTGATTGGCGGAAGCTCAGATGACGGGAGATCCTGTTGACCAAGAGAAAGACCCAGAGATCCCTGCTGGTCTGTACTAGGACCCTTTTCATTCAGCGGGTCCTGCGACGGCTGATGCAGCACCAATTGCGATTGCGTAGTCGCAGTCCTCGTGCCGGTACCCGTGTCCACCGACGACCTCGCTGATCCACACAAACCACAACCAGAAAAAATCAGCTCCATACAGCCCGAGGTCGGATGAATAGGGAGGTTCCTGGACTCACGCTGCGTCTCTGTCATAGACCCTGAAGTAGAGGGCGACCCTTTGCGTTCTGAAATCCAGGCAAACACGTTCACCCACCGCCCCTCCGCACCCTCAGGGCCTTCTATATGTTCGGCGAGTGCCATTTGTGTCATTCTGAGCTGGAGGGCGTAATCAAATGTGTCATGAGGAGAAGGGAAAGGATGGTCGGGTAATGGTCGGAGGAGGGTGGCAGATGGTGGGAGGGTAGTTGCGTGTGTATCAAGAAGCATCTTGTGCCCAGATCTCGGACTATCGGCATCATTCGACGGTAGATGTGCATCTGGGAGCTTTGAATGGCCATTTACCTGTGCGTGCTGGTGGTCGAACTCGAAGTCCTTAGCCTGAATATCATCGGTCATGGGTGCTTTCTCCACGATGTCATCGGCAGTATTTTCTGCGTCAAGTCTAGCAGGACTTTCCATGTCCTGCGTACTCTCGTCTAGGTCTGCGCCCACGTTTAAAACACCGACTGCCTTCTGCCACTCGCCGTTGGCACTAAGTAACAGACCGAGAAGATGCCAATGTCTAATCTCCTCAGCCTCTTCTTCGACAGCTGCACGAGCGGATATGATCGCCTCATCCATATTTTGCGAGCTTCCAGGTAAAGAAAGTACGATCGCAAGCTGATGATGGGCAGCAGGTGTAGGGTAGGTCGCAACAGACTTCAAGTAGGCAACGATGGCACGACCTAGACGAGTCTGTCGCGTGTATGGGTCTTGTTCTAATACAGCAGACGATTTCAATCATCAAATATCCAGAGGCGTGAAAAAACCCACCTATTATTGCCAGTGTCGTGTACCACACGCCTTCGGCCAGTGCGACTCTTGCTACCATCTCTTTGTCATCCTCATCCAGCCTGGTCATCGCCTTTTCAATCATGTCCCCTGCCTCCTTGGCGTCGTCGATACCGTCCGTGCGTGAAATGGCAAGACGGCAGAGGATCCGCGCACCATTGATAAGCGTCTCAACCCAATGTCGATCTGTGTCGAAGTCGTTTTCCACCCCTGCTTCTCGTGCCTTTGAAACGACCTGAACGTATAATCTCAAGGTCCGTTTAGCTAGTTCCGTGTCGCCGGAAATGAAAAGCAGTCGAGTCATGTGTCGATAAATACGGTATGAGTTGAATGTGAGGCGGGTAGCCCACCAGAGAATCTATATCGTGTCAGTGAAGCGATCAAAATCCAGTCTGCGAAATCTTACATCGAGGACCCATCGGACACGGTCAGACAGGGCACCACTGGTCTCCCATACTGCCACGCACAAATCTACAAAATCCTCCACTTTAACGTTGCGTTCTCCAGCCTTGGGGAAAGTAGTGCATGTTGCTAGAATGGTGCGATATTCTTGGATGACCGAGCGAGCAGTGCTTAGCCATTGGGGTGGTTTCGCTGACTGAAGTGACGAATTAGGGGTGGCTGTGGTTGATGACGTCTGATGTCGGATGACTAGCGCTCGGAGGTGAAGGACTGCAACTGCGGAGCGATGACCTGTGCGAAAAGTCGCCGGCCAGTGCGCGCTGCAAGTATGGTAATGAGTGAACATGGTCCATAGAAGGCCATCGTTCTCATCCAGACAGCAGAACCGCGAAATGAGAGAGATGGTCCTGAACATAAGACGTTCTGTCCAGCGCCATAGCTCGCGGTAGTTGTCGAATGAAGCGGAAGATGTATGTGTAGGAGTAAGTGTCCGTGGTA